GGAGTCATATTTGACCAAAGGCTGGCGTGAAATCAACATCTCAAAAAACTCACATACAAAGCTACAATAGCTCTCGTAAGCTGTAGACGAATATGTGGGAGAAACTGGGGTCTAAACCCCAAAATGACTATATGGTTATACACAAGGGTAATAAGATCCATGATAACCTATGGCGCAGTGGCGTGGGTAACCAAAACTGCACAGGCAAGTGCAATAGGCCAACTCACTGGCATTCAGCAGCTTGCCTATCTAAGTGCTACTGGGGCCATGCGCACTACGCCGACTGCAGCAATGGAGTTATTATTAAATCTCAAGCCACTGCACATCTTCATACAAGGAGAAACCAGGTCAGCTATTCACAGACAGAACCCAATAAGCCAACTACATAGCGCCAACCCCACAAGGCTATATCAGCAAGTAAAAAGGAATAATATTCTAGCTATGCCTACTACTGATAGAGCCCATAACCACATACAAATTTGAAAGAAATTTTCAAATTCAAATACCAGCTCGAGAATCCTGGAAACAGGGACCTCCCGTATAGGCTGAACTCGTCTAGTACACAGACGGTTCAAAAACCAAGGAGGAGCCGGTGCTGGAATCTTTAGACCCAAGTCGAAAACAACGATTTCGCGGAGTTTAGGAAAATATGCAACAGTGTTCCAGACTGAAATAATAGCCATACAACACTGTGCAAGAGAAATACTAAATCAGGCAAATCTATTGCCATATACTCTGATAGCTAAGTAGCTCTAAAGGCAATTCTCTCACCAGAAATCAAATCACGACTGGTGAAAGACTGTCTAAAAGACCTGGCAGAGCTAAGTAGTCAAAACAGGGAGACCCTAGCCTGGGTGCAAGCCATGAGGCATATCAGGGCAACGAAAAGGCCGACGAATTAGCCCGAAAAGGCTCAGATAAGGCCATGACAGGCCCCGAAGCCTTCTGTACAGTTGCTAGGGCATTGTGCAAGGGATTGATTAAATAATGGATGCAAAAAAGTCTCAGGAATAGTGGAACAACTATGCAAGACTGAGACAGGCCAAACAGTTCATTAAGGAACCATCGGCTTACTTCACGAAAGACCTACTGGATCAAAAGCGTCAAATTGTTAGGTTAACAGTAGGCCTTCTTACTGGACACAGTCACCTCAAAAGTCACATGCGTTTAATCAATTCAGCAGAAGAAGAAACTTTGTGCAGGTTCTGTGAAGAAGAAGAAGAAGAAGAAGAAGAAGAAGAGGAAACATTATTTCACGTCATGTGTCAATGTGAAGGCCTGGATGGAAAGAGGTTTCTAACATTGGGCGAAGAAAAGACAAATACATGCAACTACATGCGGGAGTCACTGTCAAAGCTACTAATTCTAATAAAAAAGACAAAGCTAGATGACATACTCTAAAGCAAAAGGAGTTTCACAATAGATCTGAAAAGGTCGCGGTGGACAAGGACAAAAAACGCCCAACTCCCAATCTAATCTAATCTAATCTAATCTAAATCGCAAGATCTAGTTGGAAATAGGATATCAGTGTTCCTGCTTATTATTCTGCCATCAAAAAATTCCTTGGTCGCATAAGCTGTTGGTAAAAATACCTATTTTGTAATTCCTCATCATTCAGTAAGTGTGCCTTCAAAAATGGGATCCACCATTCTGCTCCGACATATTCCAACTCAAACACCAGTTTTCAGTTGACCACCACCTCATATTCATTGTTTAGATTATGTTGGAATTCTTGTCACAATTCTACTCGTCTTGGATAATCCTCTGGAAAAAGCTCATGAAAACATTTCAGCTTGCATGCATGACAGTAAGCCTTGTTTTAGAACGAGTTGGCATGTGGCTTTTTATCATAGATGTTTATTCAAAGATATAAATTTAACGTAAAATAGTAAATCTAACATCATGGTCATGCCCCGAAACCCCTTTCCGATACGCCTATGCTGGACGAAGCAGACGGCCCGTCTACGAACAATGTGAAGCAAACGCTGTAGAACGTTGAAAGTGTTGCCAGAACTCATATACTACGTTCGATAAATATCTGGAATTATTTGAGAACCGTACGGTGCGCAGCATTTTTCCATAAATAGGCTTTATGCTGTCAGAGAAGTTAAGTTTATAGACAGACGTTAAGTTTATAGACAGACGTTGAAGATATACATTCAAATTGTTATATTAAACTAAATTATAAGTGTTTTTCTTATTAGATATCTCGGCAACCGTTGGAAATAAGAAGAAGCGGTTTAAAACGTAAAATTTCTCTCCAAAATCCATACAAAATGATATATAAATTAGGGATAAATTATTCTACGGACAGACAATAGAATTATAGATCGAATTTGGAGGAATTTTATGAAAAACATCAGGTTTTTTGTTAAATATCTCGGCAATTGTTCGAGGTAGAAAGATGCGGTTTACGACGTTGAATATCTTTTTAAACGCCCTACTAAATGATATTATATAAATCACGACTGAATTGTTCGTAAGGACAGATAGAATTATAGATAGAATTTGGGAGAATTTTAACAAAAAAGTCAAGGTTTTTGTTAAATATCTCAGCAATGCTTCGAGATAGGAAGATGCGGTTTATGGCGTTGAATTTTTCTCTAAAATTCCTACAAAATGGTATTATAAAATAGATCGAATTTGGGAGAATTTTACCAGAAAAATCAGGGGTTTTGGTAAATATCTCTATAAGAAATTAAATTTGTTAACCAATATCCCAACTAACAGGGGTAATTGCAGTCATCTTATTTTTTTAATATAGCTGTAAAAAGGATATGTTTCTCCTACATATTTTGAATAAAGGATATGTTTCTAGCTTTATTGAAATTTTAGAAAAAAAATTAAAACTCAGTTTTAGTCACCACCTTTTAAGGGTGATATCTCGGAAACGGGTGGGCTGAGGAAATTTTATTATAGGAAAGACCCATCTTAATTTCATACGAGCCATCACCTCCTGAATTTAGTCGCGTGAATTTAGAAACACCCTGTATATGTTAAATAATTAAATTATCAATATTTTAAAAATCATACTGTTATTTTGGATGGACGCTAGGCTTTTTTGCACCCAGTGCTATGACCTTCCTCAAATTGTCAAGTTTTTACTAAATTCCTGTAATTGGACACAGAAAATATCGGCTTTTTAAAGTGAATTTAATTATTATTGTTTGACAAACTGAATAAAACGTTGAAAAAATATTTTGTTTGCAGAAAATAGTGCTAGACTGAATAATTTAGTTTAAATATAAATTATGAAATACAACTTAAATTACATATCAATACATAATTATTTTAAAATACACCATAAAACATAGTTGTATTTTTTTATTAATAAAACATTGATAGGTAGATTGTAGATTTGTTACTTTACTACATTTTATTTATTTTATAATATGTATAATACAAATCAAAATCGATAAGACCAGTCTACTTAAATTTAAAAATTCAGACAGGAATAAAAATTAGAAAAAAATTAGAAAATCAAGTTTTTATCTTGAAAGTGACAAAACTTTTGCGTAACACCTTATTTTGAAGCAGAAAGTGCAAACAAATAACAAAATCGTAAAGCAAATTGCTAACACTTTTTAAAACACCAATATACCCGTAACACACAGTTCATTACTTATTAATCAGTCAAATATGTGTTTTTGTTAACAACAATCCCGATATATGCAACATGCGAAGTATATAAAATGGTGCAATTAACTAAAAAAAAAAAAATCAGTTGGAACGCTTACAAGAAATTTATAAATAAATTTATCATTTTAAATAGGTGTTTATCAATAAATTCCTTTCACCTCGATATACCAGGGTTGATCCAAATGATCTGCCAATGACCTATTTATAATAAAAATAATATTTCAACAAGTATCAATTTATTTTCCGACATGATCTTCCTTAATTCTAATTAATTTGCTCGAATTTTTATTTTCTTTATAATTTATTTATAATAGAATAAAAATTAATGATAATATAATTTTCCGAGAAACACAACTACCGTAACTATCTTAAACACGGTTTTACATATTAACACCTAATTAGCTATTTGCTTTGCAAAATACGATAACATTCTAGACGTTTTGTTTTAATTTGCTCATAAGCCGTGAAAAAAAATAACAGTTTTTCAACAGAGGCAGCATAAATTGGAAAAAAGTATCTGATGTGTCCAATACGTGACTTTCGTGTAATGTTATCAATTATATAGAGTACGACCCATATAATTAAAAAGTGTTTAGAATATAAATTAAAGGTAAAAATCTTCAGTACACATTTCATTGGAAATATTTTTTCCTATGACCACTTAGGAAAGTGACACCTATCGCACTATTTAGTTTTATGGAAAGTACCCTATATCACACACGCGTGTAGATAAATCTACTTACCACCCGTGCACGGTGGTCTGGATCAATGTTTAAGATGGTCGAAAATGTAGCTCAAATCTGAAGTCACAGGAGGGTTCTGGCAGGTCTCCGGAACCAAAATATATGTTTCGTCAAATCGTAATAACTCGTAATTTTGAATGGCGACAATTTCAAGTTTTTTTTATTCAACCATTTTTTGGGTCACTCTTAAAAATGTGAAAATTGCATTTCCCGCGATTTCTTCCGGACTTTCTATGAAAATATAATAAATAAATGCTAAATTTTAGTGCTCCTTCTCGGACCAGTCTATAAAACAGGTGTACCTGCAAAATATAGAACAAAATTTTTTCACTCGTGGTCCAAAATCAAAACCACTTAAATTTCAAGAATGATATGCGTTCAGGCTGGAGATAAAAAAATAGAAGTGAGAATTTTGTATTGGACGATTCATCTTTTTATTATTCAACCGATAAAATTCAAAAATGCTACAAGGAATAAAATACGCTTTTGCTTACCTCCCTGGGATGTAGTCTCATTTGTATTATTAAACTCCAACAATAGATCAAATACAATAATTGTGACAATACTTTCCACATCAGTACGTAATATACCTACTTAAAAAAAATGCTAGTTACTTACCAATAACAGGACTTTTAAATTTCGATCCAAATCCTAACATAATTTCATTGCAAGTATATAGGGCTTGAACAATAACCAAATCGAAATTAATGTCTTTATTGTCAAATAAATACCGAACATTATCACATTCCAATTGATACGAATTCACTACCAAACCAATTTCGTGCAAAGTCCACAATTTTCCAAAAATACTCGTCGATACATAGAGATTTTTAATCACATCATGGTTTGCCATAAGTTCATATGAAAATGACACGTCGATTTCCGTCAAATTTGTCAACATAGAGTCGTTAAGAGGGTTCGGCGTAATAACGGTGACTTGATGTCCTCTTAAGGAGAGTTCTTTCCAAATGGGTTGAAATATTATTTGGTGACTTATCGAGGGAGCTGGGAATATCCCCAAAATTTTTGCAGCGTTCAACACGCTCAATGAAAATAATGCACAAAAAAGTCTTGTGAATATTAGATACATTTTTGCTAATTTAAAACTTTTTTTATAATCGAGTGTGGTGGCTTTATAATCGCAAACTAACCTTAATTTTTTGAAAGAATTCAAAGGTGTTGTATTTATAGAGAAAACAAGTATACTGAATATGTCAAGGATCAAACAAATTTTAAATAATTTTCGATATGATAATAATATTTTTATGTAAATTTTTTGTATTTTTTTGATATTTACCTATGTAATGATAAGAAAAAACAACAGACAATGTAAAATAGGTTCCAAAGGATTTTTGAAAAACTGGAAAAATACAAATATTTAAAGAAATAATTATTTAGTTTATGCAAAATTGCAGCAATTGAATAATTAAGAAAAAAGAACACATATACGAAATAAAAAAATTGAATTAAAATTTAAAGTATACGAAATAAAAAGAAAAAACGAATAAAATATGCCAACTGTTAAAATAAGGAAAGAAATTATTGCTCAAAAATAGCAAAATAGAGATATTACGTGAAAATTTCAAATTAAATTAAATTACTCCTTACAAGGTACCTCATTTCTTAATCAAAAAGAAATGATACAGTGCGGAATAGGCGTAGAAAAAATTAATATATCACTCAAAAATAAAAATAGTTAAAAAATTAACGGAACAAAAATGAAGAATTACACCAGTTAGTAACATGCGTTGTATATTACTATCATTTATTTGCCTTATAACAAAATTAGCTGTAGCTTTACTTTAGTGATCAAAAAACTAAATTCTTCCGGAGGGGGTAATACATACGCATTATTACCTCATTTGCTTTACAAAATACGATACATTTATTAAATAACCTTCAATTTTGTAATCTATTATTTTTGAAAAAATATCTATAAATGTAAAATGAGTAATTATAATATTCATTATATTTTAAAAACAAACAATACAATAAAAGTACTTACCAATATATGGTGGAGCTCCAAACAAAGCAGCAAAACCAAGATTGAGAATATTATAGACGAAAGAAAGTTGAACAATAACCAAATCAAAATTACTATTATTCTTAATCAAATTTTTGACAGGCTTATGAGCAAGCTGTTCCTCCATAATTTCCAAACTCCAGTCAGTCATAAAAATCAACTTTTCCAACAAAGTGCCGTTAATGAACTTATCAAAATTGGTCCTAGGTATAATTTGGTACGCAAAAGAAACGTCTATTTCAGTTAGATTAACTAGTTTTGTAGCATTACGAGGATTTGGCGTAATCACAGTCACTTGGTGACCTCTTAAAGATAATTCTTCTGAAACGGTCTGTAACATGAACTGATGGCTAGGTGATGGAAATGGAAAAACGCACAAAATTTTCGAGTTGTCTGCTGATTCAAAGATTAACAGTAATAAAACGAATTGTATAACGAACATGGCCGCACATGACACGTTCACTTGACTTATTCAAATAAAAAATAATGCGGTAAAAAAGTCGATAAGAAATGTTTTTAATTTCATTGCTTTTCATAAAGTACCTATAGGTTAACGTATACCTAATTATATAAGATATTGATCTCTTTATTTTGTACTAAAGAGGTACCAAATTTTCACATGGATGATGATAATAACTGGCCCGAAACTATTAGAATTCAGTAAAAGACAGGATTTACTAACTTCATATTTAAAAAACCACATTTAAAAAGTATTACTATATAACGGAGACATTTCGGAAGCTTTACCGGTAGAAGTAGGGGTACCGCAAGGGTCAATATTGGGCTCAATTTTTTTTATAATTTTTATTAACGATTTACCTTTTAGCGTTGTAGTTTTTTGGGTGTACATTTTCAATTTTATCTTTACCTTTTTTAAAACTTTTTCTTTCTCTCATAATATTTCGAATTTCTCATTTTGTAACTTCTTGCTTCTACCATACTTTCAATTATCTTCTACTCTTATATCTTTCTTAATTTTTTCTGATTCATCATTGAAATATACTATTTCTTTTTTATCTTTTTTCCTTTTTCTTCTATTTCTTTCACTGATTCCTCAAGTGTTCTTTCTATCTTCTCTGTCCTTTCTTTAATATCCTGTTTTATGTTATTTTCCATTCCATCTATTTTGTTAATTATCTGGTCTGTAATTTTCTTAATTTCTTTTTTATCTTGGTTTCGATTTTCATTCATTTTCTTGATAATGTCTTACATTGTAGCTTTTCTTTTCTCTCTTGTTTTAGACTTTTATCCATCTCCTAATTTATGCATCAATTACATTAAAATTTACATTTTATTTTCTTGTTTTTTATTTTGTTTTATTCTTATTTTTTTCCCATTCTTTATCATATTTTATACTTATATTTATCACGTCCTCAATTTCCCTCTTCCCTCCCTTCCATTCTCCTGTTCTTCTCTTTCTACCAAATCTTATTCTACTGTCTCTTGTATGCCTCTTTTTTTACCACTTTTTAAACTGTTTTTTCCATTGTTTGATACTCCTTCCACATCATAAATTCAATGTCACTTAGTTTTATTCTACACAAATTTAAATTATTTTATTTACTATATTATACTAACTTCCACTAAATTTTCACGCTTACACGTTATTAAATTAATAAAATTGAATTTTTATATTACGCCCCACGTTGGGCGTCATTTCATATGATCAATTAGAGTTTATCATAATTTCTGTAAACTACCACAAGAAGAAATGTAATTTTAATCAATCTCAAATCTCAGGACAATGTTCAAATGTTTTTATTCACAATACCTTTCAAAAATTCTTTCGTACTGATATTATTGTCCATGAAAATCTCGATGATTCAAACCATGGAGAGTACTACCTACTATATACGCATGTTCTGAAGCTGGTTTCTGGTGCCAATCATATTGGTGCTATATTAATGTTATTCGTGACATTAATTTGTTGTGTGTGCTGTATTTTTGGGTATTTATTGAAAAATCAGTAGATCTGGTACCATCAATAATATTGATAATTTTATTTTTATTCGGATTGACCTTGTTTAAACAGCAAATTATTCAAAATTTTTAAAAAAGGGAATGCTTGAAATTATTCACTGTTATTGTAAACAAATTAAAGATATGTTTGCCTGATAAAACTTTCTAAAAATGTTATTGTTTCCAAAGATTTTTTTAGAATTTACCATTTTTTGTAAACAAATTCGACCTCCTTGCATAATAATTTTTGATATCTGATACATGCACTGTTTTCGATATATCTTAGATGAATGTATAAGGTGTTGGAAAAGCTTTTTTATAACTTATTTGAAAATATTTCATTCTTATAATAGTAATAGTCTCTATTTTTATTGCAGGTCCCACTCAACATGTACTTAATTGGCCACCAGCTTACATCTTAGGACGTATTGCTTATAGTGCTTATTTAGTACATTTGACCATCATCATGTCTAGACCAGGCTCAACTAGAGGTCCTGTGTATGTTAGTGATGCGTATATTGTAAGTTATTTTATATATGTAAGCGTTGTAAGTATGTGATATGAAGATGCTATTGAAGAAGATTTAAAATGATTTGGTCAAAATAAAATTAAAAATTATAAGATGTTGATACTATATGTTCAGTTCAATTCATGAATGAAGCTGTCGACCTTATTAACCGAGCTAAAAGTATCTGTATCTGGATGCTGTCGCTGAAAATATTAAAAAAGTCACATTTTTTACGAATAGGTAAACGGAATGATATATATCCACGTATTATCAAAGTAGTAATGACCAAATGACGTTAAAACTGTTCTGCGAAATAAACGAAAGCTTTTAGACAATGGTCTCCATTATTGATGATAATTTGATAATACTCTCATTTAAGTTCAATGTCAAAGATCTTCGGTCAGAAATTGAATAGAAGCAAAATAATGGGGTGTCAAATATAACAATATAGCTCATGCAAAAACCCCCAACTAAATAATTGGTCATTTCTTCTCTGAGTTGTCCACATGTTGAAACTCAAAATTATTTTTATTGCTAAAACCTGGCTTTCTCATACAGATCCTGATAGTCTAGTTAATATTCCTGGACTTACTTAAAGACAAGACAGATCTGGTCGTATAGGAGTAGTTATATATGTCTACTTGTCCACAAAACATTTCTCAACATTTTTCAATTATTCCCATAGATCTATATATTCTTGACATTGAAGTTATCAGTATTCATATAACTTTATATTTACCTTAAATCTAGCATGTATCATGCATCTATTGTCTAGAGGGACTCTTTTACAGACGATAATATACTTCTTATTGAAAAATTTGAGTACCTATTCTCATTGGGTAACCTAGTTTTAACAGCAGACTTCAATTTTCGAGACATACCTTAGTCTATCACAACTATACCAGATTATATCTCTTCCAAAAATACATTTATGGATTTTTTCCAAAATTTAAACTTAAAGGATGGTCCATATAGTGGTTTCTTTTTAAAATTCAAAAAAATTAACAAAAATTAATTTTCTTCGGTATATTATTGGTTTATTGGAAAGAGCAAACATTGCCATTATTTAAGGAACACTATTTAATTCATAAGGCTGCCTCGGCTGACTTCGCAGTAGCCAATCTTGTTAACCCAATTTTCCAAGTCATTAGTGACGGTTTTTTGGTCTATCTCACGAATAGCTTGCAAATTGCAGCTGCGAAGTAGCCAATTGACATCGTCGATACGGCTGATAACACGATTATCGAACTTGATGCGCAAAAGATCGATTGTGGCATAGGCTGTGTGGCACGGCGCTCCGTCCTGCTGAAACCAAAGTCTATGTCTTAAATTTCCGGTAAAAAAAATTGTTTATCGTGTCCCTTTATCGCTCAACGTTGACCAAAATGGCGTCTCCAGCAGCATTTTCAAAGAAATCTGGGCTAATGATGCCACGCTCCAAAATCCGCACCAAACTGTCACTCTCTGGGGATGCACTGACTTCTCGACGATTACGTGCGGATTTTCCGATACCCAGATGCGGCAGTTTTGCTTGCTAACAAAGCCGCCGAGATGAATATGAAGATATCGAGCTGCTTGAGGTCCAAACTGAGAAGCGATAACGTATCGGATGGTCGTGTACCTTCAAATGCTGAATCAATTGGAAAGGTCCGCGGATATATTATAATAACGTTTTGTCAAGATTTAGAGTGGGAACAAGCTTTCCGTGTCAAAATAACATATAATTAAAAAACACTAGATGGACCACCCTTTATATCAACTAAGAGACCCACTCGTTTTCCTGTCAATAATAAATCGCCTATCTTGGACTTAGTTATCACAAATGTTGAAAAACTATTAACTAAAACACAATTTGACCCCATATAAATCACAGACCATGTCACCATAACGGGATAATCCAGTTCAACTTATCGGTATCTAGCCCACACGCTAACTTAATCACGGATTTTGATAGAATGAAAGATACATTGAGCCAACTCATTTGGAAGCAACTACTGTTTAGAAGATGGTCCAATGTAAACATAATTCATTGACATTATGGATAAGCAGATATATACTATATCATTGATAAAATATAAACTCTGGCATAAATATAAACTATTCAGTCAAATAAACGACTTATACACTCCCAGAACCTTCTCAAATTATCTAAAGAAAACCCTGAACGACGCCAGACAAGTATATGAAAGTAACAAAAAGCCAGATGGAACTATGTGCCAAAATAATTCAGAAACTTCTGAAATTCTATTTGAAACCTTTTCAAAGGTTTTCTCTCTGGAGCATTCACAATCTTCTTTACCAGCGTGCACCTCACCCCAAAAATATTAGAAACTTTTGAAGACATTAATTTCTTCTAAATGGATGGTCTTTCCCAATTCCTATTGAAAAAATTTGCCGATATCGTATCCTGTCCTCTCCCTAATTTAATAAACTGATTTTCTCGATAGCACGGTTTACCACCTATTTGGAAAATGGCATCAGTTACCCTAATCTCTAAAAAAGGCAACAAACTCGATTCAAATTACTATCAGAATCATATCTCTTGTTTGTAAATTGATGGGTGAGTCCTTTCTTGTCGAGTAATCAAGTAGAATTGAGCAAGGTGGTTTTAAAAGGGAACCAATTTGTTATAATATCTTAATGATTGAACCAAACCTATAGAGGACAAACTTCTAACAGATGTTATATATTTAGATTTTTCTCAAGCATTTGATCGGATACTACATGCTATTACACAAAGGGAGAACTGTGTCAAAGTGGGTGAATCATTATCTAGTAAGAAAAAAGTACCTATTGAGTGGAGTTCCCTAGGGTTATATTTTATAGGACGTCTGCTCATTGTGGTTTACAGAAGTGAGTTATAATATCATAACAAGAGCAACATGGCTTTTCTACGTTGATAACGCCAAAATCTACTTATCCTACTTCAAACTCATGTTATTTCCAGCACAATCTTAAATATATTGTTAAATGGTCTACTGATTGGTTGCTACTATTAAATATAGAAAAGTGGGATATTGGTAAAAACAGTCTAAGACTAAAATAGTATAACATCAAGAATCCCGCATAAACTCAGTATATTCTTTATAATGACTTGGGCGTTATTATAAATCTAACTTGGATAGAACAAGTTTGCAACATTTGTTAACAGCAAATTAAACTTGGAAAAATATTTTCAGGAGGTCTTCTTTCAGTCGTTCATCAATTTTTACAGATTACATGCAAGATATATTATGGAATACTGTTAAACGGTTAGGAATCCAGATCTTGTCTGAAAAAAAATTTTTAGAAAATATTTTGCATTTGGATAAGTCAGGCCATCTTATTCCAAAAGGCTGAAGATTTTATCAATGTAACTTACTGGGAGACCTTATTGTGACAATTAGAATTCTAGATTACAATAATTACGTGAACCTGAGAGAAAGAGAGAGAGAGAAATAAAAAAAAATTAGAACATTCAACTTAAATGCCATAAAATTCTTTTTATGTAGGTAATAGAATATTTCACACATGAAATAGGTTACTACCAGATATAGTAAATGATGAGAATGTGAACAATTTTAAAAACATACCAGATAAGCTTTCACAAGGTTAACATTTATGCGTATAAGTTGTTAATATTTTTATTGCATTTTTAATTTGTAGGTATTATATTTAATGTATTATTCCAAGTGCACTTCAATTTAATTATAATTGTTAATTTTTAATTTGTAGGTATTATATTTAATTTATTATTCCAAGTGCACTTCAATTTAATTATAATTGTTATCTAGGCTCACTTGCTATACCTCAGTCCTTAGTATATTTATAAAAAAAATCAAATGTGTTTATTTTATTTTTTTTATTTCAGGTTTACTATCTATTGGGAGATTTAGCTTCAGCGTACTTGTTTGGATTAATGTTGACGCTATTTTTTGAGATGCCTATGTCGGCTTTACAAAATGTTTTCATACCAAAGCATCCCAGAGAAAATTCCGTAATTAAAAAGGACCAATAATTAGAGAAAGTATACAGAGTGTCCAGCCGAAAGCTTCAGTAAATAGACAATTTTTCCCCACGATAACTCGATAAGATTCTCTTTTTCTGCAGAAGTAAATTCAGACGGAGCACTAGTGTTAAATAAATCCATGCAAAACCTATCCAAATTGTCATTTTGAAAGTATTTCTCAAACTAGATAATTAACTGTGATAAGTACCCTTCAAACCGATGGTTTTTATCGTTTTATAACTTCATTTGAAGTCAAAAATTGACGCAATATTAAAAAAATGTGTACCTGTATTTTCATTCAATTTTCTTCTCTATATTTTGAATTTTTTTTATAGCTGACTTTAAAAGGTTCATTTTTTTCCCTGCAGAGAGAGCCCAGACAGCACAAATAGGTTCACTGGATATCAGAGGCGTGCGGTCCATGGAAGCGGGGGAAGCACCGCTTCCCTACACTTTGAGATTTAAAAATAAATATTTTTCAGTTTACAATGCATAGAAATTAATATTTTCTCTGAAACATTACAAACTTCGTAAATGTACTAACAATTCATTGGTGTAATGTGTAAACGCACGCACCACCTATGAGAAAATTAATTGAGTAAAGGAGTCCATCGGCGGAAGAGCGCCTTAAAAAAGCCCGCACATCTTCCAATTGATTTCGCTTGCCGCGACTGTAGTCAGTCTGTTTGCACATGTAAAATACCATCGAGAGGCAGCGATTTTTACGTCGCCTTACGCATATTGCAATTCGCACCGCGAATCGATGTGTGAGGAAAATCGTAGACTTCAGATAGATTTCGGTTTGTTTTTCGTAGTTGTTTTTCTTTTTGTAAAATGGAGGAACTATGCACTGTGCCTGTGAGCAATAATAATGTGGTAAATTATGTCTGTATTGTGTACTCTTTATTGAAAAATGGATTTTCAAGTAGAAATTTTGTAGAGAAAACGGACAATATTAATTCTAGTAGACTGAAGGATCTTATCAATTTAGAGACGAAAGTAGAAAAATCCACTGGATATCTCTGGGATTTCATGTATTGTCTGGAGATACTCATTAGATGTTTTGCTGGATATATCCATAGGATTTCTTCTATATTCTGGATATAGACGGACATTTGGATATCCATATTAGATCCACGGGATAATTCTGATATCCTGTGGATGCATTGGATATCCACAAAAGATATTCTGTGGATATCTCTGGGATTTGGTGTGTTGTCTGGGTAGAGTGCAAAACCAAAAGTGTCACTTATCTTTTTTTCCTGAATTCAGCCAAAATAGGTTAAGTACGGAAAAAAATTGTTCTATTAGTTATACATTTGCTAATTATAATTTTTTTATTTCTGGTAATAATTATGTTTATAGTACCACTTAATAAATGTTTTCTTTCATGAAGTTGTTTTAATGTAGGTTAAAACTTATAAACTTAATTAACTCAAAACTAACAGAATGTAACTTATCTTGTTATGGTAACACTGTTTTATAAAATAATAATACATAAATCGCCACCCTAATTACATAATAAAATTACATTTCGCACGATGTGCACATAATGTGCATACTAGATTTAGGGGACATACCTCACCTCTAAAGTTTCAGGCAAAGTTTTCTTATATGGTATTTAAACTTTTCAACCAGGTTCCTTCGCATCTTCCTAAAGCATCACAGTAGGTAAATTTACGAAAAAAAAAAAAAAATAATAAAAATGTTAAGTGCGAGAATATTTAATTATGTTTAGTTATATTTGATTGTGTTTAATTAATTATATTTAATTAATTTAAGGGATAGCACTTTGTGCCAGCTCTGCTCTCTTTTTTGTAGCATGATCTTATTTTAATGTATATGTATTTTTTTCCATATCATTCTGCAAAATTATATGAATAATATCTATCCAAAATTATATAATTATTTTTCCAGTAGTTCCAGACTTTAGGGACGTTGAGTTCCTATTGACATATAAAAAATAGTTTTTTTTTTTACTAAATAAACGATTTATATATAAGTTCCACCTTTTATTGTTTATTAAATTATTTGATCCAAATGAGAATGAAATGAAAAAATTGCAAAACAAATTATAGGTTTACTTACAACTTACCGGAAAACGATGGAAAAGTAATTGTTTTCTTTATATCCTAGGAATGAAACTTCCTTGAAATCCTTGAAATGCGAGGTAAGTAAAAGTTAGTTAAACGAAAAAAGTGGTTTTATTATATATTATATTAAACGATTTCAATATACCATGCAACGAATTGCGATAGCATTTTTTTAATTCCGATTTTATCTCGATTCTTCAAACAGCAAAAAGAAAAAAAGTTTATACATAGAACGGTTAAATATTGCAATATAAGGAATTGATAAATATATGTGTAGAAAGTAAACCATTATCATAATTTAATTGTAAAAATAATAAAAATTATGAAATACTATATTATATTAATATTAACAAACGCAAAGTGGTTGTACAAATTGCAATTACAAAAAATATAAGTCCAACAAAAAATAAGAAAAAAAAATTATTTAAATGCAAAGAACAGAACAAAGTAAATCGATTTCAAGGTATTAAACATTTTCAATTCATATTTTGTCTCTATATTGAAATACTTTACTCCAGCATAATCCTTATTTTTTATTTTCTCTGCATACTATTAATATATTAAATGATGTAGGATTTTTTCGTAAAACTAACAGTAACAAATTGTTCATCATTCTGATAAATTATATATTAAGGACAGCGTCTCCTAGGAATTTCTGAACAAAATTATGTCACTTTAGATTCAATCAAGGAGGTGCTGTTACCTACCGACTAGAGATTGAATTAGTGCAAATTATTACAGAAATCTTTAAGTAACTATAAATATCGACCGACTAGCTATTAGGGGATATTGTATTATAAACCGGTTTTTAGTAGACTGAGTTCGAAGAATCATAATAATAGTCCTGAACATAAAATCTATTTTTCAATAATTGCCGGGATTTCACCAAATAAAAAAAATTATTTCGCGATTGTGAAAACGGTCCAATCGTTTTATATGCCATTTATAATATTATAAAAATGTTAACTCTAGGACTCATTTTGGAGTATGAGCATACTTTATTTCAATACTTTTATTGTACTGTTTCATAAAATATTACCTACTTATTACATTTTATTTTTATCGAAAATTGACTTTGTTTCCTGGACCAAAGTAAAGAATGTAGATGGTAACAACCAAAACGATATCTTGCCTTACATTAAATATAAATATTTCCTAAAATAAATAATTTGGTTTATATACGGGTAGTAATACGAGGGATGTTTATAATTTCAAGTCACGAATATAGAGTCGTTTCAAAATATATTGCGACAATAATTGCGTCACATTGAGTCGGAGTGGGACGCTTATTGACGTGTTGCAATTCGCAATATATTTTAAAACTATTCTACCTAATTAATAAATTGTGATTTTGAAGTATCGAATGAAAACTATATTCTCATTGGTTAAAGATGGAAGTTTTTGTCATTTGAATGTTCAAGAATATTAATTGTGATTAATTGGTTAAACACCGAAGTTATCTGTTATCTGATGTTGGTACTAACCTAATGTTTTTGGGTAATTTTGACTGTCATTTCCTGGAATTTCCAGACCCACATAAATATTTATCCTATTAAAGTACAAAAACCCTACAATAGATATTATGAGTAGGTATTTAACATTCATATATCTTATCTTATCTTAGGTAGTTATTTCCCTGATTGTCAATAACACATTACCGTATATCTGTGCCAATATGACGTCACGACTTTTAATATACTTAATGAAGGCTGGGGGAAGGAGTTAAGAGTCTATAAATTTACAAACAAGCTTACGGGTATTTAGTTTTCAAAATTACATTACACGTTTCTGAAGTGTTTTATTGTGCTGTTTGTTTTTAATAAGTGTTATTTTCTTTAATAGAAAATTTATTTATTTGTGCCAAATGTCCTAGTGTACATTTTAATCAGTTTTATTTTTGGATAAATTGACATCGACTTCCTGCATTAAAGGTAGGTAGTATTTTTTTTCTATCACTCTCGAGTTCGTCATTGAATAAAAAAATTAAACGCTATAATTTTAACATTCAAACATTTGCAATTAAAAAATAATATTACGTATTAAATTGACAATAAAAAAACTTGTTATTTAATAATAATGTTTCATTATTCTGAATATATTTTTTCTACGATTAATATCCAAAGTAGGTAGGCTTTTGCACATTAAAATCTAAATAAAAAGTTGACGTTTTCTGCGAATTGTCATAATTTGACATTATTGGCGCACATTACCTAATATTCAAACCCATTTCCATGCTTAAAAATAGAAGATGGTGACATTCATTTAAAAGAAAACCATAACTACTTTTACCAGGTGAAAAATTTCAATATGTTAAAATAATTCATGATTTTTAAGAAATGTGCTAGAAATGATACTACAATATTAATATTCTTTTTATGTTTGATTTTCTAATAATGATTTTATATACTTTTAGAGTCAAGGACAGCTAGGTATAGCTCCAAGAAAATTGTGCTACTTTGTAGTATATACTGGAGATGAAAATCCACTATTTGTTGAAAAAATTAATTTTCAACCCATTTTTTTTTTTTTTTTTAAATATGGTTGAGAAATTAGAAAAATTTTACTCGGAATATATGGCACCTGAGATAATTTTAAATAGAAGAGGACGAGGATTAAAATGTCTGGATACCCCATATAATGAAAATTAAAGTGCAAAGATTAGCAAATTTATAAAAATAATAATTTAATGGACTTTAATCATACAAGTACTTGAAATAATGGTTTTTTGCGCATAAGCATGTTCATACGTAATTTGCAATTGGTAATCACTAATCACAGATGGAAAAGTATATACGTCAACGATACGTTCTTTTATTTTTGATTTATTTTAACAGGTATAATATATGGTATGTTACTTATAGTATAGATTTTTTTATTTCTTGACCTAATTTATTTGTTACGTCTTCAGCAATTGTCGCTTTCAGTTGACATAAACGAAATTGATAAAAAGTGTTTTTCGCATTTTATTTTGACTGTTTCTCTTACTTTCGAATAGAAACTGAGCTTTGTAAACTTAAAATGACGGATATGTCAAACTAAAACTGACGGTAAAATGAAACATTGAGTATCGTTAAATGCAACTTTTGAACTAGTTTCAAAAATAGCATTAAAATGATATCATTCACAATGTACTAATTTCCTATACTTTTAGTTGATAAATAACCGATAATCATAACATAACAAATAGGCGCGTGTCAAAAGGTCACCGGCGAAAAAAGAGTGCCGATGAAAAAAGGTCGTTTCCAATTGTATCATATAAACAGTATCAGAGGCAGTATTATCATCTCGTTTATCCCCCGTAAACACACATAATATAAACGGAAATAATCAAATACTAGTCAAAATATTATCGATCGGAGCACCATCTTTATTACATTACATGAAGTAATTATTGATTTTTCGGGGTTTATTTAGAGTTAAATTAGACGCCATTTTTGGTCCAAATTCGTTTTGACATGTTTTTTCAAAGAAAGTGACTTATAAATTTCAAATCTACACGTTTTGAAAAATATACAATATTTAAATATTCTGAGTGTACCAAATTCCAAGTAAAGGTTGAACTTAGGTCGTATTACATTTTTTTTTTATTATTTGTTTGACATCGAGGTTAAAATAAATCTACACGGCACCTTTGAGATGAAATAAAAGGGGGTTATTTTACACGATTGATTTTTATTGAAAATAATAAATTTATTAATTTTCAATAGTAAGGTGACCTAAGTTAGACCTTTATTTTTAATTTGGCCAAAAATTAGATTTTTAAACACTACATATTCGGAAAACTGTCGATTTAACTTTTGGTCTACACATACACTTTTAATACACAGGGATACCCCGTCCTTAATGAGAATAATAAATTATGACATCATTCAGAAATTATTAAGGATTGATACTAGTAAAATAAAAAAACCACTCTATATAAAAAGAATACTTTTATTTATATTACACATTTTTTTTGTGAAAAGCAATAAATTTGTTTTTAGCTTTGGAAAAATCAAAATAAAAATAATATACAAATTGACCTACAATTATACAAAACCCTGATTCTACCACACATTTTGTAAATAAACTAAATTTTAAAGCTCTAAAAAATGTACACAAAGATATTTATTCAAAGGCTAATTGATAATATAAATAAACTCAAAATAAAAATACAAACATTTACAAGTTCCCTAGTCTGCATGTATTTTTAACCTTAAATATAAAGAACACGAGTTAAGTTCTTGAGTAACCAGCTTACATAGGATGTCCGAAAATAAAGTACAAAAAATTAAATTTAATATATAAAAAAAAATTAAATTTTTGCTTATATCGTGGAGTACAAAAAAGTATTTGAATCGATTAAACACGTGTAATCTTAATTTTCTCTGGACGGGCTCTCAAAGCGCCTTCAATTACTTTGATAAGGCTGAGGAGGATACTGAAACTACTATGGACTGATATAATTACAAATAAACCGAACAAACGAAAGGAACTCTAATGAAAAAGAGAAAATATCTTAATTTGGACACCTCTTCAGGAATCCAAAATACTTCATACTACAACTGATGGTAAGGTGAAACCAGTGGTAAGACAGGAGTTTAACAAAATAATCCATCATTGTTATGAATCTTAGGAGAGTGATTCGAAATTAATATGCAGCTATATACAAGATTGAGTGATAAATATCATTAGATGATCGCCAACCGCCGTAAAAAGACGGTAAATTTTACAGCCTCACAAATGAATCTTTTCTACTTAATTATTTCAATCTCGGTAGAAACAAATACTATTTTTCTGATACTCTATGATGTTAGTAAAACTATTAAAACAATAAAACACTTAAATCCTTATTTATAAAACATTTTTACCTACTTGTAAAACCTTAAAGATACACCGATTCAGAGAAAAAGTAGAGTTGGACAATGGCGTGATTTTTCATTCACTTTTTGAACCGTTACTGTAATTAGTAAAAATCGATATAAAAATGTGTAAAGAATGTCAGTTTACTAAGATAAATAACTACTGGACATTCATTATTAAGGTTTTAAAAGTGAGTAAATTTAAATATTATTTGTGAATCCAAACTATTAAACCGAATACTTACAGACTGGGACAAAAATACACTTTGGTTTTTAAAATTTTAGTTTAGGATTTAAACATCCTTTTTAACAATTTCGATAAGCTCGTTTACCGATTTACTTAGCATTTCTAAGTCTTCGACGGGACCGAACAATTTTTCCTTTTTGTCTTCTATATTACTTTTATCACCACAAGAAGAACTTTGAGTTTCCATATCACTATCACTTTTATTTTGGCTAAGATTCGTCGATTCAGCAGTCGCGCTCTCATCGCCTGTTGAAGAACTAGGAGTGCTCTCTTCTTTTGAATTGTTCTTACTTGCAGCATCATCAGTTTTATCTGAAAGAAAATGTGTTTTATCAAAATCGATTCTAATATTATTTTAACGATCTTAAAAAATAACTGTTCGGGCAAATAAGTTGTCGTTAGAGACGGAAACCAATTAGAAAATTGAAAAAAAAAAATCCGCTCTCGGTGGGAATTGAACCCACGTCATTTGGTATACGGTACCGAATTGACAGTCCGAAAAAATACAAAAAAAAATACTGAAAAAATTAATAAAAATGGGGACAAATTGCTAAAAATGCAGATTATATTATATCAATATTAACTGGAAACGTTTTAAACAATGTGTAACGTTTAATTCTCACATTAAAAATGCTAAAAAGAAATCAAATTTCCAAAATAATTACCTTTTTTTATTTCGAGCTTCATCAATTCCAATTTTATCTTATTCTGTAACTCAGTTAAAGTCTTCAGCAGCAACGGTGGAGCTGCAGCTTCCGGACTTTTGTACACCAAAATCAACGCTCTAATGTCTCCAGCTAATCTTTTGGCCATTTTCAAAACGTTAAGGGAATCAATTTGTTCGCTAAGAGATACTACAGTGTTGTCGATCATCGTCAGCGTTTGTTCTGATAACACATGAGCAGATACCTGAAAAAATTGGGTTGAATTAAAATTCTTATTAATTAATAACGGTAATATTTCTCAAAATGGTGCATTATAGATAAGTATAAGGGAGGGAGGAACAAAGTCAGCAGAGCTCCTCGATTTTTTAAAGCTTTTTTTCTAAAAACAACCACACCACATTTTTAGACTATTTTTAGGCAGGGTTCGAAAATATCATGATATTTATATAAATATCATATCACATGATATATATCTGATATATATCAGTTTAAAAATTTAATTATTTAATTAAAAACAGTATTGTTTCTTGCACAAACTATATTTTAAATTTTAACACAAACATATTTGTTGATTCGATGAAAACCGAATCTATGTTTCGAATTTTTGGGATTTTGATCCCTTTTATATTAAACACTAGAAATTACTTTGAACTATAGATTTATTAAAAATAATAAAGTGGTGCAGACTGGCACCGGGATTTCGCTTTCGTCGCGTTCGAGATAAGTTTCTCGACTCTTTTCTTAGTCGCACTTCGCACCCCATATCGTCACATCCCTCACGGTACTCGCGGAGTCGGAACTTGATAGTCAATGTGAGAGATGGCGCAGCATGTATTAAAATTAAAACTAATTCGGTGCAAAAAATATTAACAAATACTTATATTCTAAACAACAAAACCGTTTATTCTAACTCAAATTAAAAAGAAAAAACAAAAATAATTTATAAAATTAACAGATTTTAATATTATTTTGTTAACATTAATATTTAACACAAACACATATTAATCGCTAGTTATTATACTTTTATACAGGGGCGTATTGAGATATTTTCGGATGTTCAGAATGGTGTAAAACATTTTTAATTTAATAAATAAAATTATCGGATATATATCAAGATATAAATATCATGATATATATCATGATTGATATATATTCTCAGAACCCTGTTTTTAGGCTCTTGAAATATTGTAAAACTTTACTAAAAATTGCTATTATCAAATAATACAGGGTGCTTTGCTGGAACAAAGTTAACAGAGCACCTCGGTTTATTTATTTTTTTATTTTTTTTTTTTTTTTTTCTAGAAACATCTACTTATGTCACATGTTTGAGCTATTTATAAAACTTTTCGAGAAAAATAGGGTTTTTTAAAAATTACAGGATGCTTTGGTGAAACAGAGGTGCAAAGCACCCTCTATTTCGTAAAAAATGTGTATAACATTTCTTGAAAATGGATGCCGTTACGAATTTTTTTACTGAGCAAACCCAACTTATATTGCAGTGTTCTTTCTAACCTAGCAACAGGGCCACCTTTTTTTGAAACATCTTGTATATAGCGCGCATGATAAAAAAAGTGAAAAAAATGTTCCCATATTGAATTGTAAAATAAACACCTAATATTTCAGAAATAGTTTCATGTGTATTGATTCATTTCTTGTTTAAATTGATGAATTGTGTTGGCAAAGATAAAACGAATCAGGTTTACATTATTTAATTAAAATATAATCAGCCCATGGCGGTTTTTATTCATGCCATAATGACGTCTTATTATACATATTGAAGTAGAAATGTTCGGTGAAGATTACCCAAATTAAAAAATGTAGTTACCCAACTAAAAATCAAATAAAAATGTTTTCACTTACCTTAGGGAAAAATACAGTCAAAAATTCATAAATAACATCATCAGTTAGAGCAGATCTCTCATCCAAGAGGACAGCATCTACATAGTCCACGAAATAGTTACAAGTAGTTAACATATTTATGTACTTTCTATCGATATTCTGTAAAAAAACGAGAACAGATGAATTTATTGTATAAATTATATGAAAAAACTAATCAGAAATATGCGAATAAAGTTAGGGTGTGCGCACACTGGGCGACCACGATATTCATTTTGAATCTAAAAAATGGGCTGCAAATATGTATTGGTCGCGACCTGGTCGCTCAATGTGCGCATGCTCTTATTGTGAAGAAAATTTTTTTTTTTTTTGAAAATACAACTCTTCTATATATTTTTTTGGCGAATTAATTTAATTCTAATAAACCACAAAAATAATAAAATAATTTTATAGGTATTTTGTAATAGTAATAAGGCCAAGGTTGATTAAATGTAAAAATAACTTAATAAACTATTTGAAATTGCATTAAAGACTACAAATAAATTTAGCATAAAGTTACTATCCTATTGTATATTTAGTTACATTGATTTTAAGTCACCAAAGGAATTATTTTAAATGGTTTTTCTTTATTTTTAAATAATATATACGTAAATAAGTCAGTCTATACATCCTTTTTTTATATATATATATATTACACAGGGATTCCACATTGTTAATTAATATATAATTATTTCTTAACTACAAAAATGTTTTTTTTTGGCTTGGACTTTTTGTCATTCAGCCAGTCACTTAATGAATATAAATAATATAATTCAAAATGAATGGTAAACAACAACGGCAACAAAAATAATAATCCATCGCAACAAAACCAATCTATCACGACAAACAAAAATTAAAAAGACAATATTTTTCAAAGGAAATAAACAAGGACACTCGTCCAAGGACCCATCAGGACATCCTTTTTTCAAGACACACTAGAAATAAACCACAGTGTAAATAGGTAATTAGGATATGTCAAAAACAAAGGTAACAAATCTACTACAATCTTATATCTGCCTTTGACAAAAATTATATCAAACAAAATGTTAAAAACCAGAATCTTTATATGGAAAAAAATTCTATTTCTCAAAATAAGTTATAACTAGGTCTAAATAAAAACTTACTGGTGGTATATTAGGTAGACTAAAGTTTTCAACTGGCGTATCTGGTAAATTATAATATTCTTCCAGAGTAATATCATCATAAACTTCACCGTGATGAAAAAACATCAAAACAATTTTAGCACAAATCAAATAAAATCACGAAACTACGAGACAACTTACTGAAATATTTTCGAACGACTGAATTTTGTTATTGAAAAATAGGGTTATGACTAATCAAGTGTGTTGCCCCCAAATATCCACAGAGTGGGGTTAAATGATTAAAGTAAACATTTAAAAGATTAAAAAGTTAACTGCAGAATAATTTGTAAACAACGTTGATTCTAAATAAACATTAAGGTAATAGACGTTAACAGGTAGCTCAATTATGTTAACGATTTCGTTAAGCAGGAAGGATTAACAAGTTAATTAGTTATTTAGAATTTAGGTACTTATGATACTATAGAGGATATTTTGAGAAAAGTGAAAATAGCTACTCTTAAAAATAAATTAGATATACAGTAAGAATCAAAAATAAGAATCAAATTAAATATTGATTTTTTTTTATATAAATTTTAAAAACACGTTCTTGTTTTTAAATTTCGTAGTTTTTGACATAATATTCGGATATACAGGGCGATGCGTGTAAATAATAAAAATGCACTAACGGGGCATTCAAGCTTAATCGGCGAAGGGGTTCAAGTTTTTCTTCCAAAGTGAGATGAGGGTGTAGTGACTTACATGCACAACATATCTTCTTTAAGGTTGTTAAGTGTCAACGCTTTAATAGCGAGCAATATACACGGAGAGGCAGGAAGCCAACGCATCCCTCCACTTGGGAATTGAAAGTGACCAAGGCAGATTTTCCAGTTTGGAATTACACTAATATAATCAGGAGGCCTTTGCTGCAGACGCTCGATTTGACACAGTCGATGAACAACATGCTGGATGATAATTCAGTGAGAAATGATATGTGTGATTCACAACATTACTGCCAAAGGACATTAGAAATTGCGCAAGAAAATATGGATCTCAAAAAGAAACTACTAAGAATGAGGAGGGCTGTTGACGAGATTTTACCATTGAATTAAAGAATAATATAGAGGTCTTAGAGGCAACAATAAAAGAAAAAACAAACACATATAAGCAATTAGAGATCAATATGTTGATTTACTTTTAACAACCTTGAAGAAGATATGTAGTAACTTACATGCACTACATATCTTCTTCACACTTGCATTGCGTCACTTGCGTTGCACGCGTCAAATACGTCCCTTGATAAGCTTTTATTGCATGGCAGTTATATAAAAACAAAAGATGAAGCTCATCACCTCGTTGCTAGGAATCAAATATTTATTATTATTATTCCGATTTTGAGTTTTTTTTTATACACACAATATGTCGTTTATTTTAAAAATATAATATACAACATACCTATATCTTCCAATTAATTATTTCTTTATTTATGATGGAATCAAATTATAATTAAAGACCCACAAAGTGTGTTATACATCTTAAATGAGAAAACAAAATTATAAAATTTAAACTTTTTCAAAATAATATTTTTAATTTAAATTAATACCATTTTTTTTCATATGCCTGTTCCGAGAATTGACGTTTGAAACATGAGCTCTAAATTTTAATGAAACAATGAACCTAACACACGAGTTTTTTAATTATCTGTAGCCTGTAAACAAAATCAGCATAATTGGTATAACTTAATATTAACGACTCACAAAGTTGTTTTTTAGATATGAATTTAAAAAAAGATCTGCTTCGACAACGATTTTTTAAGCAACATTTTTGAACAGTTTATTTAACTTGTTCTTTAAATCTCAATTTAGTGTCAACATAAGTTTCCAAATTTTTTAGCTTAGTGTGTGTTTGTGGAAAGAGAGAGTGGATGGCATTGATTTTAATCTTTTGCCACAGGAATTGTTAATAGTAAAAAGAATTTTTCAATTAAATGCGTATTTTTTCCTCTTGAAGAAAATGTATAAGGGCATCGTTTATTTATTTTTTATTTATTTGTAATAGGTAAAAAATACTTACTGGTAGGGGTAAATCTTGTTTACAAAAGATTTGGATGAAATTGTTTGTGATTTGTATGTGATTTTTGCAGTTAAAAATATATGATTCAGATCGCAAACAGAAACCTCATCACAGGTACAAAAATAATTATTTCGCAAACCAATTTTTGCTAGATGGTTAAGCCTGAGTCGAGTAAACATAGTTGAATAGTTTCTTGGAACTGAGTATTCTTAGATATGTGGAATGTATTTAGATAATTTTTCATGTATTTATAATGATTTGTTGATTTGTGTACATATGTTTTCCAGTTATTTTCCCATTATTTCCTACTTTTGGCTTTTACATGGCTTAACTACCACATTATCAATTTCAATGCTTAAATTATTTTACAACGTCTGTAACTTACCAAAATATTGCTTCAGTTTATGCAGGATTTATTTTTAGTCCATGTTTTACTGAATATTCGGATATATTAGACATAGTTTAATTTATTTCTAAACTAGCATTACCCAGTTCATTAACTAGCAAAAAACACTAAAACCATGACCTATACTCAGTGGCGGCTCGTGAGGTGGTTCACAGGGACAGAATATAAGTATCAGTACAGATGTATGAAAAAATTTTCAGTGTTTTAGAAAGTTTATAATATACCTTTATAAAACACTGACAGTTTTTTACCTATATCTGTACCGGGATCTATATTCTGCTACTGTGAACCCCCAAAATTTTGATCACGAGCCGCCCCTGCCTATATTGTTACTACCAAAACACTAAACTTCCGAAGAATAATGTGTATTATTTCTGAATATTTTGTTATAAGAGGGTGCATGACCTTATTGTCTCCCCACAACTTATATCGCAACTTAATTTCAATATACCCAAATTTAATTTAAGAAATGAATTCTGTTTTTATTTACTATTTTCAAGAACAAATGTAAAGTGTAATGTAAGTACCAAAATTATCTGTTAAAATTTGATTGTTAAATTAAATTAATCATCTTACAAAGTACCGAGCCTTAGATATGAACCTGCAAGATTTTTTTGGAAGTGATGATTCAAAATACTTTCTATACATCAGCGAGAAGTAGTCTGCGAGATGCTCACAAGAAAAAGAGAGATCGAAATACTTGTGATTTGGATTTCTTGAGGATGCGATGTTGCCGTAGCAAAAATCTACTAGCAATTTAAATATTATAAAATATGGTTACACTCAACAGAATTTCATTATTATGTTATCGGTCTGATCCAGTCTTGGAGTATACCTAGACATATGAATGAAGATTGAATGTAATTATTCCAAGAAAACTTATGGGTCTTCATATGTAATTAACAGGATTATGTACTTATCTAAATAGGAAATATATACCAATAAAAATATTTTTGATAATAACAGCTTAAATACTATTACAATTACCACCTAATTAGGTATATATTTAATCCCTATGAGTGGTAACATGTTAAATATCAATATCACCAATTGTCTGAGATTTAATTCAATTGGGATCTTGGAGACGGGACAATTACCGTTTCACACATCCATACCTACATATTATTTTTTGTTTCACTATTTATACTAATAAAAAATGCAGATTTCTTTAAAAAAGGTTTACTCACCTGAGCTTTGTATATGTCCAACCACAACTTGGGAAAATACGTGGAATGTAAAGGAACAGCTTCGAAACCAACAACGGCACTTAAATTAATCAGTACTTCAGGAACAGAATCAGTATTTACAGCTAATCTAAATATAACGTCTATAAAATCGTGATACGGGCCATAGAATTTGTCTAGTGCCGAATCGTATTCGGGATCCACACCCTGAAATACAATATTATTACAGTCGCTGCATTTTATGAATATTATATATCGATAATGTAAAGAACCTTATTATGCCTGACCGGGCGATAAAGTCTAGATTATAAATAAGTTTAGCGGGCGTAAAGAGTTCCTTTATCGCCCGCGGACTACTTTACCACCCTCCAAACGGTAAAGTAAATTTCTTTTAAAAATTCACATCTAGTTAGTAAAATTAATAGACGATCATTAAAACGGTCATACATAAAATTCTATATATTTGTTAATAAATCATCAATAAAAGGGTCGTGCATAAAATTTTGTATGTATTTAGGGCGTAAACAGCGTTTATGGACCTTAAGTTGCGGTTCGTAAACGCCTGTTTTACTCCCTTGATACATAAATAACTATTAAATTTCTAAATGCCCATATCTATTAACAGTATATTAATGAACAAAAATATAGAACAAATAAATAGATCAATATACAATTATTTATTTTTTCACTATTACTTACCCTACTGCACTCTAACTGGTTATGGGGTACCGTCATCTGGACCATGGGTCTAAGGGGTCTAGCGCCTCCTTTACCAGTTAATATGGGCAAGGAATGTCCTTTTCTTGGGAAATAAGGTCCCAATGGCACTGCATCCTGGCTATCTTGAAAGGCTGAGTGGCAGTGAGATAGTAACGGCACAAGAACTTGCATAGTTTCAGGTGTCATTACCACAACAAATTCTTTAAGTACATCTGACAAAAATAAAACAATGGTAATTAGAATGTCTTTCTAATTAAAACTAAATTAATACTGTTGAAAGATATATAGTATGTTGACACGACGCACCAAGCAAAATAAAGATGAGATGCTAAATTATATTTGGAAGTGAGAGCGATAGAGAGTAATTGGTTTAACCAAGCCCTTTCGATGGCAAGTATCGGTTATTACGGTCCCCTGAGCGACGCTATTATTATGTCTCTCTATTGAATGGCATTGTGTTTCTTTATCGTTCTCTGTCAGGACGGAAAAGTTAACATATTGTATGAACTAAGATGTGTAGGTATATTTGTATTTCGCGCCATGTTAATATTAGTAACCATGTTGGTATTACTGTAAGGGTGACACTTGACAGTTGTCAGTCCGTCACCTATGTCTCCGGTTTTTATTAGATTGATTTATGATCTCGATGTGCGAGGTGCTTTTAAGGTTATGTTTAAGTTTTGGTTATGTATAAAATGCCGCTATATGATTTATCAGGTTTATTTTGTGGGAATAAACAGCCATCCGACTACAAGTTGTTTAATTTTATGATCCCCCACAGATGTACGTTACTAATCGGGTATCAAGTACATATAAGAAACACAAGAGAATCACTATACTCTGTTTTTAAACTAAGAGGAGCGATTTGAATTTAAGTTGGCAATTCTGTAGCCTTCTGATTGGTCAGATTACAGTCAGTTTCACACATTACTTTTTAGCATGAACATCAGCTAATAATTGATATTGTTGACAGTTTTGACATTTTATAATTTGATATCCATTACTTAGTTTTTACTTTATTTCGTAAATAATAGTTCTTCAGTAAACAATTGTATTGAAAATCTACAATTATGGATCCTTCTACACTGAGTACTATTAAAGGTAACAATTCCTGAAAAGCCTTACAAGAAAGGGAAGACACCTTATTATTTTACATGCTGATTCTGAAGGTTTTGTAGAAAATGCATTATTGGTTTTTGAAGGTAAAAAGATGGGAGATTACCATGAAGAGATGAATTCCGAAGTATTTTAGAAAAAAATAATTTTATTACTGATTTTTTTAAACTAAAAATTGATGAATTTCTAACCAAAATGATTAAAATGTAACTAAATATTCAAGCAAATTTTATTTATTAGAATAGAATAAAACCATTTACAAAATTGTTATAACATTTAAAACACCATCTACTACTTTAGGGATAATCTTAATTTGGCACAATGAGTTAACATTATTTTCACAAAAAATATTTTAAAAATACTTAAAACATAGGTATGTATGAATAGTTCACTTTAAAAAATATATGTTGACATGTAGTGTTATGAAAATGTTGGTTCCAGTTTTCAAAACAAATTCTGACTCATAGGCCTGTAAACTTTTGAATGCCTTTATTCGCCCTCTAGCGCATTAACCATGGGTTAACACTAAATAAGCCATAATATCCACATTACTCATAGAAGAGATACCAGTTACTGTGTGATCCACTTGTCATTCACTGATTAACTTTTACTTTTTATACCTATAACAAATATATCCTTAAAAATGTAAACAGATCTTTATATTTATACTAACCTGGCTACATCTGGATATTCCATTAACAATTTTCTTAAATATTTATTATTCATTTTAAAAAGATTATAGTTATTCTCAAAAAGTCGATTTCAAAAGCAAGAAAAAAGTATTTCTGACATCAATCAACAACCATATTGACTTTAATTTGACAGTGACATTTCGTTTTAGACACACATTTCAGATCACAATAATGTGAAATTTGCGACCGTTGTCTGGGACCAATTAAAAAATTACTTCTATGACATTTATTCGTTTCTTAACCGCTCATTGGCCGTTCACCGACTAAGGCCGATAAAGATAATTATTTCATACATTTTGAACACGACTATATTTCGAAACTCGCTCTTAGTAACAAATCTAGTTACTTTTCCCTGTGTAAATGCGTCTTTTCAATTCGCTCCTCTTAGTTTAAAAACAGAGTATAGTAACAAATTTAGTTACTTTTCCCTGTGTAAATGCGTCTTTTCAATTCGCTCCTCCTAGTTTAAAAACAGAGTATAGATGCCATTTTATACAATTCCATAACTTTCAAGAATATTTAAAAGTTGTTTGTCGTGAACGGTGTCAAACGTCTTTGTAAGGTCGATACAGATACCTACTTATATACTTGATATTAGTTCATGCATGGCATCGCTCGTATTTATCCCCTTTGGAAACCAAATTATTTTATACTCAGAATGACTGCATTTTTTAAATAACCATATAGCCTACTTTTTAAGAATTTCCAAAATATTTTACCAAAATTTGTGATTTTACTAACTGGTCTATAATTCGAAATATTATTCTTAGTTCCCTGCTTAAAAATGGCGTTGCTATTGTATATTTAAAAACAATTTATCGAACTAATTCCATCAATCCCAGAAACGCTGTTGACTTTTTATTAATGTCTTTTGAGAATATAAGGTCAATGAAAGTGTCTTTTGCGTAACTAAAAAATAAATAAATTTTTTGACCGTCTGTGAAACGAGATAATCAAAATGTGTATAATTAACACTCTTGAAGCCTGTCATGTACACAAGCAATGCATTTATTTGAAGATATCTCGAAAACGGTTCTTACCATATTTTTTAAAAACTAATGTAATGTAAATCAAGAAGTTATAAAATTAAAAAAAAAAACGCTGAATTTTTTGACTGTCTTGGTAAAAAGATATAGATTTTTAAAATAAAAATATTTTTAAAGCAGTCGACGCGTAATTGCGTAAAATGATTACAACTTGGCAACATTGTAATCGCTACACTTAACGTGTAGTAACACAATAACACTCGATCAGCTACGAGGTTGTTATAACCTCGCGACGTGTTCTTGAAAAATTAATTCGTCCACTGTATTTAAGAACTGGAAACAACGGTTCTGTTTGAAACAAAACAAACCCTTAAAATTATGAGGAAGTCACAAATTTCTATAGCCCACCATTCATATATTTGCGACGTTGCCGGATGGATTTTATTTACAATTATAACATCTATATATTTATATGTGTTGTGTATAGTCTCTTACAAAAATAAAAAAAAATTAGCATTGAGAATCTCGAACTTTTGGTATTCACCATTAGGCGATATTTTTATGTACGACTGTCGCGAGTGAACTACCTTAAAGGGTTAGCCATTTTTCTGCCTTGTTTCTATTTGTGAAAAATATGCAATAATTAGCCATTTTTTTTATCAGACATTGTTTTTATTATTGTATTTTTGTTTGATTTGTCTGTAGCTTCTTTTAATAAATCATTAAAAAAGTTTAAATGTTTTCAATTTGATTTGTGTAATACTGATCTTTAGCATTTTAATAGAAATAATTTCAAATAAATAAATATTAATACTCAATAAGTGCCAATAAGGCACTTGTTTTGAGATAACAAATATACAAATAAACAAATATATACATATAAAATAAAATTAATGCATATATTTTAGATATTTTATATAGGGGCAAACACAATCAAAATACCTACATTTAATTAAAAAGATATCGAAACGTTGATCATACAAAACGAAAAAGTTATTTGAAAGAATATTATTTATTACGTCTATTTTTTTATTTTTGGTAAATTTTTTAAATTATTTTTAAATATGGACAAGGTATTACATTTTATGTCGACTGGGAGGGTATTATATAATTTTGGACCTAGATACAAATACGATCGTTGTCCTACTGATTTCTGAGTACGTGGCACAGCATGGAGATGTTTTTTCCTTGTGCTAAATGGATGATCTGGTAAGTTAAATAGTTGTTTATTTGAATGATATTTAATATTAATATTATAATGAAAAATTTGTTTTAGATCCATAACATTTGCCTCAACAAACAATGAGTTTGAAGAATACCTGTAGGGCCTTTTGAGCATTATTTTTAAAAATCTTTTTTGCAGAACTTCAAGTGGTTGTAAATGTGTTTGTAAAGTACAACCCCCACACAATGATGGCATATCTCAAATGACTTTCTATTAAGCTATGATACAAGATTTTAAGTTGATGTGGTTGTAGAAAATTTCTTATATTTTTAAATTTATATATTATCATTCTTAATATTTGGCATATAAAAGTTATGTTTTCTCTCCATTTGAGATATGAATCCATGTAAACCCCCAGATATTTTATCTTGCCCAGAAGCAGTAAAAGTTAATTTGTTAAGTGGAGGTCTTATTATAATATTATTACTGAATGGTAGTGGGTTTTATCTACATTTAGTGTCAGTAACTTACTGCCAAACCAGCTTTAGGAGATCCAGTTCAACATTTTGCTTTAGTTCTAGCCATGAGTTAGCTTTATAAAATATTGAAGTGTCGTCCGCGAATCCCAAAACTTCCCCTGAACTCTCGATAGAAAATAATCCGTTGATGTAAAGATTAAATAGAATAGGACTGAGTACCGTACCTTGTGGGATACCATAAGTTATGGATACTAGTTCACTGTAGACACCATTTACTCTTGTAACTTGTTATCGGTTTTTAAGGTAACTTTCAAATAATTTGAATGATGTGTCCCTTATACCTGCTTCTTCTAAGGTATCCAAAAGTAAACGGTGGCTGACAGTATCAAGTACTTTTGAGAGGTCTAGATATACACAGAGACATGTTTTTTAAAACAATGTAATATTTGCTATATATGTAAGGTTTTATACGTGAGTAAATTAAAAGAAGCTTTTTGAATTGCGCTATTAATTTATATAAATGACATCAACTTACCTATACACAGCAATCTCATTTCAGGAGGATTATATGTATTAAGCAGCGTTGCTAATTTCCGTAACACTTCTAACCAGTCTTTAGTAGCTAATAAAATGCCTCTAGCGTCTTTACTATCCCTATACATTCTTATGCATTGTGTTAAATCTTGCATAATAGTCAGAATATCCAACATGTCTCCAACTACGTGACAAGCGGTTGCTTCATGTAACATTAAATGCAGATTTTGGAAACACTGTAAAAGTGAAAATGCTTTATCTTCCAATTTGGGGAGTTCTCAAAAATAAAAAACGATTTTTACATAAATTCAGTTTTATAGATTGAAATAAAATTTATTGATATATTGAAAAATGAAATGGTATCTTGAAACTACAAAAAAAAAAAAAAAATGGTTTAGGGACAATTAAATTCGCATCTTTGGCATCACAAAGCTAATTTTATTATTTTTGGAAAAGCAAATTGAACTCGAAAAAAATAGGATGAAAATTCCTAATGGAAAGAGAATCTTATTCATTATTTGTTTAAATCAACAATTCATATTTACCTCAAAAACAATTTGCAAACCACCATTATAAACAACATAAAGTTTATCATCATTTGTTTCCAGTAATATCCTGAAAGCTGAAATCAGCGTACCCCAACTAGTTCTTCCATCGAGACACTAAAATATATCAAAATTATAAAGTGTAAAGCAATGCAAAATATAATGTCCTTACCTGTAAATAAGTCATCAACGTATTTTTTCTAAAACTATAAATTTCCCTTTGCTCTGTTTCAGAAGAGTCGGGATGTTTTATTACCATCAACTGCATAAGTTTAAATAATTCCTCTACAGCCTACAAAATGAATAATATAAAATTATTAGGAATATAATCCTGTATTTTAATATTTACCTGTGGATATTGTGTGGGATGAGGCGTAATGTTTTTGAAGGCCCACTGAAGGTTCTGGTGCTGGGCAAGGCTCCTCGTAAATGCTCTTGATTGTTGGCACATCATTCTAAGTAGGCCATAATAAGCTGGCAACATGGCTCTATTGTACATAACTATTTCTTGATCGTCATGATCAGCCCTAAAAAGTACATTTGATGTTAAAAATGTTTTCTAAATTTTGATAAGTTTACTTACAGAATATAGTTAAATGCAATATTCTTGGTAACATGAGCATTTTGAAGCATCAGTTGAACATTTTCAGGACAATCTGTACATACATGATTCCAAAAAGCCAATAAGGTCTGTTTGTTATGGTAAGCAGGAATGGACGGTTCAGATAATTTGGGATGGAATAGATGCCACAATTGCATGAAATACTGACCAAACTGAAATTCATAGAAAAAAAAAAGAGTTATTTGATAAAAAAGAACCCCGATAATAGTTTACTGTTGAAGCTACAATTTTCTATTTTAATTTTAAAAGGAAACATTTTGTATAAATGTTTTATTTACAAAAAAAAAACTAAAAATTTCGATGATTAAAATATATTCTACGTACCATTAATTTTTCAGTTCTTGAAATACAACAATACATCAAAAGTGCAAAGTACGTGGTCAATTTCATAGTACCATGTTGTTGCATATCAGTATAATGTTTGGCAGCAGGTAAGAGCCTGAGCAATGCAGTGTAAATTTGATGTAACACTGTCGTGGCTTCCGGAGATAATTGTGGTTCACGATTGGACCTGTGAGTCGCTCTAAAACCTTGTCTGAAAGGTGTACTCGGAACCAGCGATACTAAGAGGTACCCTGCAGCTGTAAAATGAAATTTTAGAAATAAATATAAATTCTTCTGGTAAGATAATAAATAAATAAACGATATCCGTATTAATTTAATTTCAGCATTTATAACTACTATACTATCAAGATTAATATTTATTTTTTTTTAATTACTTTTTTTGGTTAAGGTTTATATTATCCTACAAAAGTTACGTTTCGCTAACGTGAGATGGAGTTACGATCTGTGTAATAATATGTATTGTGATGGGACTGATCTTATAAAATAAATATTTAAAACATTTTAGTTCTTACTTTAGTTGCCAATAAAAGGTATTTAAAAAATATATTTTTTATTTGACATCTGCGACAAATTGTGAAAAATAATTAAACTTACAATAAAAACTGAAAAATATTTTTTAAACAAAAATTAATGTCAAGCTTTTTACATAACCTGATATATATTTAAAAATAATCTCAAATTATGAAGCTAAGTCAGTTTACTAACTAATAATGTTTATAGATGATTTTCAATGTATTAAAAACAAATATTACACTAACTAAAATATTCATTTATTAATAGCTGTAATGCTTGAAAACAGTATGATGTTGATAATAATAACTACACTTAATACAAACTCAAATAATAAAAAAAACAGCGATATTGGCTCTTGTAAAGAGTTTTGAATCGAACTTATAGTAAAATTATTGGAAAAAGTGAACACCAATTTTAAATTACCACGAGCCGCCACTGAGTACTAAGTAAAATGTTTAAAAATAAAGAACAAAAATATAACAGATTCAGTAATATACAACTTACTATTTCTGACTCTCTGATTGTTGTGAGCAATTAGAAAGTGTTCCAACCAAGAGTCCATTGAGCCAAGGACCCAAGAATGTACTAGTCGATTTCTAGTAACCTGAAGAGCCAACCAATCCAACGCCAGATACGGACAGCATTCGGCGGCGTCCCATACCTTCTGAAGCACTAACTGGGTGAAGCATGGTTGTTGAGAAGAATTTTGATTATTGGTTTCCGTTAGGAGTGTAAGTATTTTAAAAAACGGTTGACAACCCTAGAATGAAGATGTTTTTATTTATTTTTACAAAAAGGTAAATTTTAATTAATCAATTTAACAATAAAAGTGACTTTTAGAATAATTTTTATACATTATAAACTATTCATACCTCTGAATTTCTTGATATCGCCTGCGATATCATACAGATGATCAACTGTGCTAGTTGATTGTTCCCCCTACACACCGAATGTATGAGATTTCTGGTTTGTTGTAGATTAATGTTATCCTTGATTTGCTGATAGAAAAATGTAAAAACTTTTCCTCCAGCTATTGCCGCATAATCTTTCTCGCTAAGCTGCAATTTTCCTGCCGAATCTCGACTTTTTTCTACTAGCGACGCTATCAGGGTGATCATTTTATCTAACGACGCTGGTTTATATTTATCTGTGGGTAGAGAAACGACTTCTTCCTCTTCTTCACCTTGAAAAATATAATGAATCAATGTTACCCGATTAATGTCAGAATAAAAAATTTACCTTCACTAACATCCACGAACTCATTTGTTTTTTGACCTAAATAAAAATGCACCATTGAATGAATGGCACCCACAGCCAATAAAAATTTTGATTCTTCTTCGCCCATTTTACTGAATTCATAGAGAAATCCGAAATATTCAGTAAGATGTTTAAGATGAGCTTTTGCTCCATGTTCCATTAAAGACAGTAATGTCTTAATAAACCTAAAAATACATGTTATATATCTTGAATTCCATTAAATTAAAGAGTGTACCTCGTAACACATGAAGCATTGCCAATTTTTGCAGGTTCCACATTACCAGCTTCCTCTTTGTTCCATTCTTTTCCATCTTCCATTTGAAGATATAACTTAGAATGTGACTGCTTCAATCTTTGTATGACGTGAATGCAAAGCCTTTGAAACATTTGTCGTACCATCTGATTTGGACATTTTAGTAGAACCTGTATAGGCCACCAAGTGTCTAGAGCCATATGATCCAGGAACCAAATGCAAGCCTCTTGACAAGCATTGAATTGTTTGGTTACTAACTCTACCCATTGAACCATTGTTGGTTTTTCTTTAGCATGGATAAAAGTTTCTAAAAATACACGTTTCGTATTTAAATCACAATCTAATTTTAAATAAAAACAGTATTTTATGGACTCTTATGTATCATACTTTTCTACTAACCGAAATGTTTTCCTTTATCAATGATTAAAAATTAAATATGCTAGTTAATAGTGGCTTTATTTAAATATATTTTTTCTGACACATGTGTTAAAGAACCGTTAGAACAACTGTATAGGAGTGCAGACATTTCTAAAAAAACTACAAATACATACCTATAAAAAACGTTGTAGACAACTGGGCTGCTTTTTGTGTTATATTAGGTTCTATTGGTAAAATAGTTTGCGGTATATAACCGCAAATTTGCCACATGAAATTGAAATAAGTGTGTTCGAATATGTTTTTGTCTTGAATGAAATGCATGTTATCTTGCCATATCCAGTCTTCTAGTTCTTTACTTAATTCGATGGTCATGACAGGGGATGGGGAATTGGTAATGGTTTCACAGCATTCTCCGGTAGTAGAAGGACTTCTGGAAAAACAATTGTATTTTCATTTTGTGAGCAGAAACCAAAACCAATAAATTATGTCGATATAAAGGGGCAGTGATGTTGGTTAAATACATACAGGGTAATTTATAAAACATAGGCAGATTTCTCACATAAAAATAGGATTTTTTTTTATAACAACATAGATCTGATTATGCCTCGTTTCGGAGCTACAGAGTGTCAAAATTTAAAAAAAATAGTTAATTTGTACAGGAATGGTTAATATCTTAACTATATGTTCAGGACTTCAATTATTCATATTTTGCTAAATAACACTGGGTCAAATGTTATCTACTCCTGAGATACAGGGTAAAATTTATTTTTCGTTTTTTTTTGCATCATTTTCGTTATTATTTAACGTATTGACTCAAATTTGGTATGCTTATATTTTTGGACTTGTAAGTGGCCTGCCTTTTCACTAACTACTTAGATGGAATTTGGTGAAAAAAGTAACACTGCAGTCATTAACTCTAAAAATGAATTATTTGACAGATATACATTTTCAATTTTATTTTCAAGTCTATTATGCTGAAATATTGTAAAGTAAATTAAATATCTAGATACAGCGGCTAAAAAATTTTAAATAGGTTAAGGATACGTTTTTTGTTCAAGTTTACCGTAATAATCTTATTTTTTTTAGAAATTACAAGCATAAAAAATAGTTTTCTTAATCCAGTAGAGTTTAGGTGCCTCCATGTGTCTAATCTCAAAATTGATAACATGCATATAGTTTACTAGCTCAAAAATATAACCATACTAAATTTCAAGTCAATACATTAAATAATGACAAAAATGTTGTAAAAAAAAAAAACGAAATTTTTTACTTTAACACCCTATATCTGCGAAGTAGATAACATTTGACCTAGTGTTATTAATCAAAATATTATTATCTTGAGGTTCTGAACTTATAGTTAAAATATTTACCATTTCTCAAGAAACACCCTGTATATAACTAAAACTAGATAAAATTAAAATATATAAGAAAATTTGTTGAAAATATAGTTTCCTAATATACGCCACAAATTTAATGGGATATTCCATGGGTCAAAATAAGAAAAAGTTTCTATAAACGTATATCTGGAAAAGCTTAATTTTCGATATAGGTGGAATTTTACAATTTTGTGGGAATATTACAAAAATTTTGTTTTATACGTTTTTTAAACTTTCATTGAAACTATAATTACGCTTATGACCCAGAATTGTTTGGTTTCTTTTGACGAAGTCCTGATGATGGCTTAATGCCGAAGTCAAGAGTAATACATATGTTGATATTAATTAGATAGCAAAAAGAAGCAGTTACTACCAATTTTGTTTGCTTTATGCTTTATTAAAAACATTTTATTAACCTATAAAGTTATTTTCATTACATCATTTTGGTAAACATATAATATTTAACGTCACGGTTGCAATAATCTCCAACTGAGGGTAACACTATCTTTTCAATTTTTAACAAAAATGATTTATTGGATAATTTACATATAAAAGACACTAAAATTTACCTTTGTGTAGTGGCTTCATTTCGAGGACATCGTTCATAAAATAACATGTATGCACTATTAGTTTTCTCAAAACTAAAATCCATAAACTTATCAGTTACACTGTCATAAGTTTTGCTAGTCATCTCTCCACCAAAACATTCGGCTGCTATTTGATTAGGATCGAAAGGTTTCACTTCTGCATCGTTGAAAAGAAACCATTTATCCCTAGAACCGGCTGTCCTGTCCTTAATGAAACTGTAATAATGCCCGCCATCAGCAGTACCTGAAAAATATAAATTAGTAGTCGTTCGTTTTTTTTTTGTAATTTCATAAATCTCATTTTAACAGTTTTGTTTATGGAGTAGGGCTCAGCAAAAACAAAAGTTTGAAAGTGATATTTAGAGACTTTAGTACAGAGCACAACTTACCAGTGTGTACAGTAACCCCTATGAGATCATATTCATACTGTTCATTCTCTTCAGTCTCTATTTCAGTACTTTTTTGTTTTTCTTCTTGATATTGTTGAGGCATGAGCTGTTTCTCTACATATCCCGCCATGTTCAGTCTCAAAGGGAATGAAAAATGAGTGTTAACTTTCTCCTTGAGCATCGTTAACATATTGAAAGTATACCGCATAGTATTGAAACAAAGTATGTGCGGTAGTTTTTTAAAACAAGCTCGTTTTTCTGCTCTGACTTTTTTACCGCATTGAGAGCATGTATACATGTTATCGCCTTCTAATGTATCTTTGACTGTAACTTCATCTAATGATTCATAGAGATTGCGCATGTCCGCCACTTGGCATCTTACTGTGTAAAATTCTTCCAAAGTTCGACTAACGTGCGCACAATCCAGAGAAACTACATTGTTGCTTATAACACCACAAAATAAATTCTTTATTACTTCTTTCAGCGCAGGGGTCATTTCCTCTAATTTGCTAACCTAAATAAACATGTATAAATTTAATAAAAAAACAAACAAAAAACGCTCAAGTTATCACTTATTTGGAAAAATTAGTACTGATAATTTAATTCTTTTGATGCTTGTTAAAATCTGATAAATTAAAATTATTCAAACTATAGAATTTAAATTAAGTCAAAACAGCTGTAATTTATAAATATAATAATCAAAATCGACTGAGAAAGGGTAAGTTATAATAAAAAGAAGAAAAGTATATAATATACTAACCAGATCTATAAAAAATTCGGCCATATCCTTCTGTTCTGCAGTATTCAGAGGTTGATGGTCCATTGAATAAACTTTGCAAAAGCTTCTAGGGTTGTAGGCTTTTCGTTCACTTTCCAATAAGTAGGCAAACATTCTTTGCAATTCTTTTAGGGTTGGTTCATGCTTTGCTTGTTCAGTATTCGCAGCTAAAATGGAAGCTCTAGCTTGTGGCATCATATATAGATGTTGCATACAAGAAGCCATGTAACATGTGGCGCCCAAATTAGTTAAACCTAAAGAATATATAGATAATAAGTTATAAACGTTAACATCAATTCAGAGAAAAAATAGATTTGGACTATGGCTTGATTTTTTACTTTGAATCACTACTATGATTAGTAAATTTAAATTAATGAGGTTTCTGTTCCTCAAATCATTAACAAATTAAATATATTTCGCGAAAATATTTAAAAAGTCGATAGAAAAACACATAAAGAATGTCAGTTGACGAAGATTAAAATAGTTAAGTAGTAAAATACCGTAATGATAATGTTTCTATCTTCAAGATTTTGTATGTGGGTAAATTTAAAGATACATAATAATATGAATAATACGGTAATAAAAATTAAATTTTAAACATTTTTCTTACAATTATCTTCTTAAATGTAAGATAATGTATATAAAGTAAAAATATTTTAAGCATTATAATGACTTAATATTGTGACCATAACGATAATACATGTTTTAAAAATATGAACACTCTTTAAGGAAAAACATTTTTCTGAGTTAACACGTTCGCGTTGACGTTGACAAATTTCAGGATTCGTACCATACGAGTCAACGGTGATACGTTTGGTTGGGATACCTCCTGCACCGTGTGTATCACTGAAGATATTGAGAATTGCTTATTGCAATCAGTTTTATAAATGTATGGTACAGTTTAAAGAAATTTAAACTAAAGAACCGGTACTGAAAGGAACTTAGTAAAGGAGTCATCACTAGTGATAAAAATCATAGTTTAGTTTGATATTAATTAAGTATAGCTACTGTTCTATTTATATTAACAAAAAACGAAAAGATACAATGTACAAACGTTTAGGCGGTAGTAAGAGATGTTTAAAAGAATAAACCACTTTAGACAATTGGAATAATAAAATGTAACTGATGAATTTTAAACAAAACCTAATATTAAAAAGTTATTAGATTTAATAGAAAATGTAAAACTAAATGGAATTACTTATATGAATCATGAAACTGCCTCTGTCTAAGCAGTATGTCTAAATGAACAGTTATAACACCGCCGAAAGAAAAGAATCACAATTCCAACAAACTTCACCATAACTTATTCTATGATGCGACACTGGCGGACAAACTATGTCGCGAAATTCTCGAAGTCGTCCGACGTGGTTCGACATTTACCACATCTCCCAACTACTGTTCAACTTTTGTCTAAGCTCTAGAAGAAATTACCTTCTTATAACTTGCAAGAGATACAATGAAGGTAAACGTGAGAATTTAGTTACGCAAATTTTTTTAATGGAAAAGATTAAATATTGTTATTTTTATCAATCTTAAAATGGTTGAAAAGATTAGAGAAATTAATAAAAATAAATTTCGGTTTATAGAAAATCTTAATTTATATTTATTATTAATCAATGCAAGGATCATATGTCAAAGTGTTTTGTTTAGAAACATTTTTTCTTGTTTTTAGTTATTTTAACATGCTGATTGTTGCTATTAATACCCTGATATTCCCTTCCCCATGAAAATAACTCACCAACATATCCACATTCTGATCTACCATCCTCATGTGGCCAATAATCCCATGGATAAGGAGAGTTAGGACCAGGCTGATGTTGTTTTAGTAACTTCTCATGAAGAATAGCGTAATTTTCAGGACACCCTTTAACTAATTCCACTAATAAGTCAAACGCAGCTGTTCTTGACCGTGGAGATTTGCATTTCGGCACATGCCTCAGTTTTGGACTGGGCAAAGCAAAGAGAAAGTCGAAGATCTAAAATAAAAATAATAAAAGTTGAATTTTTATAAACATATCGTTCTTAAGAATTTGATTCATAAAGAAACAAGATCCAATAGATTTCAATAAAGGATAATTTAATGCATGAAATAATAACCTCAACTGGAATCTAAAAAATGAAGGCAGAATAACAGTCCAAGGCATATGGCAACGCACTACAAGCTGAATCAGACGGGTCAGCCCGGATGTAAAAAAATACAGTCCTCAAATTTAAATATTGCAATTTATCTCCGAGATAAATGATCTTAAGTATGATATAGTGTTAAGCAACAATTATATATTTTAAAATTTTTAGTTGCATCGTTTGTATAAGGAAAGGAATTCTTTCTAGCAATATAATATAGCAAACTATTACAAATTCCTTCCATTTTTCTACTTCCTATTAAAGACGAATAGTCTGGAATTCAATTAAGCCCTGAAAAGTATATAAATTAAAATAAACAAATGAATATATGATTAACAAATAAAATGTTAGACAGAAATTAACCCAATTTAATATTGCCTAAAATGCATCCAAACTTAATTCTAACTCAAATTCAGCAAGTTTATGACTACAATATTACTTCTGCAGCATGATATTTTTTGAAATTGTAATAAATTAAGAATCAAGGTAATATTTAATTGTTTACAACTAGACTCGAAGGCGTCAAATAGTCTTTCTAAATCCATAAATATTAATTCAATGATTTGTTGCACTTGATGACATTGTTAATTAGAACTTTCAACATAAATTACAAAAAATTACTTTTTTAAATAATTTCTACAAATAGAGTTAACTCAGAACAGGAAACTACTGACCATAGTTGTAGAAGCCAATGACGCAAATAAAAAGAAGCTGTAAGGAATGAATTCAAATCAATATACTTACTTCACATAAAAGTTCCTGTCCAGTCTTTCCCGTCTGAAAGGCGAATTTGTGTTTAAGCAAATTAGTCATTAAATTCAATAAACCAATCAAGCCGTCATCATCTATAGTGTGATGCCTTGTTTCGAGAAAATCTCTACTTAGAATAGATCTAGCAACTTTTTCAGTCAAATCGTTAATATCAATAACACAGTTTTGAGGATCATCTAAGCTTTCTTTAACCAATTCATCAGGTAAACTGTCTACGAGACGTGATATGAGCCAAAAGTAATCACGGCATGCGGGACCATACGGTTCCTTGCCTTCTTCGGGCGCTTGCAGTGCCTGAAAGATGAAGTAGAATTTACAAATGTTGCCTAGGTGGAATATTTTTTAAATTACCTCCAATTTTTGAGCTCGCATACCCTCAGCTTTACCCAAGTATATCAGTAAATTAGAAAGCATCGGTGCTATTAGACTATTCTCTAGGGGTTCCCGATTTACAGGAACTCCTAAACATAACCTATATATTGCAGAGCAAACTTCTCTTCTAACAGCTGGTTCAGGATCTTCTAATACCTAATTGAAACAATGAAATAAACTGTTGTAATGGATTAACCCTTTACTTTTGGTTTATTATGATTGTTAACAAAAAAACGGATACAGTATAAATGAAAATATACAGTTGAGAGAAAATGGATTAATTCATTGACAAATCTTTGACAAACTTACCAATCTTTGCAACCAATCTGAAAAGCTACTTGTCTGAAACAACTCAACTCTAGCTTCCTCGCAACAATTTAACCAGGACACCAACAAAGCCATTGCGTAATGAACAACTTGTGCTCTTCCCCAAAATCCAGTCTTATAATGATTCACGTCTTTAGGCCTGGAAGCTTCTTCAAGAATACTAGTAATTTTTTCCATCATAGATTTCGTTTCGATCAAAGCGAGAAGGCATCCATTGAGATCTGGGATGATTATTTTATCGGTTCGCGGCTTTACGGACTCTGGAGATACTGATTCAACACCTAAATGGCACAATATTTTTAAGAGGGAAGCCAAACAGTCTTGTTGCCAGTCTGAACAGTCTCCACCTTCTCTTTGGAGAATACCTAGAAACAAATTTTATATTCAAATATAAAGATTATTTTAAGGAGGGTTAAAATTATAACTGTATATTACGAGTGACGGGTTAATGCTAACTTACCTGACATAAAAATATCAAACAAATGGCTTAATCCTCCGTGTTTTACAAATTTTCTTGTCCATGATTCTTCCTCTACATCTTCATCAGAATATTTTCCTTGATGCATTTTTGCGCTCAATGATTCTACTATATACAAAGAATACATTAATTTTTGCGCGCTAGATGGGTCTAATAATTCCGGTAAAGGTATATCCAAGTATTTAAACCCACGTAATAATTTGGGACTAGTTGGTAATAAACTAAGTATGTCCCATACACGTCTGCTTAGGACTTGGGCCTTGGTATGCGGTAGATGTCGCTAAAAATAGAGTTTATTACCAAAAACAAAAACGTTTTATCAAACAAAACTGGTCTAATTTTGATACCGTTCTGGTTTGAGTTTTTTGTTTCTCTAATCCAGTTTTTAGGTTTTATTGTTTGACCTTCGAATTAATTTCTAGAAATAATTATATTCAAAGTTAAATTAATCAGTTAATTATAGCATTTTGTTTTCGCGAATACTTCGTATCTTGTAAACGGTTAAATATTCCGCAGATGCATTCTGTTAAATGGGTTAAAAGTTGCCTAAAGCGGTTGTTGTGAAAATATCTCTTATATCCAACCTTGTGAAAAGATCACATATATCCAGTACCGTTTTAAAGTTACGGTTTTTTGTACCTAGCGTTTTGATTTGTCGAGTAAGTAGGTACTAAAAAACAAAACAAAAAATTAGAATTTACATTTTTTGATATGCTGATAAAAATAAAAATGTTAGAGCCAAAAAACGAATACACTATTTCTGTTTAACCTAAATAACTCGAAAAGGGCTCTGGATATGGGGAAACGTTTCACATCATATTATTGTTCTCAACAGGTAACTGTTGGGAGAAGCCTGAAAAACAAAGTTTGAAGTGAATCTCATCACCACAATATATACTAGATCACAGGCTTCATATATTTCTGTCGTCTGTTATAATGTTGGTATAGTATACCAAAGGTAGTGGGTTCGATTCCTACCGGGAGCAGGTGACATCTCTTTTCGTTGCTCATTATATGTTTAATGTTATATGGGCCAAAAATACGTACATCAATTTTATTGATTGATAAATCCGCGTCCTGTGATCTTATTCGTCCCCCACCTATCAATTATCTATACTTCACTATAACATACAATCAATCCATCCAAAAATATTAGAATTAGAGCCGGTTGTAAAAAAATCATGACATTCTGTGCTTTAGCGAGCATTGGCTAAGAGAAGAAGAGGTAAGGAATTTCCAAATTGATGGGTATCAAACTAAAAGTGACTTCTCAAGAACATGGTGGTGTAATGATTTGCATTGATGATAAAATAAGTCACAAATCTGAACAACGTCTAGACATAACACGAAGTTCTTTAGTAAATGAGAACTTTGACATATTCCTCAATAGCCTCAGTGATCTTCTCGAAAACGCATGTAAAAAACAAACAAATATTATCCTGATAGGGGATTATAACATTTAGTTTAACCTAACTCCGCACATAAACAAACCAACCAATGGGAAAAACTGTATTGACAATATTGTCTCCAATATTGAGACTATTACTCACACAAATGTCACTGAAGTCAAAAGCCTGTCAGATCATAGCTATATCTCAATGTCTTTTCAATTACCCATAAAAGTGAACAAACCAGAAACAACAGAATATCGTCCAATAACGAAAATGGGTCTAAACAATTTTTTAAACTTCATAAAACAGATTAACTGGACTTTTGTGACTAACACTAATACCTCAATAAATCAGAAAATTAACCAGTTTTTTGAAATTATGCAGAGAGGAACTGAAACCTGTTTTCCAGAAAAGACAAAAAAAAAAAAAAAAAAAAAAAAAAAAGATAGCTTGCCAATCGTTTGGTATACAGAAGAACTTAAGCAGATGAGGGAAACATTAAATTTTCTGTGTGACTTCTCTAAGCTGCGAAACACTTTTAAACAAGAACGTAAAAAATATCGCCAGGCACTGGCTGCAGCAAAGAAAAGAGCAAATGACAATTTCATTACAAATGCCTCAAATCCTCAAAAGGCCTTGTAAATAACTCAAAATCAAAACAGAAAAAAACTGGACACTAATCTAACTCCGGATGATTTTAACAACTTTTAAATGTAAAGAATAGCATACCAGAGAATGTCCTGGGAGATGATAACACCATATCAAACTTACCAAAAACCAATTGGACGTTTTCTTTTACTATGGTAAGTTGCAACATTGTTAAAAATATAATCTTAAACTTAAAAAATAAAAACTCTATTGATTGCTATTTGATGAATGCAAAAATATTAAAACATATTTCCTCAGAAATACTTTTACCTCTTACGATTCTCTGAATGTATAACACAGTCAATTTATCCTATCAGTCTGAAATGATGTAATTTTTGTATTTTAATAACATGAATAAACTACTCTATTAACCTTAGAGTAAGTAAAAATCAAAATTAACAAAATTACTAACTTTAAGGCATTGGCAACTTAAAAAACTTTGCTCAAAATAAGTTGTCAATACTTTCAAGGATTTATCTGTACTTACCCCTCCTTTAATTTGAATTGTCATGGAGCTCAGTGTGTGCATTAAAGAAAACAGCTGTTCAAAATAATTCGGTTGTAATAATAGTAATGTAGGTAGGCATTCTCTGGGCGGCGGAGGATGTAAAGAAGGTGCATCCATGCATTCTCTTTTTTTCATGTTCCTCGACATTCCAATAGAAATGTACACCATCTGAAAACGAAAGTTTCAATAAAATAAGCAGTTTGTTTACTTGTTTTAAAGAAGCAAATATATGTGGAATTTTTATCAGAAGGGCTGAAACATTTTACATAATAAAGTGTAAAAGTGTACAGTACCAAAAATATTAATGTCTGCTCAGAAACGCATCTCTTAAGTCAAAGCTAATATCTGTACCTCGGAGCCAGACTATGTTAAGTCCAAATTGGCCAAAAGTTTAGATAAATATGTTAAGTGACTTAAAATTTTGCGGCGCATCGTTTGGCATTTTCCATTTTGACGTATCTTTTAAAATAACAAAAATAGCTAATGTTTAACTACGCTAAGCCCACAGTCCACACTCTAAAATGAATATATTAAAAATGCTCTCCTGAAAAACTAAGTTTTTGGACTTACCGTACTCTGACTCTGGGGTACAGATATTAATATAAAATAATTAACAAGAATCCAGATGAATTTTTGCAAAAAAGTGGAAGTTTTTCAGACAGAACAAAACATACAGAAAAGAGACATAAATCATTATTATTATTATACAAAGCGTGTAACTCTGCTAAAAATGTTTTGTATTAAGGTACTGATGATAGGCTAAATAGGGCGAAACTAGTAGTGAAAAAAATTGCTTCCAATAAAAATTTAATTGTAGTATTGAATCGTGTTTTATTATTGATAAAGAATCTGACTAGATTTAATAAAACAAATATTCTTAAAAAAATCTAATATAATCCAAAAATATTGATTTTTTTATATAAAGTGGAATATAAAGATTGTTTCACCTGATTGTCCTTGAACCCCATGTCAGCGAGCGTTTTTTCGTCACAATCTATTGTCACTTCTTGGCCTTGAGTAATTATTCTGATCCAGGTCTCTCCAGGCTTAGTTTTGGCTTCATTTGAATCGCCTTTCATCTAAAAAAGATACAACACATATGTAATAAAATATTAAAATTTATTTATTGATTTTTGAATTCTTTCTGATTGCATTTTAAAGACCTTAACATCATAGATAAATATAACAATAACATCGAGTAAAAAAATTAATTATTTAAGAGAACTAGTGAGTGTGAAGAATCGATGATATTGTATTATAGGAATCAAAAACTCGAAGTTGACAAAAAAGTAGTATTTTCTTTAAAAACAGAAACTTTTAGGAAATAAATAAAAAATTTAATGCTAAAAAATAATCTCTTATCAATGCAAATTTTAACATTAGAACTTACCATTCGTTACGTGCACAAACATAAAAGTAAAGCTATAAGTAGGATCTGCCATTCTTCATATTTTTCTGCTATCCATGTATTGACTTATTATTAATTTTTTAATTACATAATAATTTTATCAACTTACATGTTGTATGCCCTCACACCATTTAACAATTTCCGCCCTTAGCTCAGCTATGTAATCAGTATTAAACAAATCTAAAAAACATCTTTCTGATGAACTTCCAGACTGTACGATTAATCTAATAGGAGCACTCGATCTGTCTCCTAAAGAAGCGGAATGGCTGCCAATACCTTTACCCTCCAGGGCCCATTTTCTCAAATGAAATGCATACCTAAAATAATTCTGTTAAAAAAGCCAGTTTCACAATAGGAAAAATAAATAAAACATTTTCCGAGTAACTTTCATCTTTAAAAATATAGATAATTAATCTGCCCTTAATTGTTGTAAGTTTTAAAAAGAAATTTGTCCGTTTATAGCAAGTTTATTATTTGTTTAAAGTAAATCTGTTAGGTGTTTTTTCGCGGCTCAAACCTTAAACCCAGGACGTTCTTCGCATATTCTCATACTATTCGGCGCTTTTTCTTCAATGTTTGATCAAGGATGGATAAGCGTTAACGATCCTGGAATGTGCTGGTAAATTAATAGGCAATTAACAGCCGAGCATTACATAAACGTCTTAGACATAATGTTACCATTAGAAAGAGAAGTTTCTCCTAATAATTTTAACTTTGAATATGTAAGAAATCAGTTTGGTATACCCATAAATGTTTATAATAATTGATTTTTCTTGAATAGTAAGAGAGTGAGTCAACAAAAACAACATAAATATTAAATCAAATGATTGTACCTTCTTCTAAAAGTTTCTATATGAGTTTTCATCAATAATAATGCTCTCTGTATACACAGCAAAGACGCTTCTTCAGTTCCACTAGTACCGGCTGTCAAATCTTCGGAAGCAGCCTTTAAATGTGTCATACACTGCCAAACGAATTGTCCTTCATGTTGTAGATTGTGACCCATGTAATAACTGTTTATATATTGAATGGCTGCCATACTGACCTCTGTAAATTAAATTAAACCTTGTATCACCTCCATTTAAAACTAGTAAATTTATTCACCTGTATTGCAAGCCTTTAAAGCAATTTTCCACATGTGATCCATTCCTACATTTTGATTATCCTTTTTGTTATCTGCATCATTCGTTAATAAATTGTTCAAGCTACAGAGCTGTTGAAATAAACTCAAACATATCATGCTAAATTTCTCTGGAGCTAAACTTGGCAAGTGATGTGTGTATAATCGACGAAGGGCGTCGATTTTAAGGGCGTGTAATTCGTTGGTTTTAGTTTGAGAGAGTAGCCAGCTGAAAAGTTCATCCGAACATTCAGGGTCGTGTGCTAAACACTCCCATAAGATGTCAACTTGATCTGTAGTTAATCTGATATAAAATAGAATATGTTAAAGGTCAAATATAGCATGCGTTTATCAATTACAATAATCAACTTGAGTATGTTTGGGCTAATCAAGAGCGTTAACAGAAAATTCACAATGCTGAGTTGTCTCAGAGGTTTAGTAAAGAAGTATTATGCTGTTTGCGGAAGCCAGATTGTTTAACAGGTAGGATTTTATGAATAGTTTAAATATTCAAATAACTGGTCGTACACAACTCTTTCAAGGATCTTCAAAATAACATACAATAAGTCTCGTACCGAACTAAGATTAGATATTACAGGAATATGACAAATGACAGACTCTCCAAACTTTTGGAAAATAGTCACATTGAAGGCCATAATCAATTATATGTGTTCTAAGATAGTAGGTAGGTACAGTTTTAGCACTAAATGATATACCATCGCTTCCAGAAGCATTAGAGTTGATTGAATTTATACCATTTTGGACTTAAAAAATATTGTTCAGGTATTTATTATTAGCATTAAAATAAATCTTATCAAGACAATTATTAGATTTTTTAAAAATGCTAGTAAAATAATCATTTATTTTTGTAGGATTTTGTATAATACGAGTAGAATAAACATTCATATTGCGTAAGCCCCTCCATAAATATTTTTCATTACAGATGATTGATGGTGCCAATTGAATTACAGATGAGGAAAACCTCACCCACCATCAACAACAAGGTAATTCACTGAGATTGATATAGAAGTTGTATCAACAGAAATTATATTACTTATAATACGCCACCCATCAAATCCTGCAACGAACCATGTAAATTAATAAAAAATTCACATTGGTTTACTCTGGGATTTGAACACATGCATCAGCCATCTGTAATTTAATAAAAGAGTGCTCAACCCACTGAGCCATCAGCCTTGGACCGATATGTAGTACAAAGTCCAGCTTTATATTGGTTACATACAGTCTTTCCCAACGTTATTTGTAACAAGCCCACCTAAGCCTTTCTGGAATTCTTATGCCCTCTATGTAACATATATAATTGAATTGTTCACCGAAGAAACTAAAATGATATGTGTTAGGAATAAATCACTAAGAAATTGTTGAGGAACCACAGTAAGTTTTTAAAATGAAATAATTTTAATTAAAGATTTTTCTATATTATTTTAATTATTAGTAATTATTAAAATTTAATAAACTCCTTGCACTTTATGTTTACTGCCAAGAGATTTTAAGTTAAGACTCCAATTCAGTTAGTTTCAGTCGTATTATATTAGTCCCCTATTTATAGTTAGGTACAGAAGAGGGGATTCTATGTCCCGGCGATTGGAGCTGCCGTGTAATTCAAATTAATGTTTCATGTCGATGAAGTTTTTCGTTTATTTTGCCGGCAATGAAATAATTTGCTTCTAGACGTCTATAAAAATAAAAATATTTCTTGCAAGCATTTTGTCGTCCGGTTTTGCTTTACTATCGATGTAGGGATATTCCTACACTCATTTTTTTTTATTAATGTAGATGTCTAGGAGCAAATTATTTCTTTGCCAGCAAAAAACGAAAAACTCCGTCAATAGAAACATTTTGAAACACGACTGCTCTCACATCCGGGATATAGTACATGTTGTTCACCCACCTTCCCTGTACCTAACTACAAACAAAAAGCAAAAAACACTTTTAGCAATCAGATAAGGGACTATCCCCGATAATCAAATTGCCTCTGGGTGGGCCCCACGTCGAGAAGCACTGGGTTACAATCTTATTTTGTATTGAAAATGAGCCCTAGGTTTTCGAAAGCAGATTCATGGTAATATCATCCTTATTACCTAATATATTTTTTTAACTGATATCTGGCAACTTTGTAATCATTGTTAATTATTTTATTGGCTGCTAATAAGCGCGAATAATAAACAATAATTTTAATTTAATACCAATTTGTCTCTAAATGCATAATTAAATAGGTAAATAAAGATTTTCTTAGAAACCTAAAGACTATTGTTTTTACATAAATAGGATTAAAAATTCCGATGCGTCGTTATAGTTAATAAAAGGCCTGCATTTCGCAATAATTCACATTAACCAAATATTCTCAATACTTACTTAAAATGATTTGGAGAAACAACAGGAGAAAACACAGCCGATAAAAAATGCAGCCTAACTTGAACCTGCATCTGATGAGTGTACATAGGCAGTGATTTAGCAGGATTAGTAGTATATACTTTGAGGTTATTAAAAAAATGTGTCATCATGTGATGTTGACGGTCTGCCCAATGTGTAACATGGTGCATATCCAAACCCCGAAATGATGTCAGCAATTTTGGTAGCATTCGCAAAGATACTATTACAGACCTAAAAAAAGTATGCACAGTGTTGTAATATAATTCTGGAATGAATTTATTATTTGGTTAAATGTCACTTTTTACAGAAAAATATTGATATAAATTGTCATATCTATGTTTCTAAAAATGGTAATATTTTTTAATCAGTCAATGTTTCTTAAATAATTAAGAAAAATCTCAAAATATGTATCCAATTTAAATTGAGATTTGTCTCAATTAATTACATTATGGAGGTAAACATTTCACTTACATATTATTGGCAAGATTATTTAGACAACCTTCAATAAACTTCATCCTAATTTCTTTATCAGTGGTGTAACAAATCAAATTGCAAAGAGTCTTTTCAGCTTCAAGTGCTAGACCCTCTCCTAACTGACAAATTTTATCATCTTGTAAAAGATCCCATAAGAGCGTATTACCAGGTTGACATACATTGTCAACTTTGAAACAAGCAGATAGTCTCAAATCGACTCGAACTGGGGATTTCTCTACAGGATGGTTGAACACATGAATATTCATTGCAGCATGTTCAGTTAAACGGGCAAGTTCATCTTCACAAACTGAATCTTCTCCGTCAAAATCGGCCATATTCTTCTCTGATTTGTTGCTCATGCGTGAGGAGTAGCTGCCTTCTGCATCACCTTCGACCTCTGCCTCTTCACCACTTAACATTTCCAAAATATGTCTACATTAAAGAAAAAAAATAATAAAAAGAGCCTACATTCTAGGCTCTAATATACATACCCTGAGGTGGAGTGTAAAGCCAAAAAATTTGGACAGGTTCCCTCGTGACTCTCTTTACCTAATTCACTACATGATGAACTTTCCTCCAAATATACAGCAGGTTTGACGTTTACATCAACCAAATTGTTTAATTGTGAAGGCAAAACATGAACATTGTGACTAATGATTTTCAAACGATTTTTAATTTCACTATCGCTATCAACTTCAACTTGGTTTAACGTTTCTATTCCTGCTATCCTATGTATTCTCTTATGGTTTCCTAGACAAAATAATAACTATCAATAGAATGCAATTAAATCATATATCACCACTTGGCAACCAATAATACACCAGTTGCCTCTTCTCTTAACAGATTTTTCTTTGTAAAATTGGAGTGATAAAAAATTGGGTTTGATAAATGATAAAACTTTATTTGAAATCTGATTAAAAATTATTTTAATTTATATACTAACAAGGAACAAGTGGTTCTTAAATAATGAACGCATAAAATCGAGGTTTGTGCAGTTGACGTTACAAATATAAAACTAAAATTCAGGAAACAAATAATGACATGAGTCAACTTCATGAACGTTGATGCAAAAAACCTCAGCTACTAGCCCGCCGTGACGTATTTACGTATAGTAAACACTTTATATGAACTTTTTGGCTTTGAATATCAAAAAGAATTTCACATACGGTATATTTAGCGGTGATATAATAATATACGAGGCAAATTTTGAATTTTTAAATAAACTATAAGACCAATAATCATTACCTTTTTGCTTTTTAGCTCTACTTTTCCTTAATAATTTTCTCCTTTTGCGTAATTTTGAGGGCGAATCTTCTGTGTCAGCTTCATCTTGTGAAGTACTAGAGGGGATATGCTCTGCCCCTTCTGGTAAAATGGTTACATTAGGTGGTGCTTTTTTACGAACATGTGCCCGTTTCTCACTCTTATTTTTACCTTGCCCTGACCATTTTGTATTTACAGGGTATGAAGTATTTATTGCAATTCCTAAAAAATACATTTATATCATAGAATAACACTGCCAAAGACAATAGTAAAGTCCATTTCATTAAATTAAAGTACAGAGACATCATAGTTTATTTGTGACTTGTCTATCTACTTAATTTACCAAAGATATGTTTTTTAACCTTTTTTATTGCCTAAATAATGATAAACTTGTGGTTTGCAGTTTCAATTTTTTAAATTTGAACATTTCTTGCATGAAAACAGTTGGCGATACACCAAAACGATCTCCTTGTTTATATTTATGCATTCAAATGATATAAATAACTAAATTGATAAAAAGATGCAAGTCTTAATACTCAATTTTTAACGTTTTTGATCAGAGATAACAGGAGATATTCAGATATTCATTGATAAAATATAATATTCGTAACGTCGATATCGATACCTGTATCGTTGTAGATCAGGAGTGAAGAGAAATGTGGTGTGATGTATGACAAGGGATAAACTGAAGGATTTGTCAGCAGGCAAAATAATTGTATCAATGAATATATGTGTAAGCCGTTGTACGCCCATAATAAACAACGTACAAAATGCCAAGCCATGTTACCACTGAATTCAATTTAACGTTAACTAGGTTTTGGAATTTATTGAAAATTATTACATCTAATTTAGTGAAATTACATCTAATTTAGTTAAATTTGATATAATTATTGATTCAACATTATTTGGATTGAACAGGTTGAATTATTTTAACTTTTTTAAGATATCTAAATCATTTGTAAACAAAATGAGTATAATGAAATAGGCATTAAATCAGCGTATATTATACCCTCATGTGTCACTTAGAATATGCCTTATTTACGACAGCATGATATTTGTTTGTAGATACATCTCTCGTTATCTCTGGTTTTTGATCCAAGAGAAGTTCAAATTTGAAAAATTGCAATTTTAATTGTTTTTGGATTCCAAACTAATTAATTATTTCAAACCCTATATTTACAATATGGCGCTGATTATGACGACTTTCAGGAATATTTCTGTGATGCAGCTATAATTTTCTATTGAAATTAAGTATATTACCATCCAGTTCAGAATCTGTGCTGCTGCCATTACAGTGCACTCTCTCTATAACTTGCTTCCGTGCTAATTTACAGGGTGGTGGTCCATTATTATCAACAACAATCTGCCCATTTTCTTCTTCATCAATTTCTACACCATCAATTTCTTCACTCTCACTTTTACGACTCTCCGATTGAGCTGAACTGTCACCCTTAAAAAATTAAAAATTAAAAGATATTCAGTAACCATTAAATCTTGAGTATAATTACATGTTCTTCTTCTGAGTTACTAGGATCCAAACTCACACTATTTTCTGATGATGTGGTACATTTATGTAAGGCTATACCGGCATTTGAGGCTGCTACGTTAATAAGACCAATTTCAGGTCCTCCACCACCTCTAGACCATAGAGCTTTTATTAGAGCCGATGCCAAATATAATGTCTGTAAAAAAATATTTATTGTAAAACTAAATTAGAGATAAGTAAATAAAAAATTACTTGTTCAGTATGATCCTTGGGCTCCAATTTTGTCAAAAGGCTGTATAAATGTAGAGTAGGTGCAGCTGCTAAATGTTTAACAAGTCCTGGAAGTAAATCATGTACTGGCTTTGAGCAATGTTTTAACTGTGCAGCTGCCCATATTACATCCATATGCTCACAAGTGATCCTACCTTCCATTGCAAGAAAATTCAGGATGATATGGCTTTGTTTAATTACCTACAAATATTTAGTATATTACCTAAAAAAATTGGACACCAACTAATTTTAAGCAATATTATAGGAACAATAATTGTACTTTTCAACAAATTGAAAGACTCAAAAAATGAAATTAAAAATGTTAATAGGAAGAACTTTTTAAAAGAAAAGTTGAATTGATGGATAATTGTTAATCATAAAATTCATTAGATACTGGTTTTTTAACAAAAATCTACTAGTTTTAGACGATGAAAAAAGGCAAAAAATACGTTTATTAAAACAAACAAAGGAAGATGATGCAAAATTATGTTACAATCGAAGATTCTAAAAGCAAAAATTCTGGATGATATAATTATTTGTTAATAAATGTAGGTAAACGATAATAAAGTGTTTGAAAATGCGGAAAATCCAACAAGCACTATTCTGCAACTGGTACACAGAAATTTTCCTTCCCAAGGCTTCAAAAAATTATGTAGCGATCACCTGTAATCTAGTTTATGTGGTATTTTGTTACAATATGTTAAAGCAACTGTTAACAATGATAAAGTGATTGGTTGACAAGTATGGACATGAGTTAGCCATCAGCAACAATTGCAGTTGGAATTTGAGCATAAATGAAATAAAATAAAATTCTAATGCTGGTGTTCAACTGGTCATTTCCCATTATAGTCCAAGTCCTAAACTTGTCTCTAGCAATAAAAAATGTATGGTAAGAGAGGTGGTTGCTGAATTTTAGGGAATTGTCAAAACAATAGTGTTCCACCTGTTACAAGAAATATATTATATAAAGGGGAATCTTTTGAAAAACAAAATTATTTTTTATGAAAAATATGTGGTTTTTGTACCTAAAAATTTTCATAATATATCTCTGTACCATGTGTCAGAAATTTACAAGATTTTGTACAAATTCATCATCTTATAGGTACATAAATTGAAACTAACATTAACAATCAAACATTGGGAAGAAGTAAAACTTTAAAATACAAATTATCAATTACAATTTAAAAAGTCATTCTATTGGAGTAAACGTTCTTTTAAACAATTTTTGGGCGAAGAACCCAATATTACTTAATCCTAAGACCACACATAAGGAATTAATAACAGAATTAATTTAATTATCAAAAACAGTTTTCTTTTCTTTCTTAACCCATATTGGAGAGAACAATTTAAAACTATTTGTTTTCCTTTTATAAAAGTCTTAAATCTAAATGAATTAAGCAGCCTAACATCCTCTTGAAATACAAATTTTTAATAAAAAAGCGCCATTCTCCGCGACACTAAAATTGTCTCTAGATATCAATTTCACAAAGCTAATTTTAGAACTCTAAATAATTTCTTTAATAGCATTGACTGGCCTTTTATCAACGATTCAGATAATATTCACAATATAGTTGAACGTTTCAATAGTTACCATATGTGAAGATATTAATCTTTACGTGTCTGTGGTAATAAGTATCCCATCTGGTTCGACTTGACTCTTCGCAAACTTATGACAGAAAAAAATAAGTTTTATAAAACTTTTAAGAGAACCCGACGGGATTCTGATTACATTTTGTATTCCAATAAGCGACGCGAAGTTAAATATCACACTGAATGGAATTACTTAACATTCATTACAAAAACAGAACATCTTTTTCCTCACAATATTAAACATTTCTGGACATTTATAAGGAATCTAAAACGTAAATGGCCTTCCAAATTTAATGGTATACAACAACGTTGAGCTTACTAATCCTAACGAAATAGCCAACGCTTTTGCACATCACTTTCAATCTTGCTACAATACAGTCGACGTCACAAATTCTGCAGTAAGTTTTGCCTCAATTTTAAGTACACACATTTTTAATCATCAGGAAGTTATTTCTAAAATTAATAGTCTTGATCTCAATAAGAGTGTGGGTCCTGACGGCATCCCTCCGATTTTGAGGAAATGCCGATGATCAAAAAATTTTCAGTACAGTTACACATAACAATACTGCCCTTCAAGGTGTTCTAGAAATAATAAATGAGTGGTGCAAGGTAAACCATCACTGATTAAATACCAGTAAATGCAAAACCATTCAGTTCACTATTACTTTAACCCCTTTTTTAAACAGACAAAATTGGTGATACTGTGCTGCAAAATGTCATATCCGTGAATGATCTAGGGGTGACCTTTTGTATGGAATTGTCACATTGACTCCATTATTTGTAAAGCTTTCCGTATGCTAGACTTTATACAAAGAAATACCCATCATATTTACGATACTAAAGCAATTTTAACATTATTTAACAGTCTTGTTAGAAGCACTCTTGAATATTGCTCCGTCGTATGGCATCCTAACTATACCTGCCACATGGAGAGGATTAAACGAGTTCAGCGTAAATTCACTATTTGCTTTTTAAACACCACTTTCCCTACCAAAACGTTAGTTACGGAAGAAGGCTACTTTTATGTAATATGCAAAGCCTAGAAACCAGAAGAATGCATAATTTAGTTGTTTCTATATTAATTAATTGACGGCAAGATGACTGTAGCGCTCTATTAGCTTTTTGGCATCTATTCAACGTACACGTCATACTTTATTGTTTTTTTTTATTTCAAAAGACACAGAACAATTTACGGACAAAGAGCATTTATTGACCTTATGTGCTACATTTGCAATAAGCTTTACTCCAACTACGACTTATTTAATACAACGTTGTATGCACTAAAGAACAATATGTAAAGGCTGTGTTTGAAAATTTAGATTTATACACAACGTGAATGAAAACACAAATCTGATATTATATCAATAATTTAATAAATATTTTTTTAATGGCTTTATTTTGTAGTTTTTCTATCTTTTTAACCCTTTGACCTGAAGGAAACCACAATGCAGTCAAATACTGTAAATAACCGTGTATTAGTACAAAATACACAGGCCTTAATAATTTTTTTGGAATGGTATAACTTAACCTCCTGAGTATTCCCACACTAGTGGCAATTTGGTTTGTAGATAACTGAGATTTCCAGGACATTAACAAAAAGACCCAAATACTTAGTTACCTTAATGTATTTTGATGTACCAATGTTAATAATAATAAAAGCACTTTATTGGTTATACATTTTACAACCAAATGGCCATCGACCTAGGTCCTTCAGCCAGTACAATTTGTATGGTATGTGTGAGGATTTACACACTATATGTGTAAGATGAATAGGAATATTAAAATACTTTTTAATGAAGTTATCCCTAAATGCATCTACCTTTTCTTCATTTGTGGCATAGTCTAGGTTTATCATTGTCTGTAATATTTGGAATTTAATTTCTTGTTTTATATTTTGACAGTTCATTTTATGATAGAAGTTTCTTCCCTGTTCTCAATTGATTTCTTGCTGAAATTGTTTTACTAATTTTTGAATGTCTTTGTTAAAGTTGTTGATGTTTGTTTTGATTTCCTGACTAGGGTTGTACCAATGTTATTTTATTAGAATTTGATCCATTGATACCCCAGGCTTTTGTTTTGCAATATACAGAAATTAAAATTTGTCTAGATTAAGAACAAATTTATGACTCTGCAACCATTGGAACAGCATCTTCAGATCACCTCTGATACTTTTTTGTTGTCTAAATATTCCTTGTTATGGTAAAGGGGCACAGGGTCATTGGCATAAAGTGCCTATAAGATATAATTTTGAAATCGAATTTATATAAGCTAGATGAAAAGTAGGACCCTTGGGGAACAACCCACTGTATCTCTTTTGTGGCTCTCCTCTCCATGCCATCAGTTTTTTCCACTGCCTGCTTTTACCTAAATTTCTGAGATTAGATCTACAGTAGCTGCACTCCTGTCACTAGATTCTCTGAAACCATACTGGTATCATTAAAAAAAAAAAGGAATTTAGAAATTAAAAGTTTTTTTTATATTCTTTTTTTAGTTATTTTGGAGAAAGCAGGCAACCTATTTGGTACTTTTCTGTTTTGAACAGAGAAAATGTAAATTGAAATTAAATATTACATTTTAAATATTTGCATGTTACTAAGACTTTTTTAATTGGTATCATTGGCAACTATTTCCATCATGTCCTTTGTAGGGTTTGAGACAGTTTCTCAGCTCCACTCATTTTAGGAGCAGCACTGTTAATTTGAATCCATCAGTGAGTAGTTAAGTGGGGAATACTACCTAAGCATTAGTTAACTAAAAAGTGATTTTAGACAATATACTATATTAGCATTCCATCATTTTTGGTCCACTGATAGTTAATTTTTAATTAAAACAAGCTATTCTTTCATTGAATTTGACATAAACGTTTTTATTTATTGTTTTAGGTAGTAGAGAAGTAGTTTAAAGGTAGGTAACCAAATTATTATTGTTTAAAAGAATATAATCTTAATAATATAAATAAGATGTTAATGAATACCTATAATCTCTATTTTTGTCACTGGAACACAAATTACCTTATCACTAATATAGTATATTACATCTTTATAGACTACTGAATAAATCTTTGTAAAATTCAGGGTTGAATAAATACACTAATATAGTAGTGTAAGCAAGGTATATATTTTGAGTGGTTTTTCCTGTCAAATTAGTGGGCATAGTTTTGATTTGAGTAAAACTGAATAAATCCATTTTTAACAAAAGTCATTTTTCAAAATTATAATTGTGAAGGATGTATTTTTAATGACGTATTTTCTAATAAAACAAACAACAAAAAGCCAGTAATTTGTGTGCAATTGGAAAATCTTGTTTTCTCAAAAATCGTTTATGGTGGATTTTTTCAGTTTTGCTCCAAAGTTCTTCAATTTTATTTTAATTTATATAAATATTTACTTCAACATGTAAATTTGGCCCAAATATATGAGAAATAATACTATTATTTATCAACCAATCTGCCATTTGTCTAGGAGCAGCTTCTGCTTCTGGTAATGATTCTCCAACACATATTTCAGCCAACAAACCAATCTGATTATTTATTTGTGTGATTCCAGCTAAACGCATTGTTAAAGTACTTGAAGTAAAATATTTAAATGCTAAATCTAAACCATCTACATCAAAAGCAACATGTGAGTCTAGAGGATCTTTTATTGCATTCCACATAAAATCTAAAACAAAAAAATAACTGTATTGTAGATTCACTTTTGGAAATGTTTTCAGTACATACCTGCCATGCTTTTTATAGTTGGAGTGCGTAAATCTTGATCAGACAGTTTACACATGTATCTGAGAACACATGACCTTAATGGTACTAACATAGACACCATACTCTTGTAGTTCATCCATAATTTCAAATTACAAACTAAAAAAATAAAACATTTTATACAAACTGTCAAGGATTCTATTTTTCATTATTACCGATAGATATCATAGCATGAGCTGTAGAGATGGGCAACAATTCTGGTGAGAGTTGAGTAAAACAAGTGGTCATAGCTAGCAATCCTCCCATTTTACAAAACCAGCTTACATTTTTCAACAAATATATAGGTATCTCTGAATCATGTAGATCGCAGAACAGATTCAAGTTTTGCATTTCTTGTTGAGTTAATTCATCCAATTTTGCCTGTATAGTATGTTTATAGGCTACATACAGAGGAAAATTCAAAAGGAATATCTTAGATACCAAAATCAATAATTTGTCTCTCTCTATAACCTCTGGATTTTCCTTTTCATCTTCAGGTTTTCCACTTTTTGTAGTAGAAGCTTCTGCTTCAACAGGTTTTTTATTTTCTTCCTCACCTTTTTCTGCAAGGATTTTTAACTGACTAGCTGCCATGTATATAAGTCCTTGAGTGACATAGCTGAAGCGTTCAAGGTTTTTTGGATCACGATAGCAACACATACATTGCCTAAAAAATCACAAAAAATACATTATCCAATGATTTCAATAGTTATATTATAAATCAGAAAATTGTATGACTTTGATGATAAATTAATATGAGTAGAGTCCAACTAAAATTGTAGATTTGTGTTGCTCAAAAACAATCCAACCAACAATTATTATCATTAAAATATTTTGAATCTCAAGAAAACAGACTGTTTTTATAACAAATAATGTTTTTTAATGTGATGAAAAATCCAGTCTTCTTTTTTTTGTAATAGTTGTGTTAAAAAAGCAAATAAATACAAAAGAATAAGAATAAAGAAACTCTAGTTCTTCCTAATAAAACTTCAGTTTAAAAAAATAAAAATAGATTTTCTTTAAATCATAAATTTCTATGAATGAAACTATCTTTAAAAACAAAACAGTTACCTTGCTGGCCAGGTCTGAACATAAACAAAAACAGTATCTATATCTCTTCCTGTTAAAATAGGTTGTTCGTTCGTTTCCAAGCAAAATAGGGCTTCATCTAAAACAGTTATAAATAAGAAAACTTAATACTAATACGCGTTGGTCACATTATGTAGGACCGATAGAATTATATTCCAATTTACTCACAAGAAACTAGAAGTTGAAGAAAATCAGAGCATGCATCACACATATTTATAGTTTTAAGGAAGCTTCTGATAACTTTGAAGCTTAATGTAAGTTATTTTCAATTCTATTCATACAGGTATTTATTATTTTGTGCCATTTTTTATAATCCATACATTATAATAATATTCAACGTCCACCATATTAAAAAACGTATATAATCATAATAGAAACGTCAAATAGGTAGCTGACAGACAGATTAATTTTTTAGGCATTTTTTAGCTATGTTCCGAGTTTCACATGATTTTAAATTGCAAACCCTTTTGTCATGACATGGCAAACTTACAAAGGACGCAACCACGCCTTTTATTGTCATTGGTTAAAATAAAACGCAGGCGCATTTTCTCTTATTTCATGGCCACATTCCAGAGATATATAGTACGGGGGCCAGTGACATTTTTTTTGGTATACATTTGCGCAAGGCTAATTTATAAATTTACCGGTTATTCTTGCCTTGTAGGAGCGTTCGATGACAATTTCTTGAAAAAATCGTTGTAGAAAATGCTGTCATATATTTGATTAAATAATTATAACTTGTTAAGCGCTCATTTTTGGATTTCGCGACCCGATAAAAGCAATTTTTTTTGGAAATATGAAAAATACGATTATTGCTGGTTTAAATACATTTTATTGATCACAATATAACCCTTACGGTTAGGCAATCCGTTGATCTTTCTGGAATTTATTTTGTACTATTTTGATAACCGTTCAACATCATATGAAGAAAAAGTAATATAACTAGAGTGATATTTAGGCTGTATTTGTGATAACATATCAGAATTAACTAGGAAATAACAGATGTATAAAAATAATGATGTTCAACTCGAAGCTATTACTCTCGGCAGTAATAGCCCATCAGTATTGCTTTGTTTATTTAAAAAAACAATTTTATTTAACACTTTTATTACTTAAAGAATAATTCAATATATACAAATTTTGAAGAATTATCTAATAAACATAATTTAATCTAAAAGCATGGAATTATAAAATATTGTTCATTGTACCTATATTTAATTTGTTTTAACAAATTCGTTATTTCCTATGTCAAAGCTAGGATCACTTTCTATTGAATATCTTCCTAGTTTAGATATTGCAAAAAAGAAAAGGATTATGGTAAATATAATGAGTATTCCAAACATAAAATATCTCCTACAAGTTGATTTCCTTCCTTTGACCCTTACAGAAGCTCCAAATGTAATTCTAAAAAAATACAATAATTATATTAATAATTTTACAAAGGTAAGAAAAAATGTGCTTACTTCCACCAATTTCCAACAAGTTCAAGTAGTGATTTTCTCTTGTATTTATTATCATCATGGTCAAATCTGTCTGACTTTAGTTCTCTAATATCTTGAAATACTCTACGATTTGATGAATTTTGAAAACTATCTGCTCTATTAAATGCACCAATATCTTCTCCCATTGAAACAACAGAATGAGATGGACTCGGAGTCATTCTTGGTGGAGGATTACTGTGAATTATAGTTGCCTTGATTTCTCTTTCTTCAGAAAGCTGGAAAATAAATGTGTTTCATTGACAATATTTCAAGAAAGAAAATTTTTAATTCAAATGGTTCTTAAAAATTATGTTTAATAGTTCCTGCTATAGATATAGAAATAATACAGATAGAACTGTTTACATAATTGCCTGCTTCAACAATAACTAAATAAATATTTTTGTTCTTCATTAAATCAATATTTAGTGATATATATATAAAAAAATCCCAATTATTGATATATTTAATAACTAAGTTCCTTGAATTAAAAAAATACTTTATCAACAGTAGGCTTTTAATATAAAAATGTTTATAGTATATAAACATTTTGTTTCATTATAATTATTACCAAATTAATTTTCTAGAAATATCATAAAATAACTAGAATAATTTTAATCCACCTACACAAATGTTCTTGCAAATTATATTACGTACTGCTTACAGTTCAAAATAGGTTTAAAAGAGGAGAAAAGTGAAATGATGTGGTGTACTTACTAAGGGCATTCCTAGTCCAGCTCTAGCCCAATTAACACCAGCAAGCTTTTCCTTGAGAACATCTGCTACAGGACTTATTAAATTTGAAGGTGGGAATAAAGGACTTTTACATGAGGGACAGGTATACCCTCTGGGTGCTGTTGTAGGTGGTAACTGTCTCGAATAGTGATCCAAACATGACCAATGGAAAACATCTACAAAAAATCACTACTTATAGTCAGAACCTTTAAAGTCCTTAAGTGTTTAAGTTTCAAATATAATCCCATGAAGATTAATTTTATCTCCTCTTCAATAAACTAAACCAGCATTATATTTGGCACATTATATAAAATATGTTTGTAGAAAATCAAAAAGAATTATTTTATTAAATTGGACTCTGTTTTAGGGTCTAGTTTACTTGTATCCAATCAATAAGGTTACAATGATAGTTCCTAACAATATTCCTTGCAATTACCAGGTTTGTCAGACGTCCTGTTGGTGGTTCTTATATTCAGTTTAAGAGTAGTTTATATCTACGTATTCAAGAAAGCAATTTTGAAAAACACTTACGGTAACAAGTTAACCGAATACAGTCTTCACTACTCAGGTCTTTACTACATAATTCACATATGGAATTATAATCACTGTCTTGTAGCCATTGAAGATATGATTGTACGATACACTAAAAAGCATAATTATGTATTAATTACTTGATAATAAAGTAATCACTAAAAAAACTTACAATTGGATGATTTGTTACCATACAATTTTCACAAACACAAACTCTATGTTCGAAACAAAATTGATTTGTAACTCGTCGTTTTGGACATTTGCACAGACCCATTGTTGAATTTTATTGAGCTCTTCTCTATTAAACACTATTTATTATTTTTTAGAAAAAATAAAATTTCTCCAAATTTTGATGTCAGTAGCACGCACAGAACACGTAGCACGTCAGTAGTGTCAGCTGTCACCACGTGTCAGTGACACAGACCACTAATTTCATATCCGCACGAATTTTAATTATTGCGACGGAAGTCTGCCATATGTAGCAACCATCACATACTTTGATTTTCTTTACTATACGGCGCAAGAGAGAGGTCCGACACGCCCAACATAAAGCCCGGCCATTTTGAACCCTATGCAACAGTTTATAGCTAAAGAATCAGATCGCTCACTCTGCGTCGGCACTTTTGATCTCAATGTTCCAGTTTATACACTGCGCAACTCGGATAATACAATATATAACAACCGCCTATAATAAAACAGCTGTCTTCTGCGTATCCTAAATTTGTATCCCTGGAGTGGATCTTATTTTGAAACTTTCAACTGGTCCGAGTGAACTAACTGATTCTTTAGCAATAATCTGTGACTCAAAAAATATTCACTGACACTGACAGCCGCAAGCAAAATATCAGGGGACCTATTTTCAAACTGTGTGAGTACTCATTTCTCTCAAGATTCTCATCAGAAATGTCATACGTCAATGTGGAAATGTTGTTTTTAAAGGCATCGAGGATTAAAATTCTTAGGAAGATTTTAATTCTCTCTAAATAAACCGAGAGAAACAGTCAGTGAGTTCACACTGGCCCTAAGAGCCCTAAAAATACGGTTTTACGTTGACGTATGACATTTCTCTTGAGAGAAATGAATTCTCTCGAGTTTGAAAATAGCCCCCCAGGTGCGTTTTAATCATCCGCTTCTGCTTCCGGAATTGTCGGTTTAGTCGTTTTAACCTGTCAAATTAAAACAAGAAAACCGACAATTCCGAAGCAGAAGCGGATGATTAAAACGCACCTATTAAAAATATTGCGCCAAGATGTAGGCCACACGTAATAAGGGTTCAAAATGGCGGAGTTTTCTATCTCCTTTTAAAATGCACTCAGAAAGCTGCGCAGTGCGACCATTCTCCGTATAGTAAAAGAAAATCAAAGTATGTGAGCAACCATAGATATCATTATGCCGCGTTTGAGAATCCACATCGGATGCATTTTTTACATCTCGAGCGTTTTTTTATCCACATCAAACACATCTGTCCCATTACATTAACGTCACATACTTTGATTTTCTTTTACTATAGGGAGAATGGTGGCACTGCGCAGCTTTCTGAGTGCCTTTTAAAAGGAGATAGAAAACTCCGCCATTTTGATCCCTTATTACGTGTTGCCTACATCTTGGCGCAATATTTTTAATAGGTGCGTTTTAATCATCCGCTTCTGCTTCGGAATTGTCGGTTGTCTTCTTTTAATCTAACAGGTTAAAACGATCAAATAAATAATAATAAAAATGCTATGGATTTATTTTAATATATCTTTCAAATATGGAATGTCAATATAAGAAGGTTTTAAAAATTAATTTCTAATTTGGCCATATATTTATCTATCTCTATAGCATAATGTAAACATATATTATAGTCTTATCATTTTTCATTTCGTAGTTTATCACTACTATATTTATTGTAGGGTGTTATTTTTCTCATATCTCTAATTTACACTTACAAATCACGCACAAGATTAAGGACATGAAAGGACAGTAGAACTAGGAAATAAAAACGTAGAACATTTTTTTGCAAAAATACTTTGAGAATTAATATTGCTTTATTATTGTTTTAATATAAATATATAATTGTCTTTGATTGAACTAAGCATACAAATTGGTTATAGTTTTGCCATCAGTTTTTATCATAGCGGTAACCAGTGTGTTATCCATTATTTGAGACCCAGTTTATTTAAATATCCACCTAAAAAGAAAAGAAACTTTTACTACTCAGAAAATAAATATTAAATACCTGCTACTTTATAAGAGAAAATAAAATGATATTTAGTTATTTCCCGAAAAACCGGAAGTAAAAGCCATGATGTAACAAAATAAATTAATCAATTATACGAAAGTACTTATTTCATGCTTTCAAACAATAAAAATAATTCCGACATCGAGCAGGGGTGGAACTTTTAAGTTGCCCACCCTAATATACCATTGGAATGTATTCATAGAGAATAGCAGAACACAGAGAGTGACAGTACAGGTTGTATGTGTTTTTTATTCGTTCAAAATTATGTTTAGTAAAGATCGTGGTGTACATCGTATACCACAGAATACAGGTCTGGGGTAGTATTCTCGAGTCACGAATATAGATTCGCATGCGAGATTTATGATTTGTCTCACTTGGTTTTCGTTCAACAAAGTGAGACACTTTATAAAACACGTATGCGAATGTCGGTATTCGTGATTCGAGAATACTACCCCTACTAACTTAGCGATTCTCATATTCATAAGTATGTGACTCCAGTTCATTGACTCTGACATTAAATCACATACTTTGATTTTCTCTTACTATACGGTGCAAGAGAGAGGTCCGACACGCCCAACATAGGGCGCGGCCATTTTGATGCCTTTACCACAGTTTATAGCTAAAGAATCAGTTCTCACTCTGCGTCGGCACTTTGGTCCCAATGTTCCAGTTTATACACTGCGCAACTCAGATAATACAATATATGACAACCGCCTATAATAAAACAGCAGTCTTCTGCGCATCCTGAATTTGTATCCCTGGAGTGGATGTTATTTTGGAACTTTCAACTGGTCCCAGTGAGCTAACTGATTCTTTAGCAATAAACTGTGACTCCAAAAATAATATTCATTGACACTGACAGCAGCAAGCAAAATAATAAAGATATTACGCCAAGATGTAGGCAACACGTAATAAGGCATCAAAATGGCGGAGTTTTCTATCTCCTTTTAAAAGACACTCAGAAAGCTGTACCATTCTCCGTATAGTAAGAGAAAATCAAAGTATGTGTTCACATTAGTAATCTATGAGTATGTGCATTAAATCCTAGAAGTATACAAAGTAATTGATATGTGAAGTATACTCGACTCGCTACTTGAAAGACGTACCGAGCCGAGTCTACTTGATTTGTGCCACCATTAGTCCGGGGCCATCAGCCGGAATGTGCTGTTTCAACTGTGATGTTTGTCTACTGTTTTATTCGAATATTATTTGTGCATTATTAAATTGCGAAGTGGTAGATATAAAGAAATAAAAGCGTTTTTTTAATAGGTACCCATTATAAGTTCTTAAATTATTTGTTATTTAGCTTGTGAACAAAACGAATAGAGTTAGAGGGTTCCTAATCAAAGTTAAAAGACGAATTAGGTAGGTAAAATTAAGGCTGCAGAAGAAGCTTTTACGTGCTATTTCAAAATAAAACACAAAACTACCACCAAACAAAAGCGCACACTTACTTACATTTTTGTATAATGGAAACATTACATACATTTTGTAAAACTTACAAGTACTTAACAAAAGTATTAGTTTTTGAGTAATTTTGTAGGTTTATAGGTCATATACTAATTAATCTTGAAATTATACACTTCAAAATTATATAGACGAACCCTAAAACAAAATGCCTCATTTAATAAAGCATCCAACATTTCGATAATCTGGAGGCAGTCAGTAGAGGATAGAAAGTTATAATTTTTTTATTTTTTTTATTTTTTCTATTTTTTTAACTTTATTTTATTTTTTTACTTTCTTTAATTTTTATTTTTTTGCAATGTATTATATCACGAGATATACAGTTATTTTTTTCTTGCTCGATGAAATCGTACCAGAAGTAGAATATGTACAAAAAATATCTTAAAATGCCTTTGTAATCAAGATTATAAAATTTCTTTACAAACAAAGCTATTTTAAAAGGCTCATTTTAACAATTCATTACCTATGTTTTTAAGACCGCTGGTGATCTTGTCAGATATTGACGTCCCCTGACTGGGTGTTGGTGGATAAGCTGGATTTTGCCGATTATTTCCTGTAAAACAACGAAATTGTGTTTTTATAAAGAAAAATTAGTTATGTATACTATTACAATGAGCATTATTAGTAAGATGGCTTTATTACTCCCGACGATCTGTGTTTTGGTAAATCATCCGAGAGAGTAATAATAGTAATTACTGCGAGTTGAAACCTATTCTTTTTCTCCAACTTCCAACTGTTATTTTCTACTCAATTCAAACTTTATATCAATTCAGCTCACCGCATTCTTTACTACTTTTGAATAAAAAACTATTCATAGGAGAAATAGAAAAAAATTGGGGTTAAAGATAACATGAATGGTTCTGCAAAAAGCTAAAAAGGCACAAATACATTCTAAATTAGTTTTGTAATTTAATACCAAAATAATAGACAGTAATTTATTGTGTTAAGAAGGCTAGTTGTTATAGCGAAAGTAAAAGTTGGAAAGGCTTTTGGTAGGTAGAGAGAGGGTAAACGTCAAACCACGTCGGACGGCTTCGAGAATTTCGCAGTAATGTTTAACTGCCGGTGTCGTTTCATAGAATAAGTAATTTTAAATTGTTATCGGCGGAACCGGACAATCGCATGTATTTATGGGCTATAAATAATTATTAAACATATATTATAATATTCAAATCATAATTTTACAAAATTTCAACAGCTATTCACAATTTATTAAACTATTTACTCGAAATTGTTATTAACATCTATAAAATAATTTTGTACGCCAATGTATCGCGTCCACTTCGGTGAGATCCGCTGCAAACTTGTCAATTTATGTGTATAAAGTGGGAGAACTGGCAAAAGCCTTTACAACTTTTACTTCTAATCTATTGCCTATTATATCCTCAACTGTCATATGTCATTCCCCTCCCCTACGTCAATCTAAGCAATGCAATTTAAATAGTTAAAGTACCAAGTATGATACATCGTCGGAAAGGTAATTTTATAGGGAATTCAGCAATATGACTATTCATTACCTAACTTTTAATTTTAGCGCCCTCTAGCGGGATAAAAAATTATTACCTATGCAAAGAAAGCTAGAAGTCTAAATATTTAATTCTGTAATAAGGTGTTAATATTTCTGTAATGGTTTTCTAATAAATATATATGATAAGTAACACCATTTTATTTGTTTTATTAAAACGATTTTGTTTTTCTACTGTTCCACCAAATCAAACCCCCCCTGAAATTATTTTCTGGCCTTGCTACCCACACCTTTTCAGAAAATTACTTATTGCATGAATTAATTAAATTATATACCTTGAGGATATCCGGCGTATTGACCTTGTGGGTATCTTTGTTGAGGGTAGTTTTGTTGTGGATATCCTTGTTGTGGACGTACTTGTTGAGGGTACGCTTGTTGAGGATACACTTGTTGAGGATACGCTTGTTGAGGATAAGCTTGTTGAGGATAAGCTTGCTGAGGATATGCTTGTTGGTTAGGGTACGAACCTTGCTGTTGCGGATATCCAGGATACTGTGATTGAGGGTATCCGGGATACTGTGATTGCGGGTATACCGAGCCTGTATTCACGGGGCGATAAATGTTTGGACGTGGAGTGGTTTCACCTCTTTTTGGAATTTGCGGATATAAGTGTGGCTTTTCTCCATTGTTAGCACTTACAGAATGCTGTTGATTAACGGGAGACTGCTGGCTCTGTGTGTTATATCCTACATGTCCGGCTAAAAATTACTCAAATAATATTACGATTTATTTTAATTTTACAAGGATTGTGTATGGATAAGCTGAGAAGGTCTCTATTGATAAATTTCCGGATATTAAATTGAAGAAATAAAGTGTTTTCTTATATTTTTAAATAAAGCAATAGTGACTGGTTAAGTTCAAAAGGTTATCTAGTTGAAACCGCAGATATATTCATATTTAATCGTTGGAATTACCAAGGTTTGATAAATTGATAATATTTACATTTTCACTATCTATATTTTGGAATATTTACGCAATTAGTGGTTATTAATAAGTATGTAAAATTCGTCAAAAGATTATAAAATAGAATTGGGCAGTAGAAGAACCGATAATTGAAACAATCTCTTGGGGCTGAAACAGGCTAAGATACTTTTGGGTGAATATAACCAGAAAAGATCGGAAGCCTGCATCTGCCTGAGCAAGAACAGGCTACGACGTATTGTAACAGGGATTCTTATCGAGTATTGCCGACTAAAAGGACACCTTAGTAAACTGAGAGTAGTAGAGGATAGTGAGTGCAGATTCTGTGAGGAGGAGGACGAAACCTCCATTCACATTCTAACTGAATGTGTAGAACTCCAGAATCCAAGGGCACTATACCTAGGAGGATATCAAATAGAAGAGGGAGATTTACCTAACTTGAAGCCACTCCAAATCCTACACTTCCTTGAGAAGAAAGGATTGGAAAGGTCGTTATAGGCATTGAGATATTTCCTTGGTGCATTAGCGATAGATATTTTAGGTCGCAGTGTAATAACACCCCATTCCCAACATAACATAACATAAGCTGTGAATATTTACCTTTGCTGACATCGTCAATACATTTTGGTGTATCACCATCCATTTTACAAACCTTGGTTGGTGGACAAACATAATTAGAGCACGATCTTGCTAAATTTGAATTTTTTTGGCATGTTGGATACCTGTCAAGCAAAAAAACAACAATCTAAAGATAATTACGTATATACCTATAAGTACAGTACATTATTTATATTTCAGAGTGAAACAATACGTACCCATGATACTATAAAAAGAAGGTATGATATTACGCAGATTGATACTATACGTCACAGTGACGTAATGTGGTGGAAGGCGTGGCTTACGAATTTGACGTATCAGCTGATCGAAAACAACGCGCGAAAATAAATTTTAATCGGCCCATGCCCAATCAGATAACCTTCCACACCATAATACGTCATGCGCGAACTCGACGAAATTTCGTCGGCTAAGTATCATACCTTTGTTTTGTTGTATCATGTATCGTACCTAATTAACTAAATACATGGATTTCGATTGAAAAGTTATTTAATTAAAACTCAGAAACCACTTGGTAAAAAAAAATTGTTTTATACCTAGATTTTCCTCGATATAAAAAAAATATAGAAACCGCAATTAAAATCCAGGCCCAGCTTAATAAATTTTGTAATTTACTTCTGCCTCAAAAACAATAGCAGAAAACATTATTTATTTTAGATTAGTCTTTTCAAATTTGCGCCATTCCTTTTAGAGATAATAATTTTTTTTTAAATTGGTTTTTTGCCAACTTTAGAATCTAAAAGTTATTTTCCTTTATAGAAAATACGGTAAATTTTGATATAATCAGACCTGGTACCGTTACTAAAAAAAAGTAATGCGTTACTTTATCGTTACTTTTGATGCAAAGTAACGCGTTATATAATCGTTATCGTTACTTTTTCAAAAAAGTAACGTATTATTCGTTACTTTTCGAAAGTAACGCGTTATCGTAACTTCGTTAGTTTTAAAGTAATGTGTTACTGAAAAAGTAACGCGTGAGTGCAAAAGTAACGCGTGACTGCAAAAGTACCGCGTTACTGCAAAAGTAACGCATTACTTTAAAAAAGTGTTACTTTTGGAAATAAATTAATAAAAAGTTGGTGTACATTTTTACTATAGAACAAGAAAGGGATAATGAAAGTTATATTGTTATTTGTAATTCATGCTTTATTTAACTAAATGTCTCAACATTTGAAAAATAAACAGTCAAAAGTCTAGCAGTTATAAGGTTGTAAGTTGCAATGGTAACCTACGGAATAAACCATACATTTAGTATTTACCTACTTACATTACCTTAAATTACCCAGTCAAAACCTCTTTCAAATTTTAATATGATCAGGCTACTAAATATTAATCATCGTTTTTGCAACCGGCTGTTTTTTAAATATCAGAAAACAAAACATAATGGTAACACTCTAGATAACTTTAAAAATAAATAATAAATGTAATAAAACTGGTTAAAATTATAATACTAAATACTAAAGTACAAACACTAAAGAAATTAGGTGCATTTAAAATATAACATTTTAATTTTATTTGATAACTTATTACCTTTCCAGCACCTCAACCCTCCCTCATAATTAAATATTAATTATTTTTATTATTACATTTCAAAAGAATTAGATTTTCAAAATTTTCATCAGATAAAGCATGTCTTCTAGGCGCATTTACAAAGGTGGCATACGAAAATAGACGTTCAACTGCGGCTGAAGAAGGCAATGGAGAATTAAATTTAATTAAAACATTTGTACGTATGGTTACTTTTTTAACATTGACAAAATAATATCGGGATACTGCAAAAATTGTAGAACTTGCAATTCTATGAGTCTGTCCGTGACAAAGTTTGTGTCATTTTCCTTTTCCACATCTTTAATACTACACATTACTACAATATGGATCCATACTAGTGTTTCTGTTAACTATTTAATATAAATCGTAAGTGACCAATCTAATCTTATAGTGTTCCTATTTTAATCGAGGATTATTGTATTACAGGCCTGAAGATGGCCTTTTTTCTTGAAAAAATAATGGTTTAGCTAACTACAGACCTTATTATTAATTAATTATTTTAATTTTGGTAAACTGACATTCTTTACCCGTTCTTCTATCAATTTCATAAATGTTTTTCAGAAAAATGTGATTCAAAGTCCAACCACAGTATAGATATACATATACTGGGGTCTGTACTAACTCTACTTTTTATCTCAGTCGATTTTGACGTTTATATCTTTAAGAATTTACAGGTCGGTAAAAAGGATGCTTTGTGAATTTGATTATTAGTGGATTTTTATTAAAATATAATTGAATTAAGTATCTTCATTGTAGTATCAATACTAATATGGGCATTTATTAAAATTAAATTATTAAAAATATCAACTGGAAAAATCGTAATAATTTTGGCACAAAAAAATAACCTTAACCTGAAATTAATGACAAATGTCAAACTTTTCCGAGATATGGAGGAATGATAAATCCACAATATGTGGATAAGTCCGAGCATTCTCTGCCCGACCACTAATTTATTATTTTTTAGAATTGTGATTGGCATACTTACGAACCACATTCTCCTTGTCTATGATAATAATTACATGGATCAGTCTGCATAACACATTCTTGATTATTTGGACATCCTATGTCTTGACATGATCGTCCATATTCTAAATAAATTCAATGATATACAAAATTAATTTTATAATTGTTGATTAAAATTAGTACATCATGATTAGTTTGATTAAAATGTTAAACAAATACATACTTGTATAAGAATACACCAAGCTCAAGAGCCCAAAATTAATGATGAGTTGAAGGAGCATCATCTTGATTTCATGAAACTGAAACAAAAAATAAAATTAGGTAACGTTCGTTCGTTCAGCATTATCTCCCTCAAACAAAAAAAAAAACAGAAAATGACAACAATAAAAATAATAAAAACAAAAACAATAAAAAAATAATAAGAAAAACAAAGCAATAAAAAAACAATAAAAAACAATAAAAAACAATAAAAAACCAATAAAAAACAATAAAAACAAAAAAAAAAAACAATAAAATACAATAAAAAACAAAAACAATAAAAAAACAAAAAACAATAAAAAACAATAAAAAAACAAAAATCAAGCGAATTAAAAATACAGATAATTAAAATTAAGAATGAATCGTAGGTAAATAAAAAATTAAATTGAAAACTGGATTTTACTGAAATTCAAATAAGAAATAAAAATAAATAAGTTTGGACAATGGATTCAATTTCGGCATGATAGCTCTCGAACTCGCACACTAATTATTTATAAATTTTTGGAGATAAACTATGCATACAGCAATTTTTATGCGTTTTTTAAAAAACGTATCATGAAAAAGTAGAGCAAACGAGTGTAAAAACCTGAATTACTTAAATAACTTATTAATAGATACGATTCGAAATATAACTTCAAGACCTTTCAAATAATGTATCGCATGAATTACATTTCTATTTAAAAAATAACTTGACGTTTGAAAATAAAAATCGACGGTTTAGGGATTGGTTCCAAAAGCCAACGAGTTAGGATCGATTCCACCGTTGTCTTAAACGAAGTTTAAAATGACATTTTTACATTAACATTTTAATCTCCGTTTAACACAACCGTGGAATCTCGGCCCTTACGAAATAATTAATTTATTCCTTTCATTTACATCATACTGTACAATATATGCCGCGTTTGAATATCCACATCCGATGCATTTTTTACATCTCGATTTAAAATGAGATGTTCGTTGCATGTCAGAAAGTAAGTGTTCTGTGGAGTTAAGTTTGTCAATTTATCCATTGTTTATGCTAACATGAATATAAAAGTGATTAGTTTATTAAATTTTTGTTTAGATTTCAAATTTAGGTTGATTTCTAGTCTCAAAAGTCAATTCTAACTTGTCATTTTATCACGTGACCAATAAAGTCTAGAGCGTTTGTTTATTAAGGTGCGTCCTCATCGAATCAACACTGCCGATCGACTTTGTGTATCGACATTGTTGATCAACAAGTCTACAAAACTGCATCTGTCCACACCAGAGTTGACAGAAATATTTGTCGAAATTCGACGTTAGCAATTTCCATAAAGGCATCGTGCCTCAAGTTTCTGCTCTTATAGTTTTTGTTTTTAAAATCTCATAGATTTGTTCTCAGTTTGTATGCCTCAATAAAGGCTATGACTTTATCTTGTTCCCATTCCATTTCTCCAACGAAAACACAACTAAAAAGTCAACAAGGCAAGACGTTACTGAGTACTTAATACCAAAAAGATTTACTAAATTATAAAAAAAACTTTTACCATTAAATCATACGAAAAAAATATTTTTTTCTAAATTTGACATATAAAGTAACATTTTTTGTAATCGCAGCAAGTGTCAAAATGATCTACTTTACGCAACCAGTTGCATAATGTTGAACATTATGAAACTGGTTTGCGAAAAGAAAATAAATAAAAATAAACCTTTTTTTGGTTTTAACATCAATAATATATATTATTATTGAAAGTTTATTTCAAAGGGGGGGGGGGGGGGGCAGGTTGAATTATAAAAATAGAATTTGGTTAAACTTATAACCTAGTAATACTGTTGTTTTGGTCCTTATTTTCCATTCTAAATCGGCACAAAATAATTAGAACACAATACACGACAAATTAACCTACATTTTTAAAAACTAAATAACTTTAATAAACGATATAAACACTATACAAATCGTTGAGAATACACATAGGTAATTAACATAACTTTCTATTTATCAATAAAATGATGCATATGCAACTAACAATACTGGCAATATTGGTTACATATATATCAGTAATGTCTTACCAAAACCTAATTTTATAAATAATCTAGTAAAATTTAGACAAAATATTGTATGTAACACGTTACGAAATGCCGTTTTATGTAACTCGTTTATGTTATGGGTCCTCGCTCTTCTAATTAGTTTTATAAATAGCTATTAAATTAATTATTAGGAGACTAAAAAAAAAAGCAAAGTAGTTTTGTTATGTAGTTATACTGTCACTTTGTGTAAACAATACATCACTTCCTGTTTACGGACATACATCACAGAATACAGGTCCGGGTTTAGGTACCGTCAAATAAATAAAAATTAAGAGGGAGCAAGACCTTACTACCAAAAGATTACGTTCCCTCTCTATCTATAGGGTGATTTAAAATTAAACCGCATTCGGCATAGGACGTACAGTGTTACTCTCAGGAAAATAAGAATAGGAAAGATGTTTATCAACAGAAACAGGAATACTCAACAGTACAAAAACAGACAATACAATATTGACAAAACATTCAATATTTTGGTACCGCAATATTTGAAAACCCGTAGATAGGAACGTTAGTACCTATTGAACTATAAAAAAAATATAAAATACAATACATTAACAAAACACTCATTATTTTAGTACCGCAACATTTGAAAACACGCTGATACGATTGCATGCCAGATACGGGGTTGGTTGCGAGATCTAGTTTAAAAAAATCAATACACTGTTTTGGTATCGCCAAATTTAAGGAAACCTTTAGAATATTTTTCATAATTTCGTGAGACCCAGGTGGTGAAACGAACACGCACTATACAGGAAGCTGTTTAATTTTGAATCGCGTTTTCATAAATATATTATAATTATACAGATTTATTTACTAAATAAATACAGATAAGAAAGTAAAAATTGTCAATATAGAACAAAAATAATTTACTAGCAAAAATATTAATAAATTGCTTACAAGAACTTTTAAATTAAATACATTTCATATAGAGAGTGATTATTATTATTAAACTGGTTATTATTGTTTCCATAAATTACGCGCACAACCTTCAAAATAAATAGATATTTCTTTATTCTTACCTTCTGGTGTTAACACTTTAAAACTTTGCACATAAATAATTAATTCACGAAATAATATATAAGTCCTTAGGTTATGATATAAATGTGGGTATTGTTATTGCATACCCTGATAAAAAAATTACTGCAACTTCACTTAAATGAACTAAAGTCAAATCATTTAACTTTGGTATTATTTATCATTGTCGTCACTGTGATGTCTGTCATAGGTATATTGTGTTCATGATCGTGACATGAGGATTCGGAGATTGAGCGCAAGGCTGTGGTAAACTATTTTTAGTTTATCATTGGATGAAGCAAGATATTAAAGTAAAAGACAAGGATATACGAACTACTTCTTATAGATCGATTTAATGTATTTTAAGATGTCACGAAATGCTTTTGCCAAAATTTTGCTATAAAAATATAGTTCATATTCTTTGTCAAAATCAGTTTATGTGTATCTATAGTATCGATACCATTAAATACAATGAACGATATTTTTTCTTTGTGTAGTTTTCGATACTTTTGTCGCATGTACAGTAAAAAGTTATTGTAGAAAATCGGGCCCGACATCTACTGTAATTTTCACCAACTATTAGCGATTTAATTGATTTCTTCATCTTGATCATTAGATATTTTAATTTATTACAAAAATAGAAAGTAACACAGTAAAAAAATGTTACGTGTACTTTTGATTAAACTTTTTTCACAACAAACTGTTCAATAAAGATTTTTTAAACTAAGCTCATAAAATGAAAAAAATGCACATTGATTAAAAATATATAGGGGAAAGTAGGGGAATGGTGATCACTTAAGCGAGAATCGTTGTGGCGGTCAACTTTTAAATACTAAAAAAAAAATAAAAATGTTTTCTGAAGTGATAATTATTCTACTTTCGGTATGAATCACTATATTTGATAAACTTAACATAATCGTATATAATTGGAAAAAGTAAATAACTGAATATGCGCATCGTTCCCCACGCACAGAATGGGGAATAGTGCGCACATGGTGGGGAATGATGCGCGGTAGTTTGGAAAATGTAAGTAAGGTAGATCTAGGAGTAAAAAAACAATGTTTATTGAGGCTTGTGATTATATTTAATGTTATGAAACAGTTTAAGCTTGACAAAAGTCGCAAATATATTGTTAAATTTCTCATCTTTTCTACCATCGTTTCTAATTGCATTCAGTGCAGTCTCCAGCATTTTATTACTATATTGATGAAGGTCAGTCTTTATAATATAATTTCGCGGTATTTGAAAATGTAAGAGAAATTTTAATATTCAAAAGTGGTTGTAATTTTTTTTTTCACATTTAATTAAATGAGGAGAAATGTAACAAAAATACTTGCATGAATGCAGCAGATCATCCACTTAAAAAAAGCATTAATTTAAAACAATTGATGAAGATTTATAGATTCAGATAGGTAGATATGGAAAATAGTAAGAAAAATCTCAGATACACACTTCTGCCTCTCATTGAATATGAAAATATTTATTCTATTTATAGAAATACTAGAATAGGAAGGGTATTATGCACGAAAAATAAATAGCAAACAACATAATTCAAAACTTCTATAATTTGTTTTTTTATAAATACTTTTATTAATAAAGGGTTTAGATTCGAACATTCAGCATCTCAGAAGTCCAGAAAATAAATGAATTTTATATTTGAATAGCTCATCTTTTGACTTTTTTATTTTTGTTTAATATTATACATTTATTCAAGCACATGGCACATGTTATCGGTTAATCGGACCCTCAAGGGTTTGTTTGATCGATATTCTACTATAAAATAGAGAAGTTATTAAACACTAGTTTGCACAAAATTTAGCCGAGTTATGCGTGTTACAAGTAGAACGGGACTCACCCCAAGTCCTACAAAACAAATTAAACGAATACAACAAGTAAGTGGTCAAAATAATTAAGATTATCAACCTAATTTTTTGTTCGACATTCACAATATTCTGCCCTTACTAATAAAATAATAACCATTGAGCATTGAGCCTAAATCTCCATTCAGATATCACAGACATGACTCATATATCTCTGTCTTTGTCGATCTTTAGAAACATTTTTTTTGCGAATGACTAACACATCTTTTACAATAACATAACTACCTGGGGGTCAATTCTCGACTTGTAGGAACCTTTTCCTATAGGAATTTGTGACACTTTCCTATATGTAGGAATATGTCATACATTTTCGATGTATGTAAAAATGTCAAAAATTCCTATAGGAAAATATTCCTACGAGTCGAGAATCGACCCCCTGCTCGGATACTCAATGCCAGCATTTTTATGTGGTAAAATTGACTCCATTCTTTTACTATCTTTTTTGCACTGAGGATAGAAGTAAGGGGCGGACTAAACATATTTGTTTACATCGAAAAAACTGCAAACAGTATCGTATTAAATTTTAAATAACATTATTTATTTATAATATCCTTAGACTTATTTTTGAATATAAATACCATTATTTTATTTTACATTAGTTGATTTAATATTATTTTATGAATTATTTTCCAATTTATAAGTCACTATTAAACAAACATTTATAATTCTATTTTAGGTAACCCCATCTGAAATGTATGCTATAGCTCGACCAGCTCCATTTATTCTGAAACCACTTGCAGGATTATATAATCCTTTTTCACCAGGATGTTCTCTTTTATGCAACCATCCTACTGACATCAACGCCAAAGAAATAATAAAAAACGCCAAAGACACATTGGTAAAATATATATCTCGTTGCATGGCTTTATTAGAATTTAGAATTTGGCTTTAATAGAATTTATTTAATAGAATTTAGAATTTATTTAATAGAATTTATTTATTTAAATTAATTTAATACAATTTATTTATATTATTTTTATTTATTTAATAGAATTTATTTAATACAATTTATTTAATACACTTTAATACACTTTATTTAAAATAATTTATTTATTATAATTTATTTAATAGAATATATTCAATAGAATTTATTTATTAGAATTTATTTATTTTATGACAAATTCTGCTTCCCCTTTAATCCTCTCCACGTGACAGCCTCTCCCTCATTTTTTTTAATAACAGAAAGGTTCGTATGGCACTTCGTTTATAAAAAGCTGCTTTAAGTGTGATATAATTTTGAATTCAGCTTTTCAATTACTGTTTCAACGAAGCGTATAGACGTAATCTCCACTGTATATAAATATATTAGGCTAATTAGACTGTAACAAGATGAACCCAAAATAAATTATAAAAAATTATTTTGTTTTGCACCCTACCGAATGTAATTGTGTAACATTTAAAAATATTAAGTAAGAGATACACTTTTTCTCAGACCAATCACAATCACGGAGTGCATCAATTTGTAAAAAAAGACAATTATTCTCATTATAAATAGTCAAATAAAGTTTAGGGTCTTCTTAAAACGTAGAAACTTGGAATATTTAAAAATACTACCAGTGACATTGATGAATGGTACAAACAACAAGGGCCCTAAGTGAGAGTCCCGTGGGACACTGGAAGGAACCACAATTTGGTCTGAAGTTCTTACTGCCAATTTTCATTAACCGAATTCTACCTATTAATTTTAAGCCATACGAGAGTTTTGGGAAAACTAAAGGTATGGGCGACCGGAGGATGGTGGCTTATAATTTTGTTAATTCATTATTTTTTAACTAATTTTTAAAGCAATAAAGACTAGTAATTTGAAGATTTTTTATTGGCCCCCTGAAATTTTTCCTGCGGACACTCGTTCCTAAAAGATTAAGTTTAAATAATAATAATAAATGGTTCACACGATCAAAGGTATTACATAATGTAATGTGAGCCATTTCATTATTCACTCATGCTCTAATCCTCCAAGTCCCTCTCAGTCTTATTTGGCCTTTGAGGCTCAACTTGTCCGATTATCATACATAATTAAACCCCTTAAGACCAAACATATGTGACGACTATGGCGGAGGAGCTTTCGATGACTATTCGAGAAAGAACGGGATGTTTCTAGTGTATTGGTGAGAATAGGTGAACTTTCTAGCACCTTCGCCAAACTTTTAAATTTGTATATAAATATTGGTGGAGGACCAAGCGGGAATTGGGAATTAATTAGTACATAGACAGTTGAGAATAAAGTATTGGACTGACACAACACATCTAAGCTTATATATACGGATACGTTAATATTTCAAGTAAAATCCATCCGGCAACATCGCAAATATATGAATGGTGGGCTATAGAAATTTGTGAATTCATCATACTAATTTTTTAGTGTTCTAGTGCTAGTGCAGTGAGATATTTCAATTAATAAAAAATGTTTTTATTTTCTTTGCTATTCTAATTTAAACTATTAATGAAAATGCATAATTAATGTATTTGGATAATTTCTTAAACCGTACATTATGTTAATATTTACAAAGGGTTTGTTTTGGTTCAAACAGAACCGTCGATTCCAGTCCTCAAATACAGTGAACGAATTAATTAATAACACGTCCCGAAGTATTATAACAACCTCTTAGCTGATTGTAATTCGAAAGTAACAATAAGAGACATTTGAGTTACTGCGCGTTAAGTGTAGCGAGTACAATATTGCTAAGTTGTAGTCATTGTATGCGTCGACTGCTTTAAAAATATTTTTATTTTAAAAATCTATAATTTTTTTCCAAAACGGTCAAAAAATTTAGTGTTTTTTTAGAAAATTTTATAACTTCTTGATTTGCTTTTTTTCAGTACGTCGACAATAAAAATTTAACAAAAATAGATACGATGGGTGATCACAGTATCCAGTTGCATGGAGAACAGTTAACTCCAACAAATATTTATATTCCTCAAGTGGAAAGCGTACCTGAAGAATTATTTAGAAGGTAAAAAAAAATAATAGAAACACATTTCTTAATTTTTAATAAATTATTTTTATAGATATACGGATACTGATTCGAGGCCACAAACACCTGCACCGACTTTAGTAAGTGGAATCACTAGGCTGTCAACTTCAAGGACACGAAGATGTGTTACTCCGGACCCCGTCCCCACCTGCCAAGTCAAAGAAAAGACACGATTAATACTTGATTTGAGGCGTAGTCACAGCCAGGTTGGCATTACCTGTAATTTTCGTTAGATTTGAAATCGAGTTGATCTCTAAATTAATTTACATTATATTTTAATATTATTTTCAGGAAAATTTATCAATATACGGAAGTTCGTCATTTTATCCAGACCTTCCAAAATTTCATACGCAACTTCCAAGTAGTTCAACTAGTGTAGAGGAATTAAAGCCAAATAGTTTTAATAAACAGCCAAATTCAAAAAGACCTGTTAGTGTAAAAAAGAAAGAAAATGTAAGTTAACATCAGTATCACCAAATGTTTTGTCATCAGCTTCACCTAAAATATACAATTTAACCCCTTAGAGTAAACCTCGTAATCACAACTGCTTATGCAATATGCAATTCTAATGCTAAAATTAATTATTTTTTAGGCACTAGATCAAAACAATCTAACTAAGAATGCACAAGTGGAAGACGATGACGATGACGAAGATGAAGACAATGACGAATTTATTAAAAGACGTGGAAAAAGAAGACGCAAGAAAACACGAGATTCTTCAAGATGTCCAATAACATATCAAGCATCTGTGGAACCAGAAACTCAAGTAAGATTTTTATATAAAAACTTTTAGAATATGTGACAAAAAAATTAATAAAGGGAAGCTGGGAACATGGGCAAATCCTACTTCCTGTTAAAATCATCAAAATTTGTTTTTGTTATGTGTTCTACCGTGAGTTCCAATTGCACATCCTTAAATTTTAATTTTCAACTTTTTTTATTGGTAGATGCGCCAGTTACATTTTTTGGTGTGTTATTTGCTCACGACAAAATTACAAATATTTCGTTCATTCTAACCTTGTAAAACCTGAAAATACTTAGCTAGTCCCTGCAACAATGGAGCTCTCGACGATGACGGCTTAAAAAAGCCTGTTTAGAAAATGCTTGCAAATGTGTACCAAAAAAGTGTCATAGGCTCCTCTACTATATAGAGTAGATGACATTTGTTTAAAAAGTAACGATGACAGGGGGTAATCGTCGTAGCCAACCCAACAGTTGTAAGGCGAAGATAAGAAAGATAAAAAATAAGTTGTATGGAAAATTACTATATAGATTCAAAAGTCCCGCGCTTCTTTTGCTAAATTGTCGAATAACAGGAAAAGTGAATTGCAAAAAAAGAAAAAATATGTACAACAAGGCAAATTATTAGACTAGAGCTATACCAAGAATTAATTATGCAACATCAAAAAATATTAAAATAGGAATACATGAATTCGAAATATGTGTTTGGGAATTACAATCGACAGAACTGAAGACAAAAAAAAATCACTGCTAATAAAGCATTCCAAGCACACACAAAAAAGCAAATTATACACAAAGAATAATAAAATGAAGATTCACAACACAATAACAGACAATATTACTATTATTAGCAGCGGAAACAATGAGTATAAGAAAGGAGGAAGTAGATTTAAGAATTATGGAAAAAAATTATATGAATAATATTAAGACTTAAGATCAATTAAAATCACAGAAGAAGAATACACAATCGAGGAAATTAAGCAAGAGCTAAAAGAAGACAACGAAAAATGAAGCAATTTAGAGTTAGGTAATTAGGATACAGGAAATTGAACAATTCAATCAGTTTTACAATGGGACTCAGGCAGAAGAAGGAGATATGGAAGATCTATATTAGAATAGCTTAGGTAAAAGAAGATCTATGCAGGAAACTGGTGAAAAATTGAAGAAAATGGAGGGACAATGTAAAGAGTATTATCTAAGAAACTGGGTTTGATCCATCCAAAATATGGATTTAGAAAGCGAACAACTGCTTATCCCCACTCGGGTAGTTTCTAACGGCCATATTACATTATTATTTTAATATTATTTTATTATAGGTAGCAGCTATAGGTCCTGATTCTCACAATGCCAGTACGAGGCATTCTTTGGCTCCTGATGGATGTTTTCCGACAGAATTTCCTCAAGAAGAAGTAAAGAAACTTAGAACTGTAAAAACTTCAGATAATTATGAAATAGACTCGTATTTACCTAACGAAATTTTGAATCAATTACGACGAGAATTAGACGATGTCACTGTTGATAGTGAATTAAATTCAACGGTACGTAAATGTTCCGAATAAATAATTTTCAGCTAAATGTTAATTTATTTTACGTAAATTGAATGGTTTTTTTTAGAAAAGAAAAGCTTTAGAAGAAGCTCTAAAGGCAGTTTTAAAAGACAAACCTGCATGTGATGAATTAATCTTTTTGAAGAAAGAATTGAAAATTCCGCCTGTTAATTCTGATCTTTGGATATCATTGCCGAGAACATTTTCCAGATCGAATGCAATCTTTCAATTACCAATGGATAGTCAAACTTTTGCTGGTAAATCACAAAGGTTTTTTCATAGATATATAACCGGTTTTTTGTTGTAAGGTGTAGAAATGGATTGAAGTTAAATACTGGGGCTTTCTAGTTTTATTCACTTTACTTTCTAACATTGGCATTCATATGAAGGAGGTGGGGACTATGGCTCTAGGATGGCAAAGTATATTCAAAATTGAAACAATTAACAGGAAGTTGCATTTAAAAAACCAAAATAGTTTCCCCTCTGTATATCTCAATGTCATTGGTTCAAATATACGAGGATGATAATGTAATCAGAGATTTTGTTGGATTTCTAGAATGCCGTCTTAACTGTGTCATCATTTTCCCCACTTGTGATCAGTCATTTGAAAAGAGTTTTTTAATGCAAAATAAATTATTTTATCCTGTCAATGTTCTGTCAATCTTAATTTAAAAATAAGTGAATATTTACCCTACTCATCATTTAAAATTAAATTCCTACCTACCTTTCATTTAATATAATAATAATATAATAATAATACTCTCCCTAATTCACCCCCTTACGAGTGAATTTTAACCCCAAAAGCTGAGCTTGTCCGGGGAAAGGGACGGCTATTATTATTATTTGCCGTGGCGCTCCGGGGCGACTTAAAGATGATTGATGGTGCCATTTGACTTACAGGTGAGGAAAACCCGGAAAACCTCACCCACCATCATCGAGGTATCACATAATATAGTTATGTATGGCCTGTACCCAGGGAGGTGGAAAGGGATAGATATATCATTAAGTAAATGGATCTATAAGGCGGAGCTTATTTTAAATCAGTAGAGCGGATGGGAACAGTAATGTATTTAAAAATGTTTAACCCTATCAATTATACAGGGTGGATCCTACGTTGATTTTTTTAACTATGCATATGTCTTTACAATTTTTTCAAAAACTCCAAAATAAGAAACTTACATTTATTTATTTCAAAATGTTTCTAACCCTAAATAATGTGTTCAAAGTTGTCACCATTCACTTAAACGCAGTTCATGTCTCCTTGTGTTCCTAAATGTCATCCATGATCTCTGTATCTGTAACGTGTGGAGGGTGGATTACCCCCACGGCACTTAAGCATCATTAGGCCTATTGTGCATCTTCCTCAGATCATAGGCACCTCCTAGCTCGTGAGCCAGCTTACAGACTTAATGTAGTTAACAATGTCGCCAAGAGGCGCTTCTCTTATATCGGCTGGTGTTAGCCGATACTCGCCGAACACAAATTTTCTAATAAATGAGAGCATCGAGCAATCGTAAAGGATGTGCTCAATGGTCTCATCGTGTTGTTCGCACCCTTTGCAGAGTGCGGATTCTGACAGCCCCATGTTATGGAGTTGCTTTCGTACTTGGCAATGACCAGTCAGAATGCCTGTGCTAGGCGCAGATTCTATCTAGTCATAGTCAAGTATTTGTTTGCTGCAGTGTTGTCAGGATAACTTAAGAGCTCCCTGGCAACTCTGCAGTTTCTTGTTTCATCCCATCTTTCCTTGAATTTCACAAGGGAATGTTCTTTGATTAGGCATGTCACTGTCGATTTTGTCAGGCCAATAGAAGGGCCAGGTCCAAAATATATTTGGTTGGCTGCTTTCTTGACTAGTGAATCAGCAAGACGGTTACCTTTCGATATGGCGTGACCTTTGATCCATCTTAAGGTGACCCAATTGTTGATGGATACTTCGGCCAAAGCTTCGTGACATTCTAGTACTAACCTTGAATAAATTCGTGGTTTGTTCAGAGTGAGTAGTGTTTGTCTGCTATCTGTATAGATGAGCATGTTCCTTCCAGTGATATTGTTTCTGGTTATTTCGTTTGCTGCTATGAGAATTTCTTTAGCTCTGTTTGAACTACACTGGCACTATTTCTCACAGCCCATTTTATGTTTAGGTTTAAGAATCTGGAGTATATTCCGTATCCTGAGCCTTGTTTTGTTTTAGAACCGTCGGTGTAGATATGAATCGTACCTGCCACTTCCGGCTCTTCTATTTGTTCTATTATAACTTTATATGGTTTATGGAAGATACATCTCGTTTCTATTCTAACCGTGCGGAGTCGTGTCATTGTCGACAGAGCTATCTTCTTGATGTAGATATCAAGGGGAAATGTCATCCATGATGTTTCGGTAAATTACCAGTATCCCTAGCCCCTAGAGCCAAATTAATGAAAGTCCTGGGAGTAGGCTAAGCTCGAAAAAAAAGCGTTCGTTCACTATATAACACCGATACAGGAACTGTATTTCAATAACGTACACCTTGATTCATAATCATAAGAAACACCGAAGAAAAAAAAGGCATAAAAGATAAAAATATTTAGACTTTTCGTACAGACGTACATGCCTGGATTTAGATTTTTCATTTTGTCTTTTCTATTGCAGAGTTTAAAAAAAGTTATTTAGGAAATATGTTTATTTTAACGACTTCTATACACAGTTAAAAAATGACTTAGAATTCACCATGTTTATTAAAAATTTTGTATTTGTGAAATATAATTTATTTTTATCTGAAAAAACTATTTTTTAAAAAATCCAAAAGAAACGAATACGAAATTTTACACATTAATTTAAAAAAAGTACTTAATTTTTTTTGCAAATACAAATCCCAATTTTTGACAATATAGATATGTTTTTTGTATTCACTTACCAGTTATATGTTTTTCCTGAAGATTTCTTCTTATCTACGCCGGATATACTGGAACAACTTTATTTTTAAAGGGAAATTAATACACTACAGGGTGGTGCATAATGATGCTCCAATATTTTAAAAGAGTGCTTTGTCTGCAAATAAAAATTCCAATTTGCTAAAATATGGATGTTTTTGTATTAACTTACCAGTGATAAGTTTTCCTGAATATTACGTCATTTCTGGTATATCTATAGGCGTTTGGGGCCCATCATAGGCTGATGTTTTGTTGCGTTTGTATCTTTTTCCTGTTCGTCTTGCACGTGTATCCCCAGGCCGTGGAGGCATACATCAGTATAGGTATTATTACTGATTGGATTAATCTTAGCTTAGACTTCGGCAGTAGTTTGCTTTTCCTACCTATCAGGCAGTCCTCTGTTTACTACAATATCCACGTGATTGGTGAATGTTAGTTTTTGGTCCAGCATTTCGAGAATTGAGTCCACAGGATTTCTTGTCCGTTCATTGTAATTTCTTCTCCTGGTTGGTGCAATCTCTTCTTGAACAGCACAGCTTGAGTGTTGATCTTAATTTTCCACTTTATACAACATTCTTCAATCTCTACCGCTGCGTCTTATAGATATCTTGATGGATGCTCTCTAGTCTTGATTTCGTGAATTTACAGGATGTGCTCCACGTATTCTTTATTTTGAACATTGTTTTGTTTTATTTATTTTTTCATAGTTTTTGATAATTTTGACTTTGTAGTGGGGCTAGGGCCGTTAAATTTCCCTATTGCTTTCTGTATTTGGCCAGCGCCATCGTGGCCTTCAATTTGTACTCAGTTTACTTGTTTTTTGAGGTTGCAGCAATTAATGTTTATGAACTATGGAGTCGTATCTGTATATCAATTTGTTAGACGGGTTGTCAAGGTACTAGGGTAAAGATAGATATGGCTAATTTGATTCCAGCTCGAAGAACGGGGACATATAATGGACATACAATTATAATTATTATTAATTTTAGAAATGTCTCCATTAGATTATGTCGAGAATAATGTTAAGATAATATCATCAAGAAAACTTTTGTATAATTGTATTTTCGAGAAATATAAATTGGAGATAGAAGAAGAAAATGAGCTCCACAGACAACTTGATCAAAAGGTATTTAAGTACTTTACAAAAGGCATTATTTGTTCTAGCTGTAGTATTATTCGAATAAACATACTGTACGATAGACATAGCTGAAGCGGCTAAGATTATATGCGCAGTGAATAGAACTTCGTTTCGGTTATTCGAGCCGATCACTTGGATCTTAATACATTATACTCAAAGTTGTGCATTTTGAGTCGTTGCCAAATATAAATTAAAAGGAAATAAAAGAGATTAACGGCTGTGTACACACAGCTTAGATAAGCAAAGAAAACTTGTAAAAAGATTATTGCGCGAAATCCAATTTTTTTTGTTGTAAATATAATTATAAATTTTGTTCTCAAATTTCAGCATAAGTAAAAGGGGATGGAAATAAACCTTTATTTCTCTCCGTCGTGTCTCAAGTTGGTGCATGTCGCGGATTTTACTATACCTGTCGAACTGTAATACTTAATTATATGAAAAACAGACGAAAAGATAAATATATTCTTAGTTCTGGACCTCAAGAGCCAAACAGTCCATCTTTTTTTCATTTTCAAGTTATGGGTTACTCCTACATAATTTTTCCTGTTCCTTCCATTGGTGATAAGTATTAAGTCCTATTATTTTTAGTTTTCCATATATATTTTTAAAACCGATATTAAGTCCAATTAAAAATACAGGCAGTCAAAAGTTTCAACAAGCTCTCCTGTAAAATTTTATAAAATTGACTTAATACTCTTTGGCTCTAAGGTCCAGAGTTGTTTTAACGATTTAAACAACATTGTCTTATATATTTTAGGTATTCAAGGATTCTTTAGATTTAGTAATTGGTCATTCTTTGACAGAAGATCAATTTAATTACATTAAAACACTGCTAGAATGGAAAGAAGATATTGTACTGAGTTTTAAAATGTGCTGTGGAATATTTGCACTCTGTGAAAGAATTTTGTCACCACAATTTTGTGAACTACCTAATAGGAAAGAAGATCCCTGTCATGAGGTTAAAAAAACTATTAATTCAATATTATGGATACTATTAAATGATATTAAGAAATATGTTAAATCTGTATAGTACCTAAATAATATTATACCCAATTACAGGGAAATATGAAAATAAATAATCCCCAAAAATACACCCTCATATCCCTAAAGTGAAACCACCCAAAAGAAAAATTGAAAAAACTTCACTTTCATTTCGTTTTCACGTTTACGGCGGACCGTACCCGAAAACTAGAAATTTATTCTAGAATAATTATTAGATTCTAGACCTTTCTACACGATGTCACAGGGGTGGCTTTAAGAATTGAAGAAGCTGAAATGAGATGAATATTTGTGTGTACCGACGAGAGTCGGAATCTGAATTACTTCAAATCTACCAGTTCGGATATGTACCTTGATATCTCAGTTGGTAAGAGTATGGTCGGCTAAAGTTCGAGGTTCCAGGTTTGACTCCTGGCAGATGTATTCATTTTTTTTAATTCTCATCTTTTTCATTTCTTTTTTGTTTTTTTCACTTTGAGGAGATGAGGGTGTATTTTTCATAATTTCCTAGGGGGAATTAGAGATTACTCATTTTCATATTCCCCAAATTGCATTTCAGTTTTTCGGACCTCAACCGATTTTTTCACTTCGCTTTAACTTTATAGTGAATTAATTTACATAAATACAATAAAAAATATTAAAAACAAATAAATACATACAAAATAAATAGTTAAATCAAAAAGAAACACTAGAAAAGATATGAATCCTTGAATGAAAGTAAAACGCACTTAACATTTTTTTTTTTTTCAGATAGAGACTGCAGATTTTGAATTTTTAGAACAAAAATTGGAAAAAATTGAAATTAGTGATAATTTAAAAACAATTCTATTACATTTGAAATACTTTTAAGTATGTGAAATGCACTTATTTACAAAGTACAAAAGTGTATAAGGCCACACAAAAGAAATAAATTATATCATTCATATTATATTTATTATATTAATGAATAAAACTAAAAAAAAATGTGTACTATAATTTTATTCTTAAACTTTTTTCAATATTAAGAACTATAACAACAATAATTACAAACACTACAAACAATATAAATATTCTACTTAACAACACTTACTAGACTCTGTTTCAATAGTAAAGAGTACAGAGTACAGATGCGTCATAGATGACGACAGTAGCAGAAACTAAATTTTGTCATGATCACCTCAGTGGCACGCCGCGATTGATAGAAGAATAAGTTAGATTAGAGGTTGTGTTTGGAAACGTTTAGTTATAAAATATTTGCGATTTTTTTTATTAATTTAAAACGTTAGTTTATAATTTAGTGTAGTGTGTTTTATATAAAAAGGGGAAAGTGGGAGAATATCGGTCTCTGGCTAATATCAACCACGGTATTTTTATGATAACGGAAACGTAAGCATAACTTGTCACATATGCTGTAAGATTAATGAAAATAGTAGTGTGCCATGTTCACCGTTGTCAAAAGTGTTGTAAAGATGCCCCAAGCAACAAGGTGCCATCATTATGACGTGATTTTTTGGTTTTACTCGTCAGAAACGACACTATCCCAATTAATGACGTTACTTTGACGTCGTTTTTGCAACGTTAATTAGACGTCAATACAGACTTGTCATTATGTCGTAGTTTTTTAGTATTAACTTATCCAAAATACAATATCCTAATCAGTAACATGTATTTGACATCGCATTGATGACATAGAATAGACGTCACTTAAAATTCCTTCATCTTCATGATTCTCATGACAGTCGTGACCTCGTGAACGTGTTGCATTTTTAAATTGTACTTTATTTGATAAGATGTTTTAGAAAAAAGTAAAAAGTAGAATGTGACAAAATAATAAAGTATATTAAACCGAATTTGGTATTTTACAGATGTATTGCATTGTTGAGTTTAAAAAACAGGATGATGACGGTCTGGCGGTTGTGAGATGAGCAGAAAATGGCTGACGCCGCGTAAAAAACAAGTCTTTTGGCCGCCTTTATAAAGAAATAGGTAAATAAAGAAATATAATATAAGACTGGTGAGTAATGTAATACTTTAATTTTTTAATTATGAGTTCTTTCAGGGTATTTTTTTAATAGTTTATTTAAAAATGTTATAATCGGGTAAAATCGATCTCACTGATATTTATTTTTTAACGACGTAAAATAAGTACATGGGGAAGTTGAAGGGTATAAAATTCTTCTTTTGTGATGAATAGTAATACAGGGTGTTCCATTTGAACAATTTGAAAAAAATTCTTGGAAAAGTTTGGAAAGTAAAATTAATTTGTGACCACCCTGTACAAAATGAAAAATTAAAACGGTCTAAAATATCTTTAGTCTATTAGCTTTATACATTTATAGTTTTTTTTAAATTCTAACGATATATTCGAGAGAGAATTGCATATTTTAATAGGCGCCTGAAATTGTAATAATTTTTCGGTAATTTTTTTTTCCTACGAAAGAGGTGGTATTTTAGAATCAATATTTTGTAGATATGTAGTAACCATAGAGTCCTACAATTTTAAAAAAAGTTGGGTCATTCCATTTAAAAAAAAATAGTGATTTTCCACCTTGTACACAAGAAAATAATTGTCGGATATTTGGTTTTGGCCCTACTAGCAAGAATACTTCAAATAAATCACTAAGATTTGCATAGTAGGAGTTATAGAACTACGACAGAGGTTTGGCCCACCCTGTGTAACATACTATAAAAATATATCGAAATCTGCTAAATTGAGATTTAAGAAATTTTCGATTAATCGAAAATAATCGAAAATAGTCAAACAGATAATTGAAAATAATCAATTAATTGAAAATTATCGATTAAACGAAAATAATTGATTATTGAAAAATAATCGAATATTAGAAAATAATCGATTTGCGGAAAATAAACGATTAATCGAAAATAATCGATTAATAGAACATATTCGATTAAACAAACAAAAAAAATTAATCGACAAGTCGATTGTTTTACCCAACCCTATTATTTACTATTAAAACAAAGTCTACTTTCATTGGTAATTTAATTAATTATAAATTAAAATAATCGATTACTTGAAAATAACCGATTAATCGAAAATAATCGATTAATAGAATATACTCGTATTTCAAGAAATTAAACGATTATAATCGAAAATAATCGATTAATCGAACATAACCGATTAATAAATTTTTCTAAAAAATTAATCGACTAATCGATTGTTTTGCCCACCCCTACCATTTACTACTGAAACAAAGTCTACTTTCGTTGGTAATTTAATTAATTATAAATCAAAATCGTCTAATCCTGAATGATTGCTTTCGAATATGTTTTTTGCCTTTTCCGATTGTGATTCATTGAATCTCGTGATGCTTGAACACGAATTATTCGACAAGTACTTGTTTATTACATTATTAATATCCATTTTATTTTGTTTATAGTATCCATTCGGAGTTAACGTCATATTAAAGTTGTTCTGAGATTGAGTACTTTTAATTTGACTATGACTCATGTAATAATCAAATATATCCTCGCTTCTTTGACTGCCTGTGGTAACAGTTTTTTGATTGCTAAAGTGAAAATTTCTAAAATCCGTCTCATCGGAAGTGATGAACCGTTCGAATGCGTTAGCGTTTCTATCGCTGAAAATCGTAATGTCAATAGTGTTAGTAGAGTCGCTCTTTATGACGTTCTTTTTGTTTTTATAAACTTTCGGTTTAGGTACAATTAAGTTAAATCCTTCTGCGTTTTTCCTTAAAGTTCCTAAGTAAGTGGTATTTTGAATTTGGTTTACAGATGGCCGGTTCATGCTTCGTTCTACGTATCTACTTATATTCGCGGAATTTGGTGTACCGTTGTTCATAATTTCTCTATCTTGCTCTTCGAATTCTTCCTTTATTTGTTTAGCACTTAATTTACGTGGGGGAATGAATTTTTTTCGAACATTCGCCAGTTTTCTCTTTCTAACTTTATTTTCATTAACACTTGTATTTTTGTTCCTTATTTCATTATAACTATTTGATTTAGACGACGAAGCCTCAGAATCGATATTTCGAAATGGAGTTGAATTGGATTTATTAGAGGTATTTTGAGAAGTCGAGTTTGTTTCATTTGGAAAATTTTGAAAGACATTCCCTCTGTTGTAATTTAGACGGGATTTTCTGATTAGATTTTTCTTTTTAATTTGATTTGAACTACTGGACGAATTAATTTTGGTCTCATCAGTTACTTTAGAGCCTTGTTCTGGGAAGTCCTCAATTTTCTTGTTAGATAAAGTAGAGATGCTGTTCTGTAAAGTGTCTTCTTTTTCTACAACTATTGGAGTACTAGGTTTTCTTCTTTTAATGGAACTGTTCTGACTGGGAATCATATTAAATTCTTGCTCTTCAATTCGATAGGAATGTTCAGAAGAAACATTATCATTATCAATGTTTGCAATATCAGAAGACCTAGTGTCATCGTGTTTTGGAACGTCGTCAAATTTCTTGTTAGATAAAGTAGAGGTGGTGTCCTGTAAAGTTTCTCCTTTTTTTACAGCTCTTGAAGTACCAAGTTTTCTTTTTTTAATTAAAGTATTGCGATTGGGAAGGGCGCCAAGTTTTCTTCTTTTAGTAGAACTATTCTGAATAGGAATCATATTAAATTCTTGGTCTTTAATCAGATTGGGATATTCAGAAGAAACACTATTTGAATTATCAGAAGAGTGAGTATCGAGAGTGACCTTTGTAGTTAAATCGGAAATTATGGTTTGATTTTTAGAAAATTGATTTAATTTAGAGTTTTGTTCTGGGAAGTCGTCAATTTTCTTATTGGATAAAGTAGAGATACTGTTCTGTAAAGTTTTTCCTTTTTCTACAGCTATTGGAGTCCCAATGGAACTATTTTGATTGGGAGGAGTATCAAGTTTTCTTCCTTTAATGGAACTATTGTGAATGGGAATCACATTAAATTCTTGGTCTTTAATTCGATTGGGATATTCAGAAGAAACACTATTTGAATTATCAGAAGAATTAGTATAGAGAGTAAGCTTTGTAGTTAAATCGGAAATTATGGTTTGATTTATAGAAAGTTGATTTAATTTAGAGTCTTGTTCTGGGAAGTCGTCAATTTTCTTATTGGATAAAGTAGAGATACTGTTCTGTAAAGTTTTTCCTTTTTCTACAGCTATTGGAGTCCCAATGGAACTATTATGATTGGGAGGAGTATCAAGTTTTCTTCCTTTAATGGAACTATTGTGAATGGGAATCACATTAAATTCTTGGTCTTTAATTCGATTGGGATATTCAGAAGAAACACTATTTGAATTATCAGAAGAATTAGTATAGAGAGTAAGCTTTGTAGTTAAATCGGAAATTATGGTTTGATTTATAGAAAGTTGATTTAATTTAGAGTCTTGTTCTGGGAAGTAGTCAATTTTTTTGTTGGATAAAGTAGAGATGCTGTTCTGTAAAATTTCTCCTTTTTCTCCAGCTATTGGAGTCCCAATGGAACTATTATGATTGGGAAGAGGAGCAAGTTTTCTTCCTTTAATGGAACTATTGTGAATGGGAATGTCTTTAATTCGACTAGGATATTCAGAAGAAACACTATTTGAATTATCAGAAGAGTGAGTATCGAGAGTGAGCTCTTTAGTTAAATCGGAAATTATGGTTTGATTTATAGAAAATTGATTTAATTTAGAGTGTTGTTCTGGGAAGTAGTCAATTTTTTTGTTGGATAAAGTAGAGATACTGTTCTGTAAAGTTTTTCCTTTTTCTACAGCTATTGGAGTCCCAATGGAACTATTATGATTGGGAGGAGTATCAAGTTTTCTTCCTTTAATGGAACTATTGTGAATGGGAATCACATTAAATTCTTGGTCTTTAATTCGATTGGGATATTCAGAAGAAACACTATTTGAATTATCAGAAGAATTAGTATAGAGAGTAAGCTTTGTAGTTAAATCGGAAATTATGGTTTGATTTATGGAAAGTTGATTTAATTTAGAGTCTTGTTCTGGGAAGTCGTCCATTTTCTTGTTAGATAAAGAAGAGATGCTGTTTTGTATAGTTTCTCCTTTTTCAATGGAACTATTGTGATTGGGAAGAGTATCAAGTGTTCTTCCTTTAATGGAACTATTGAATTTTTGGTCTTTAATCCGATAGGAATATTCAGATGAAACATTATCATTATCTGGATTATCAGAAGAGCTGGTATCTTTCCGACTTAGATTATGATCGTCTATATCTTTTACAATAGTGTGTGATTGTAAATGACTGGGCAATTCTTGATCAGTTTTCGAGGTACTATTATTAAGTCCGGAAATCGATGTTACTACGGCTGGATCACTAGAAATGTGACTGTCATTTCTGTTTATAGTACTTGTATTATTTTCCTTTTGGTGTATTTTATTTTCCAAATTCATACAGTCGTTTCTTGGGATATCATCAAAGGAACTATTTGACAGTGTAGTATTATTTAATCCTTGGACAATATTAACTATTGGTGATATATATTTGACAGGCGATTTATTTCTTTTATGTGAAATAGTTTTGACATTAGAGGAATTACTTGAAATATCTTTAAAATATCGAGGAGGAGAAGTCAAAGCTTCTGATAGATCGGTAACTAAGTTATTATCCAAAAAATCGTGTGTTATTGAATTAAAATTGGGCGATTCAATTATTTTACTAGTAGAAAGTAATCGTTGGAAGTCTAATCCATCGGGACAAGATTCGTTGATATCAATTATAGGATGAAGCATTTTAATAAACTCGGAATTTTCAGTTGAATAGCTGCAGTTGAGTGAGTTTTCTTTACTCACAATAATGGAATGTTTGTCTGAGAAATCAAAGTTTGGAATTTCCTGTAAATTAAACGAGTGATTTTCTTTAGTAAAATTAGAAGGAAATATATTTTCAAATTGTTGTTCTTCTTCTTGTTGTTGCAGCAAATATTCCCCATCCGTGTTTACATTTTCTGGACTTGTTAATTTGGGATCTTGTTTTGATGTATTAATCGAAAAAGTAATATCTTTGATATTATAATTAAGTCGTTTCAGCTTTTCTTTGTATCCAGTAATAATCTTTTTAATTTTTGGAATAGACAGTAACCGTTTTTCTTTTAATAGCCTTAGATTGCTCTCTATATTATATTTTACTACAGCCTTTTCATCCATTGGGTAAAATATTGATTCCTAAAAAATAAAATTATATTGTTCTAAAATCAATTTTTCTATTCGTGAAAAAAGATAAGTACTAATTTATACTCTTGAAGAATAAATATATATAACTACAGCGATTCCCAAACTTTTTCTCTTTGCGAACCCCTTCTAAAAACCGGAATAAGTTAGGATATTTTACTTATAATATAGCCAATAAAACAGTAAAATTGAATTGTTATAAAAATTTATTTTCCATATTAAATAACAATCCATATCGAAAAACTAAAAACATAATCATACAACATTTACAAACATTATTAAAACTAAACTGATAGCTTAACCTATAAGATGAATAAAATAATGTAGAACCTAAAAAACCTTAATGGGATATGTGTGCCTGTTGGTACCGTCACTGAAGAGCGCAAGAGAATATAGGGTGGGACAGAATAGCGCAAAAGTAATATCATCAAGATAAAATAGCGCAAAAACAAAAAAGCGATCTGGATAAAATGACGCTAGGAAAATGTCAGATAGTGACCGATTTAGGTGCCTCATTTTCGTATACAAGCCTCGAAGAGGGTTGAAAAATACATCGATGTTGATTTGAGTAGAATAAAAGAAAATTTACGAATGGCTCTTGAAGATAACTCATGGAAAATTCGATTTTCTTTATCAGAAAAATTTTCGGACCCTAAAATGCACTTATATATTCAGGACATTCAAGAAAATATGTTTTTCGGACTAGTGACGATGTACGTCTTCATACATTATAAATTCGATGGGCTTGTGTGGAAAAATCAAGTAAAATCTCGATTTTTCCTTAGAAGATTCCGCCCTTATTTCTACCCTTTAGCCTCTTGAAACATTCAAGCCTAGTTCTATTAATTAATCATATAGTGAAAACGGCTTGCGTGGAAATATGGGCAACAAATAACCTTTCATTTTTGTTAGGGAAAATCGAATTTTCCATTTGTTACCCCCGGGAACCACTCGTAAATTTCCTTTCAATGGGACACCTAACCCTGTCACTATCTGACGGTCTATTAAGTGAAGAAGTGGCAGAAACGAACAACTATAGACTAATCCATTTACTCAACCTGCTTCCCGCCAAGCGTTTATGTGCGGCCCAAAACACTATTATTAAGAAGCTGATTTTTCAAAACACTGGATTTCTTAGTTTTTAAAATCTTGAGCGAAATGCGCGAGAACATTCATCGGTCGCTGGGCTAAATATAACGCTAATGTATTTAGGTTTTGTTTTTTTATTTATTACATATTTGAAGTAAACGTAAAAGTCCCTACTAATTTTAAATTTATGACATAAAAAATTACTCGCGGTTCTTAAGTTCAACACTACTCTACCTTAAGTGACTGTACCGTTTTTATATCGGCAGCCATTGTTCTAATTCTTTCGTGCGCATTTCGGGAAAGTCTCGGTTCGCTTGATTCGCGTAAGTAGAAGTTGCCGGATCATACATAATATTGCGTTAGTGCGATGTTTAACACGTTGAAGGACAGTACACATTTTTACATGATACCAATTTAGGCAGTACAGTTTTTGCAAGAAAACTAATGTTTAAGTATTTTTACTATCACATCATTATATTGAATGGTGAAGGTAAAAGCTGAACGACGCGACGTCGTGTTATTTTCAACCATCAATCCGAAGACGCATATCAGTGTTGTATCACATCACAAGATTTAACATTGCGCTATTACAAACATTTTTTCGAGAACCCCCTTTATAAAACTCCCTTTCCATTTGGGAAACGCTGTATTTAAAACATATGCTTACATATTGTTGGGTTTCTAATCGATCTATAGAATCATCGACGATTTTAAGAATCTCATCTGGCCATATATTTCGTACAATGTATACCCCATATCGGCTAATTTGGGTAAATCCTGATGTTTTATTGTATGTATAATTTAATTTTAAAGTTTTCGGATTGGTCCCAATTGGAATTGTTTCCATTTGCCAGCTATAATAATTTTAAACTTGAATTTAAAAAATATTCATTTATTAAAATTGATTAAGTAGTTATTGTTTACTTACGTTTTTATGTATGGATAAATAGAAGAAAATTTTCCCAGCATAGAAAAATGTGTTGTAATAAAAATATGCGATCGAAAGGATGATAATTTTTCCAAAATCGCCATTGCTACAGAGACGCCTTCTTCTACAGACGTAGATCGACCCAGCTCATCTATCAGAATAAGCGAGTCATTCGTCATCGTACTCATTATATATTTTATTTCTTTCATCTAAAAAATTACTGTTCTTGGATTTTTGGCAAATAAGAGTTTTTGATGACAATTCAATTAAAGAAGTATTATGACAGATTCGGATGATTAAAACGGGACGCTGAACGGAATCCAAGCAATTCCGCGACGCGCTGGCAAGCGTGCATTGGTAAAGGAAGGGATTATTTTAGAGGCCTGTAATCACTTATATCTTCTTCAATAAATATTTTCCGACTTAGAGCCAAAACTCTGTGTATTACTTTTGGGACAACCCTCGTATCAAAACCAAAAACAAGGTAGGTAATTATTTGTTGAAGTTTCATAATCGTATTGAAAGTCTTTTTGGATGGTTCATTCTGTATATAAATCAAGTATAGTGGAAATATTGTTTTGAAATAAAAATGTTTTAGTTAATTTATTTGAAAAGGATTCTAAACCAATTATAGACACTTCTTTCCTATCTTCCAATTTTCAGACAATTTTATTTGTTTCTAAATAATAAACCAAATCAGAGAGTGAAACTAATTTCTAGTTTTTGTTTAAAGGTAAATATTTATAAGGCTATTCATTTTAATTCTATGAAAAAGTATCCTTTTTTTATAAATATTCAGAAATTAAAAAAAAAATTATCATGGGACACTAATTATTTAATCAATAGTGAACAAAATGGATTTATTTCCGGTAAATCTACAGCTACGAACTTGATGCTTTATAAAATATTTATAATTGGTCCTTTTGAACAGCGCTTCCAGGTTGAAGTATTACATACCGATTTTACAAAAACGTTTGATCGTGTTAACCATGTACTCCTCTTAATTCGTTTGATGCTTTCATGGCTCGTCAGTTAACTTAAAAGACGGACTCAGTATGTAAGATCTGCTGGCTCCATATCATCAGCGATATTGGAATCTTCAGGTATACCACAAGGGTCAAATTTAGGCCCTTTGTTATTTATAAACGATGTAGTTAAGGTTAAAATTTAGTCACATTAATCTATTTTTGACACCGATTTTAAACTTTATATGTCTACAAATACCATTAGGAATGTCATAATGCTTCAATTTGATATAGATAACCTCGTTAGATGGTGTAAAATAAATCTACTCAGGTTGAACCCAAAGAAATGTCACCAAATGGCGTTTCGCAAAAATAACAATCCACTTCAGTGTAATTACACACTAGACAACCATCCCCTTCATAGAGCAGACTCTATTAAAGATCTAGGTGTTACATTTGATGCCAAATTATCATTTTAATCCCATTATTCTTTAATTATTTCAAAAACATTGAAACTCAAGAGATCTTTCAATCATTTTTCAATTGGGCAATCCAAATCACATGACTTTAAATCATGGACACTTAAAGCTGTTTTTGAGTTAAGGTAAATTTTATTTTTAATATTTCAACACTACGTTCAGAAACCAGGGGAGCAAATAGTGGGATATGGGGGGTAAATACCCCAAGAAATTTTAATCCTAACCTTTTATAGGTACTAAAATGTATTATTATCGAAAATAAAGTCCATATTACCACTACCCCCAGATTTAAATTTTATTACCACTACCCCTCCCAGACTTAAACTCTGATGCGCCACTTTCAAAAACTAAGTCCTTAAAGGGTTCATGTTCCTATTTTCACTAGAGGTGTACAGCTGTAGAGCGTTGTTCATCTACATGTATGTACTGAGATTGCTTTTTGTTTTTTTAGCAATTAATTTCTATACGATTACGAAAGATATCGATAAATGGTAGAAATTAAAATAAACTACTCACCTCTAGTACAAAAGATGATGCATTGTATTCCATGTTATCGTCCAAATTAATTCTAGCACACATTTTATTTGCTGGTTTAAAAATTGCCGATTCTGCTGGTATATAACTACCTAATTGTGCCATTATTTGCAATAGTATAACCTGTCTGATAAAAATACTTTTTCCAGATCCATTGGGACCAGTAATAATGTGTACATTGTAATCATCAGAACAGAACTACATGAAAAAGAATATTTATCTTATTATAATGGTATTAAGAAACGGGTAATATTTAACTTTTAATAGAAGCGTAGTCATTGGTATTGTTGGAAATACATTCAACATATTTCAATGAATGCATCAGGCGAGCCCAGCGCTAAGTGCCAAACCGATTAATAAATTAATAATGAAAAAATAACTCGTGTAACCAAATTTAAGAAAAAATAATGGGCCCTCCCTGCCCGTCGAATTAATTCGAGAACGAGTTAAACATAATCATGATGATTACGTCATGTCACTCCTTCCCTCTCTAACGCGCTTAAAACAGAAATTTAAAAACTGCGCTAAATAAAATGCATGTCCAAGTGCCTAGAAAGTTCGAAAGACCTCACAAGGGGTAAAAGACATAAATATCCTACGCCGCTTTTTAGCAGTAAGAATGTTTCAGATCGCATATCTAAGCAGGTTTTGAAAGCAGTATGCATTTCGATTGCTTTTCATTTATACATGACACAAACTCGGGGAATTTATGCCACGTAAAGCTCGCTACAGCCTATGCATGTATTCACGATTCGTGATGCGCGATGCGTGATTCGCGGGTAATTCGCGAATAGTGTGTAGGGGCTTGTTCGTTAAAAATTGATTCGTAAACAACAAATTGACGAATATCAAAGGATGTGCATTAACACGAATTGTTTATTTGCCGAAATTCGGGCTGTGCTCATAGTTAATTCGTCAATAAGTGGTGCGCGATCGTTTGTTTCGAGGGCCCTCCAGTGCAGTGTCCACGAGGTTAAACCTGTGTTTGATTCTTCAAGAATAATTACTAATTTAATTAAAAATTAAAAAGGAAGACACATATGAAAATAAAATAAACAATCAGGTCATTAATCTAGTCAATGGCCCAAGGGGCGAAAGCTCTCGTTTTTTTTGGGACTCTTTAAGTGCCAAAATAATGTGATGTGTAGAGTAAAGTTTTGTGTACGATTTGTAAATTATGGGTAAATATTTTTAACTTAATTTTTAAGTGTTCTGTTTAATAATAATTGATTGATTTACATATAAATGCCAAATTTACATTTTTGCCTCGAATTATCATATTTATCTTATGCATATTTTTATATTATTATGTAGTTATAGTGCTTTATTCCCTAAATGGAATTTTATTCATTTTTTTCTTAAGACTATTAGTCAAATTTTATACTTATTGTTAAATCCCTTTCCAAAACAGTAAAATACTCCGAGCGTTTCTATTCCCTTAGGACTAAGAGAGTCTAAAACTAGTTGCCAAGAAACGATCGACTATGCTATTAAGGGATAATTTTTTATTCTTTTAATTTAATTTTTTTATTATTTTTATTTGCCACTGGTGAATGGATGTTCCTTCAGGACTCCAGGACCTTTTGGCTGGTGACGGTGATGCCCTAATCCCTCAATAGTATATTAACAACAGTAGCTAAAGATCTATCAGTAGTTACAAATGATCTTTAGGCTAGTTGGTTGTTACATAAACTTTGCATTTTCGCGAACTCACTGCAAACATGAATGAATCACGCATCGCGCATCACGAGTCGTGAAAAACGCATAGTCTGTATGCTCCGTTTGCGAATTGCTACGAACTATAACGAACTGGATGAATCACGCATCGCGCATCACGAATCGCGAATACATGCATAGGCTGTAGCGAGCTTAAGTAATTTGATTTGTTTAATACGTTGTTTGTGATACAATTTATGGGTACAATTTGAACTTTTGACTGTACACTCACCCATCTTCATACCATGTTTTGACGAAAGTAAATCGAGAGTAAATCAGAGATTGTTATTATAGGAATCATTCTACGCAGGTAATAATAATCAATAGTATTACAGTCAACTGTATTGGACTACTAGGGCTATATTTAAATGATGTAGGTAATCGGTATGAACTTCAAACCCTACCTACATGTATTATTTTTATAGAGAAACTTAAAGATCCAGCTCCACTTGTTACCATATTTTGCGCCGATATTTCAGAGAGTATCTGGTGACAGCTGATATTGCATTTAAACGTACTACCCAACCCCAAGGACGTCCACGTTCAAAATTTGAGTAACTTTCTGTAAATTTGAAAATATAATATTGTACTGGTGATTATATATACTTACTATATTATTTGCAACCGATTTTGAAGGCATTAAAACATTTAACATTGGATGTTGACCATTTTTAACTTGTGTGTAATCCCCAAAATCGGGACGAATGTAGTTATTTTCTAAACTTGCTTGAGCCAACGATTGATAGATATCCAATTGAGCAACTTCTTCGCAAAATTTATTAAACAAAGGTATGTATTGTTTAACATTAACTATTATATTATGAACAATCCTAAAATAAAAGTTTTGAATTTATAATATACTTTTTCATATTTATTTTTAAATATATTGTCAGGGAATATCACGGGAATTTAGAGATGTATAGTAACAAATCCGTAAATGTGCTCTACATTTAGAGATTTGTTGCTGTCCATCTCTAAATTATATTGCAAAGCTGGAAAAATTTGGATTTCGAAAAGTTATACTAATTTCACTTACACATTACTTATTTTTAAAATATCATCTAAAATAACATCAACTCGTGTAGAAATATTGACCAATTCTGGCGTTTTCATTGTAAAAGCATTACTTGAAGATTGAATCTAAAAAAAATTATTATTTACACATTGACAAAAATTAATTCTTTCATTTATGCATATTATCTAAACACAAATTGCATTACTTCAACGAATTCGTCAGGTAAGTCACATTTCTTGAATGTCTTCATTTCTTGTCTATTTATATTTAATATTATATGATATCCCTTTTTTTGATTATTTCCAAGAGTAAAAGGTAAATTGTATTTTTCTTCTAACATGCGTACATAATCTACAACATTTGAAAAACAGCCATAAATCTGCAAATTGTATTGAAGTCATTTTTCATTGTCTATTACTAGTTAATTGCCGGATCTGTATTCCAATTTTTGTTTTACTTTAATTTTATCGTTGCACCACGTACAAGTAATTTTCTTCGATTGGGAATCAGATTTGCTGGGAAAAATGATTGTCGTCGCGCGAAACGTATAAATATCTCGATGCGCGAACCTCGATCTCTGGTAGATGCGCGGTAGTTCTGGACGGGAGTACTGGTTTTGGTTTTCAACAGTAACCGCGTAAGGGATTATTTTTAAACTTAACTTTTTATAGGTACTGTATTATATTTAGAGGGTTCATGTTCCTAGGTTTACCAGAGCTGTGCGGATGTAGAGAGTTATACATCGAATATTGCAACACTCTGTATGTATTTATCTTCTGATTCTATTCACGACCACCGCCGTAATTAGACCGAAAACACGCTATCTTCGAGTTTTGATTTTTTACATTGAACCTACCGTAAGAAGGTAAACACCGGGCTTTTTTATCGTTTGTCGTTTACCGCTGTTTTTTTTTATTTGGTGTCATCGGCATCGACTGCTAAGGTCATTAGCCTCGTGTTCTGTGTAGGCATTGTTACTTTCCCAGCGCCACTTTAGAAACAGCACTGTTAATTAGAACCCAACAGTGAATGGTCGAGGGGGGAATCCTACCAAGGCATCAGAATTAATTTTAAATAATTAAATTAAAAGTTTACCGCTGTTAAAAGCCGTTTTATTTTATTGTGGGGATTATTATTCTAAAATATTTCGCGTTTTCCGAATTTTGATTTATATTAGTTGTTACTTAGTACAGTGACTTTGAAATAAAATTAGATTGAATAAGGAATTCATATACCAGCCATTTTGTTTGTTGATTTTTGTTCAGGGTTTAAATTATTACCGTATACTTATCCTCGTATACGGTTGAGATATTTATTTAATCTTATTTTTATATTTTTTTCAACACAATATATTTGTCACCGTTTTTCTGGCGTATTACTAAGGTAATTGTATCGCTGCCAATTTCCTTGCTTTACTTCCCCCTTATTTTCCGCCAGTGAGAAATTATTTACAAGCGCAGGCAGCGATTAAAGCCCGTTGCTCGTGGCTACTTATTACCTATATCTAAGTGATCTTTGGCCTCTGGAATTTTTCATCTCCATCTGTAGCTGCCCGAGTACTTTCGACGCCGCTTCGAGAATTTGTGGAGTGAACCACATTACAACAATCTGGCGCCCGAGAGCAGTCCGAAATAAACGTCACTCGGAATGAACCGTATATTCTCTGTAGCGAGAAAACCCCTTACAAAATAAAGCAATACTGAACACTTTTAACCTATTAATCTTACCTTTCATATCATTAACTCTTTCGCAATAAATTTTTCTTACGACATCTAATAATTCGTTAATTTTTGGTTTTATGGAATAACACCATTGGTGATTAACCAATTGGCTTTTAGTTGGTTGTGCTTCTTCAGTCAAAAACTCTCCAATCATCTCTCTAATTTTAACAAATGATGAATCTTCCAAAGTGTTTCGTATCCTAACGAAAAACGGTTGTTTCAAAACCAAAATAATTTCTCTTAGTGGATTTATCAAATCTACGATACTGCGTAAATTTAAAATGTAATTTACTTGACGGATGGAACATTTGTATGGATCCTGTGGTACTAAAGTCGCTATGTTTAGTACAGATTCCATGTTACATAATTTTTGTAACAAAATCTGAAAAGAGTCCAGTATATGAATAGATTGTAGAGGACATAGAGGAGAGAATAATTGTTTTTTTCAGAGATGTGTTTGGACTAGTTGAGCGGAAATTGGTACCAAATGTAAGCTAAGAAATATTCTGGCCGCTTTCAATAATGTATTTTTAATTTTATCTTAGTTTGTCTTTGAATTTATAAAAAATCAGCAAAGCAATACAACTAATTAGAAAATTTCATACGCATTTTAGATTTTAGAGTTTATTTTTAATTTATTTACACTCAGTACTAATTAACACGTTAACGACCATGTGCACCAATATGGTGCACGTGGTAGTTTCTGTCCAGATCGTCTGACCCTATTTGAGCACAGTGAATTGCCATGGTCTAAGTAATGTGAGCAGCTATGTAGTTTTTAAATATGTGGAGTAATTGATTTGGTCCCTGTCTTGGGTTGGGATTTTTTGTATTTTTTCTTGGTTAAAATTTGCTTATTTGCCAATTGCTTACTATATCAAGAAACTTTTTACTATTGTATATTCTGTCATGGAAAATAGTCCAGCAATATCTAAGATAATCCTCTCAAATAGGCTACCAGCGTTGTATTGTGACATGGGAGCCTTTAATATAACCGGTTCCTGAGATTATAATTGTAAGGCGTCAATAGTATCATCTTTTCTATAGCGGGAAAACGTCTTACAGATTATTTTAAAAATCATCACGAATAGGAAAAAAATTAATACAAATAATCTGGTAGGTAGGATGGTTTATTAACCATCATTTAGTAATGAGTAATGATCTATCGTTTTCGGGATATAAAGGAACAAACAAAAACAGGACTTTACCACCCTCCATAGTTTTGTAGCTAGGTTCGGGGACTTTTATTATTTTTACCGCTTAACTACTCCAAACACAATACTGCAGAAAAAAATGTCCCATCTACCATATCCTGTGTATGTGTGTATTTTGAAAATCCATGATAACACAGTTATGACAGCAGTATAAAGTTATACATTGTGACGAAATCACTAAATTTTCCTTTAGTTTAATTATAAAAATGTTTAGTTTAAGTTAATTTCCACCTGTCAGCGTTATCAAGAACCTCTATAATTTTCATTTTTTTTTAAATTCCCGTTTTTAAACATATGCGAGAACCCCCGTAGTTCAAAATATATAATTTTTTACCGAAATTCGAATTAAGCTTTAAATGCTCAAATTCATATAAATTATCGCAGATGTCAAAGGACGTTTTTTCAGACCTCCGAATAATAAACATTAGTTACTCCCACTCCGAACCATTCGGAAACAGAACTAGTCCTATTGTAAGATATAAAACCGAGATCTTGCCGAGCTTTTTTTTGTGTGCAATTTCTGAGTAAGTTTGAGTAACACCTTTAATACCGTTTTTTTTTATTTATTATTATTTATTATTAGCCTTATCTATTAGGAATTATTTCGTTATTCTCTTGGTCGGCCATCGCTTGTTAAATATTAACAAAGAAATCATTTTAATAGCCAGAGAAATTTAATCTTTACTAGTTCTAAATTCTGTACCTTTTTGGGATAACTAAAGTTCCGTAAGAGACGCCAGGTCAGTGATCTTATAGGCTGGTTTCAACGACAGGATTTCTTAAATCCGGAATACAAGTTTCGTTGCTTGAGGAAATTAATTTCCCAACCTTGTACGGAATACCGTTTTGGTATTTCTGAAGTTACGTAAGCGAAGGAAGGCCAGTGATCGCACAGACCTGTTTAGCCGACTTATTTCTCAACATCCAAGGTACCCCGAGTCAATAGACCCCTCTTCACTACTACGTTAATAAAATATTCTTTAATTCACTGAAGACCGATGACCACAAGACAACATTGCCCTCTTATCCGTTACTGTATCAACTTTCTTAAACCGCGTCCCTTTGAAAATAATTATTTAAACGAAAACTGTCAATTAAAATCCAGAAAAATCCAACCATTACTCCAGGGCTATCACAGTTCAGCAAGACCATTTTTTTTTTAATTTATCGCGAGAAATATTGCTTGTCGATAGGAATACTGATTGAAATAAATAGATTTTAGAATGACAACGATTGTATCCAGCCGAATAATGTAAATATTTCCATCATGTTAAATATATTATTACTTAACTTTTAGAAAAACTGCGAAAGCAACCATATCTTAGATTTATTTTATTTATTTGCGCAAAGCTTTATTACAACATATTTTGTGTTCCGAAACTTATTTAAAATTGCAGATTTAATTATATTTTCAATTCCACGGAGCTTTGATTTTGTAAATAATTTCGTTAGGTTAATTATACTGTTAATTAACCTGTAGGTTACACCGTTGATTATAAATACTGTGGGTATATCCGTTTTGGTGATTTATTTCTTTTTATTTTTATTTATTCCTACGAAATTTGGAAATATATTTTCTTTAGGTTAATTATTCTGTTAATTAACTTAGACCTTTTTACATCTTATTTAGAATATCCGTTTTTGCTGATTTATATTTATTTTTTTATTTTAATTGTAAATAAAGACTAAAATTATTTAGGTTTGGTATTGCTCTACCGTGGTTAGCGTTTTAAATATATTATTTTGTATAAACTTCCTGTGTTTCTCTTAACTATACCCCACACTTGATCTAGCTCTTCCAGGATTAGTTGTAAAGTAAATGGTACGAGGCGGTTATACCGTTTAGGTTGAGTAGGAAAGTTATTGCCAGTGTTGAGGTATCATTTCGGTAGGCGCGACAGACGACCGCCGACGCGACATACGACCGCCGACGCGACCGAGAAGTGTCGCTTCACATCTAAAATACATAAAATTATATAAAACACATTTCGGTAGGAAATTTCTTTCCATCTAGGCAGCGTTGCCAGATTTTAAAACAGTATGGGTAAAAAAACCGTAGATCTGAACAGTAGATTTTAATACAGGGGGAAATAATTAAAATTTGCAGTGTAGTAAATAAAAAAACAAGTATATAAGAAACGAAAAATAAACTTTTTTGTCGACCCAAATTAGAAGGTAAACAAAAAATAAAAACAAATAATAACATTTTTAATATATTCTTAACGTACGGAAATAAAAAAAGAACAATGAAAAATAATAGGTACCTACTTCTTTTAGATCAGTCTGAATTAGATAATTCAAAATCGTAGTGTGCATGCATGTTCTTTTTATGATGCCCTATTAATTCTTTGTTTCATTTTAAATAAAAACAATGATTATCTTGATGTTTTTTTTATGGAGCCAACCTAGAGTAGTAGATGCTTATTACGCTGCTTTTACTGCAGAAAATTTACTAGAGAAAATATTCTTTAACCATTTGCTGAAGAATGAGGCAAACTTAATAAATTAAGAACAAAATTTGCTAGAGACAAAAACATTAGATCTACGTGAAAACAGTAGGTCTGGCAACGCTGATAGTTCCCTCGAATGGTTATCCTGTAAGTGTCGCGCGACACTTCTCAAGCTTGCGAAATGTACCAAGCGTAATATTTATGCATCTGTCATCCTACTCGACCTTGGGGTCGCTTCAGTGCTCGCTTGTCTCTTGACGCGCCTACCCAAATGGTACCTTAAAGGTTCTTTTAGGTACTACCCCATTTGCAAGTGAGCCTAGAATTTAATTTACTCCACTGGGACTACTTTACGTGTATACACGATTGTTTATCTCATTTTATATAATTTCATGAGAAAGATCACAAGTAAAGCTTTGTAAATGTGTTTTAGAATTATCATTTTTTTATAACAAAATATATGATGCAAAATTTCATAGTAAATCATTTATCTTGGCATATTTCTAATCATTCGTTTTTTTACCTGTAAATGCGATAAAACTTCTTGATTTTTCATCAGTTCATCGACACAATCCAATCTAGCTTGAATATAAGAAATGTTAAATAGAGGTTGAAGTATCCACGATCTCAACATTCTGGTACCCATTTTAGTGTAACAATGATTCAAGATGCCTAAAAGACTGGAATGTTTGTTGGCTTGAGAAGGTTTTGCGCTACAAACCAATTCTAAACGATCAGCTGTGGCTACATCTACAAATAATATATTATTATCACAGCTTATACAATTATTATTGTTAAGCTGTGTTATTATTGCAATTTATTGAAAATTAGGATATTAATAAAATTAGGATACTTTAATATACTTAGTTTAGTAAAATATGTACATATTATTATATAATAGTTTGGATGGGTATTTTTTTTGTCAAAGTATCCAAAATATTCAGAATATTGCGTACCAATTAGAGCATACCCTTCTGATTCTTGGTAGTCAATTTTTATAGTTCCTGCTGCATAGTAAATATATAAATTGTCTTGAATATAACTTAGTAAAGCGGAAGTAGCAGCTAATGCATAATATCTGAAAACAAAATATAAACAATAGAAGTAGAAATATACAGGGTCGGACTGGCTAAATTTGGCCCCATCGGCACCACGAGTAATTGGCCCCCCATCCTACTTTCTTTGACCAACTCGATTATTCCCATAAAGGTAATTAATCACATTTAAGACAAAAATATTTAGAATTTATGTATTAAAAAGTAGTGTTACAATAGATAGTCCAAAATCATGAAATTTCAAGTACTTTGCGACCGTTTCAAATAATCTAAAAAACTGTAAAATTATGCGTTTAAAACATAATATAAATACTGTGTAGGTAATAAATAAAAAATAAAGGTTAATTTTTATATAAAAATCTTTTTTTAAATAAACAACAAAACGAAAAAAATTTAGATATTAAAACCCAAATAAATAAAAATAAAAGTAAAAAAGGGAAAAAATCACAAATTAATATTTAAATAAACCGGCTTCCATAAACAACAACAAATAAGAAAATTAATATTACATAGTCAAAAATAGGAGTGCAAATAAGTACTATTTGACTAAATCTGACTATAAATTTCTATAACAAAATATAATGTTGTCAACAGACATAAATAATTAAAATAAACATGTACACGTGCAACGTCACAAAACAAAATAGAACTACAATTCTTAAAGAACATAACAAATAGAAAAAAAATAGCCTATTAATGAGAGGTATACACAATCAGAAAAAACGAAGCTTTAAAAATCAAAGCATTATAATAAATTGAGCTTGTGGAAGCTAACTTATCGATAATTTTTTCTGGGTTAATACTATTTAAGATGTCTCTTTCCGTATTCATTAATATTAGGGCCTGTAATAATTCTTGGCCTAACAAAGATCTAAGTCTATTTTTAATTATTTTTAATAGAAAAAATACTCGTTCGTATACCAGTAGGGTGCAAGACAAAGTATTTAAAAACTTATAAGCAATATACAAATTTGAAAAAGTGGATATAGGCATATTGTATTCTTTAAACATTTTAAAAGTACAGTGTACGCAACCTACTCATTCATTTGTTTCAGACTTATTTATTCAGAGGTCTGTTTTTACATTTTTTTTATTATCCAGGTATATTTGTGTGAAACTCAATAATTCATTTTTTAATTCTACATTATCGATCCCAATCTTTCTGTAATATCAGTCGCTTAATAAATCCAAGCTTTTAAAATTTCTGGTGTCAAGGTCTGAAAAATCTTCATAAATTTGTTTGTTGGCTTCAGATCTCTGACTTATACTTTGAATTGCCTGATTAATTACTGATTTAAATACTTTAACTTCAAATTTTTTCATTGGCTCAATAATAACGGAATCTTTAGTTGTTTCGCCTACCATACGTTTCCTTTCTCTTAACCCTTGTTGTGGCAGCTCATGTTCAATTACAATATCTTTGTTTCTAATGGCCTCAATTTGATTTATATAATTTAAAAATGAATTCATCTTTTTAACAATTAAAATTTGTCATATATTTCATTTAGCATTGCTTTCAGATTTGTTACCAAATGGTATGCTTGGATAAAATCAATACTTTCTGTCTCAAGATAATTTGAGGCGGGAGTAACGTATTCAAATGTTTTCCAGATTTCCTAGATTTTGTTGAATTATTGTACACAACATTTTTATGATGGTGGTTTGATTTATCTCTAGTGCTTGACCGTTGGCCCCCAAAAGGGTTTGGCCCCGTCGGCAAATGCCGACTTGCCGACCGGGCCAGTCCGACACTGGAAATAGAAGAAGTAGAAGTAGAACAAAATAATTTTGTGTGTTCTCGAAAAATAATTATTACTTTATGTATGACCAGCGAGAAGGCGATATAATTATAATAGCTTGCTTTATGCTGTGTTTAATATGTACCTATTTTAGCTTTTTTGCTTGATACCGTTCTTTTAACACATCCAAGTTCAGTTTGCTCCATATTCGGTATGGTTTACTTGTTGTTACGTGATCAAAAAATCTACTCGCTCTGCTGAGGGGCCGATTCTCGACTTGTAAGAACCTTTTCCCATAGGAATTTGTGACACTTTCCTATATGTAGAAATATCACAAATTTCCGATCTATAGAAAAATGTCAAAAATTCCTATAGGAAAAAATCCTTATGAGTCGAGAATCGACCCCCTGGAGGAGGTACATTTCAAACGTCGCAGCAATTCGCAAAACTTCAAATTCAAACAGTCATAGCGCTCGTTCTGTGCAATGAACTGGAGTGGGGTAGAAAGCCAATGTGCATATTGTATCAATAGAACAAGATGCGACTCTATGGGCGCAGCCATTTTTATTTCTCATCTCACTCAGGAGTATTTATGATAACCATTTTCTATTTCACATTGTTATTGTTCAATCCACAAGCTGGTGGATCAGACAATAACAAAGTGAAATAGAAAATGGTTGTTATAAATACACCTGAGTGAGATGAAAAATAACCTCTCTTCGCCCATAGAGTCGCATCTCAAGCCTATTGACAAGCATTCTACTCCACTCCAGTTCATTGGTTCTGTGTGGCGCTCGCGCTCATTCGCTAGCAGAAGCAGCAACGTCGAACAACATCTGTACTTCCCACAAAAACAAACTGCGCGCGGAGAAGTTAAGCCAACTCATAGTTAGAAGACGAGGTAAACAACATTGACAATCAACATAATATGAGTAATTGGATAAAATACAGAATGATAAATTTACGGGTTAAATAGGTATTAATTGATGTTATAATTAATCTAAAATAAAACGAAAGGATCATTGTGGATTCGTGTGCCGCGTTTATCGTAATGTTTTCAGATGTTTCTTTGCAACAATACCCGTTTTTCGATTGGGTTTCAAATAAAATTTTACGTGAATATCAATATCAACACAGGGTCGGTCATATTAATAAAAAGTGAGTGCAAAATCGATGTGGAACAGTGGAGGCAGAAGCGCTATTTTTCCATTATATTTTTTGAAGCCGATATAGCCAGTAAGGTAGGTAAGGAATTGGTTTACAGCTTTGTAGGGTTACCATACGTACAGCATTTTCAAAGTGTGTCCACCATTTATTGTACAGTAAAACGCCTTTATTATCCAACAAAATTAAATATTTTAATAATTTCCTGTTATGTATTGTATTCTTATCGAAATACAAAATATGTTCGTCAATAACTAAGAGCATCTCTACATTCAGGATTATGCACTAATCAGCTGACCGAGCAGCTGACTCTCCTGCCGCGCCGTCTAGCTGCATGTTTTATCTCTTTTTACTCATTGCTTTTCTGTTGTTTTATTTATGCTGTTTATATTTGCTGCGTTTGAGAATCCACATCGGATGCATTTTTTACATCTCGAGCGTTTTTTTATCCACATCGGACACATCTGTCCCATTACATTTACGTATACTGCATCACGTGATCAAAGATTTTTTACATCTCAGATGCATCCGATGTGGATTCTCAAACGCAGCAATTGTTTACATTTTTAGAAGTTTATATTAATTTTTGGTCGTTTTGTGTTTAAAGAAATATATTTATGTGGTTCTGTTTTCGAGTTGCATATTTCTCTGGGTCAATATTGTCTAGACTTTATTTTCTTAAAGATAAAAAACGACACTCTATAAAGTATCTCCCAGATGCTACGACTATGCCCAAAATTTAATCAGCTCATCGCAAAATGGATTAAAGCTTGATTTTAAATTTTGTTATTTTACATGTTTTTTTATTATAAAAAAGCATGTACCCCTAAGTGATACTAGATGGTCAAGTAGGATTGATGCTATAAGGCCGCTAAAGTTTCATTTAATTCAAATTTGTGATAGCCTTCTAGAAATAGCAGAAAATGACACTTTTAACATGCTATTAATTATTAAGTATCCAATCTTTTAAATTTATTTTAGTAATAATTTGGTATGATGTTTTATTCCAGATTGGCATTGTAAGCAAAATGATGCATAGTGTAACGACTGATATTAAAGTGTGCCAAAACTATTTAAAGAATCTAGTTGATAATTTTAAAAATTATAGAGATGATAATGTTTTTGAGGAAAAACTTGCTCAAGCTGGAGAACTAGCAGCCGCTCTTGAGATAGAGCAAGGTTTTCCTCCATTAAATACTGTTAGACGAAAGTATGAACCAAAACTGTTCGATTATGAACAGAGAGATGAGACACTTCAAGATCCAAAAACATCGTTTAAAATAAATTTCTTTTTAAAAATAATTGATCAAACACTAAGTTCTTTAAATAGTAGATTTGAAATGATATCTGATTACGACAACGTTTTTGATTTTTTTTAGTGATATTTTTAAATTAAATGACGAGGATTTTTTAAAATGCTGTCGTGCTCTACAGTAAAAGCTAACTGATCAAAAAAAAAAGAGGAGGCTGACGTAGAAGAAAATGATTTATTTAATGAGATAAAAGCCCTAAGATTTTTTTTTATTACCCAAAGCGTCAAATCCCCTCGACATTTTACAATATATATTTGAAAACAATCTAACTTCATCTCTACCAAATATTACCATTTCGTTAAGAATCCTGCTTACTTTACCTGTATCTGTAGCTTCTGGTGAGAGATCCTTCTCAAAATTAAAAACAATTAAAAATTATTTGAGGTCCACCATGTCACAAGAAAGATTATCGGGTTTGGCAATCTTAGCTATAGAGCAAGAGATCCTCGATAAAATTGATTTTGACAATATTATAAAAGAATTTGCAGCAGCCAAATCCAGAAAAAAACCTATTTAATTTTTGGATAATTGAATGTTTTATTTGTTTACTGTTTGGTTTGTTTTTTCGTTTGTAAGAATAAAATATTGGTTTTTGAAATATCTATTGTTTCATTACAAAATTAAAATAAAATGTGGTTTCGCAATTCGCTCAAATGTTAAACGACTACAAGAATATTACAGCAAACCAGGAAATTTAAAAAATATATATGTAACAGCTTAAAGTTGTTATTCTTCAAAATATTATTTATATAAGTACTACATATATTCAAAGGGCGCCAATAACCCTTGCGGGGGCCCTGAATTGAATACTATGGTGCATTTACATAATAATTTATATTAAATGAAAACTCAAATAAATACCTGTGTTGCAAAACTAAAACGATTCCATTTAAAGATGGTATACACAGCTTTGAAAGCATATCTAAACCATTCAATTTATTAAATAAACGTCTATGTATCGCATTATATTTAATTTTCGGAAATTGTGTTTTAATTTTTGTCATTAATCGATTTCCATGAACATTCTCAAAAGTTTGAGGAAATAATATCTACAATAAATATTTTATTGATATTGATAATATATATTAAATTATTATTATTATTATTACGTCTGTGGGATTGAAAATGTTAATTTTTGTTAGAGTATTTATATAAGTGTGCGAATCTGATATTTGGGATATAACCAAAACAGGACTTGATAAATTAATAACTGCTATTCCAACTTCACATCTGGCTTGTCCTCTGCCTTCTGTTAAAGCTGAAATAAAAGTATAATGTCAAATAGATTAATGAAGGAAAAGGATTTTATGCTTAATTTTCAAAAACTGCCCAGCACCAGACTTATGTGCATATAATATGTATTGATTACCAACAATAGTCCTTGATTGAGTTTCACTAGGAATTTTTGAACTCGTCGATCGTCGGTTTGAAGAAGATGTTGCAACACTACAACAAAAATATCAATTATATTTTTCGATGCAAACTTGCTTGAAGGTACAGAGAACCAATAAATCTAAAAGAAAATTTGGGGAAAATTCCCCCATTTTGCTATTTTGTCATACTTTTTATGGCTTCAGCTTTTTCCCCAGATTTAGGGAGAATCATAGTAAGTGGAGTGACACACTACTGTTGTGATTAAAGAAAAACCCACATACCCAGTAAATCGGGCGGAGATAATATATCCCTCAAGGTTTTTACCATCAGGATGGTAGAATCCCACAAAATGGTTACTTATTGTCAAACATCACACATCTGCCAGTCGTAAAAAGCAAGTAAAAGTACGTGGCATTTAAAAACACAGGAGCGTTATCAATCAGCAGCTTTTTTAACGAATTGAGAGACAGTGCCCCTGGAGGATGCACAATGAGCCTAAAGAGGCTTAAGTGATGTGGGGGGGAGGGTTATCCACTCTTCCCACCTTATGGAAAAAATAACCCGTTCTTCCCGGAAAATATAAGTTTATATATGTTACAAAACAAAATTTTGATATGTCCAAAATTTTCAAGTGATGTTACCAAAAATTTCCACACACATTTTATTTGAAACATTTGATCATATTTACACCTCCCAATTCATCTTCAAAATTTCTCCAATACGGTCCATTTTAGAAAACTCATGTAAATTATAAAACATAGAGAATGACATCAAAAACAAGTCTTACTCAAAGAGTTTTCTTCTATAATCAATTAAAAACAGAAATATATAATAAAGTGTGCCTTGTGGAGCTGGCAGACAGAATAGCTCCATCCGGGCATTTACCATCAGGGTAGTAGAAGCCCACTAAATGGCCACTTCCTGAAATTGGGCATCTAGCGATATTAACCTGCAAAGCTGAGAGGCTAGCTATCCCTAGGGACACCTCTCAGCTACTTATAGACCAACAGGCTTTTGACTAACTGAGAGGAAGATCATATTTATCCCAAGAGGATGCACAATGGGCCTAGTGCGGCTTAAATACTGTGAGGACAACCCATACTCCTCTCCTTACCGATACAGATGCATTAAATTAGAAAAACGACCCCCTATAAAGTACCGCAGATGCCTTGACTATGTCAAAAATCTAATCAGCTCACCACAGGATGGATTATAGCTTTAATTTTAAAACCTTAGTGTTTTTATCTTTATTTGATTGTGAATGCACACAAATAGACATCATTTTGAAAATGGGCAAAACGGATTCAGTGAATCCCAAAACGCAAAGATCCGTCGAAAACTCGAGCTCGAAAAAATCATGTTCCTATATTTTCCTTACTGCTTAGTGGAAAGTAAAAATGTGTTTTACCTTGCGCCGCCACTTCCCCAGTTTGAAGTTGACAATAGGGTTGATTTTTTTTTATTAGTTTTTGTAAGTTCCATTGGCTCAGAGAGGCATTCTCTCGAACTGTCAGGTCTAGTCAAATTTCGATCGTTATTATCTTGTTCTTCTGAAACAAATTATTTTAAAGCAAAACTATATAATATGCAAAATATTTCGACTTACCACATTTTCCAGTAGCGATAAACTTTAATCTAGGTTTAGATTTGATTCTGCGATTTAAAACACATTCATTTAAATTCATAATAGTAATATTATTTATTGAAAACACTGGTCCCGTTGATATTCAAAATTTCTAAATCTAAATAAAAAGCAAGATTAGTGAAATGGAACTATACTTATTCATGAAAAAACAGGAGAAATGTGTAAAATCAGCAACCTGTTTGAATCTGGAAACGTGTTTTCTACAAGTATTCTGAGTTTTCTGCTTGAATTTGAATATCTGTCAAAAAAAGCTAATACGACAGTGTTGCCAGATGAACAAAAAATATATATTGTATCAGACATTTGAAAAAAATGTATTTTATCATTAAGATAGAATAAAGAAAAGATGCTATGACGATTCTAAAGAATCCGCACCAAAGGTACGCACCTTTGCATTACGTTTTTACGTCATATGTCAAACTCGAGATAGTGGAGCTAGTCAGTTTTGGTGAGAATAAATGCCATTTTTTTTAAATAGCTTAATTTAAATGATATAAAATCATTTTCTTTCCGTTAGTCTTCAAATATAAAATTATTGACTTTAAATAAATCAAGTAGCCATTTTCATTACACTTTTCCGTCACTCGAAGTGCGTCCATCTGTCATATCGCAAAATAGTGTTTATGTCGTCTCTATATTCTATCTTGATGTATTTTACTGACAAAAAATGGTATCTTGAATAAAAAATCAGAAGTAAATAAAAATATTATTTTAAACTATGATTTAAATAATAACAACGTATTATTACGAGCGGAAGAACAGAGGGTCATTATGAACTGAGCTGCCAGTTACTCAGACCCGTTGTATTAATAAAACTGTAATTACAAATATTTTAGTAATTGATACCTATAACCTATAGGTAAGTATATTATACAGTGAGTTAAAAATATGGTAGTAAAATGGTACCAGTAGCCAAAAAATTGTACAAAAATGGAAAATAGTATTCTAGTATCGTAGTAGAAGAAATGGTATCAATACCATAAAAATGGTATACCTGACAACACTGGAACACGATAAGAAGTGAAACGCGAACCAATCATAAAATATTTCTATATCTTTCTTCTTGGCTTCCTAGCATTTTTAAAACTTTTATTTTTTTTGACTTAGCAATTAATTATAATTGATTTAGGATTGCCAATAACTCTAAGCCCATAATTTAAGCATAATTTGAGGGTATTTTCCACGAAGGTATAAGAATATTAAGAGAGTATGAGAGAAACAGACTTTGGCGCAAGTGGTTCAAACATGGAAATTCAACTTTCTTTTGACACAATTGGAGTAAATAAATGGACATTTGAAATATTGGTAAATAAATATTGTGATGTTTGTTTATTTTAAACAACAGTTTATTTATTAATAATTTATTTAAACAATTATTTATTTTATAACACTACTATTATAATTTATATATATTTCGAATGTCTTTAAACTGTTCACTATTTATCTTCACTGTCCATATATCTAATGACTGTTGATCCTCCACCAATATTTATATACAAATTGGTGATTTCAGAATGCTCCTCCACCAAAACATCTCATATCCGAAATATACCAGAAACATTATCACGATGACTCAGGAATGTTCGCAAAAGTGCCTCCGCCATAGTCGTCACATATGTTTGGACTTAAGGGGTTTAATTATGTATGATAATAGAACAAGTTGAGCCTCAAAGGCCAAATAAGACAGAGAGGGACTTGAAGGATTAGATCATGACTGAATAATGAAATGGCTCACATAACAATATGGTACCTAACGAAATAAAAATGCTTTATTATTAATTTTCATTATTTTTAATGGTTTCTCTAAGTGGGATTCAAGCTATGCAATACGCCCTCTGGGGGTACATTTCATAAAATGTGTAAGTAGTGTTATTAGGCACTCGAAAATATAAATTAACCACGGTAACAGCGGTAACCTTTGTACTGGAATAGTATCTTAATACAACGAATGATATCTTTAAGTTTAACTTTATTATATTATCGATTCAAAATTCTATTACAAATAAATTAATTGGTATGACAACACTGTAGGGTGTTTTACCTACTTACGCAACGCTTAAAAAAGTGACAGCCTAGAAAAATACAATCCTAACTAGAATAATCTCGATGCGTTCGTGAAATCTTTCCTCCACGCGTCGGCTTGCGTACGAAAAACATTCTAGTCGATTCTCGATCGTCAGCGGTGATGGTCAACAAAGAACAGGATCGGACTGGTTGCACGATGACAGTATATTTGCTATTTATGCTTAAAAACATTATTGTAATATGGATTGTTTGTGATGTCACTTTATAATTTTTGTCCTATGCATTATGTCTCTAAAATAGACCGTAATGGAGAAATTGAGGAAAAGAGCAAAATTTTATTTTTTTCAGTGTTTTCGTTTGCAATGAAGATATGAAAAAAATGTTTCGAATAAAATGTGTGAAAAATGTTTATCTTCCATTCATATTCGAAATACTGTAAGCGTCCATCCCCATATAGCCCTTTCATTATTGTTTAAATATGAAATTTTTTTATTTACCTCTCAATTTTGTTTTACTTTAAATTCTGTACTTACTGCATATTTGGCCTTTTTCCTCCAGTAATAGTAGCGATCGTCTAGTTAATTAATTGTTGCAATCGAGATATATTTTATTTAGCTTGAATACCAACAGAGTTAACGAACAGCGCCAATTCGTCAGTTAGTTAACTTACTGTGTTGATGTTTATATTTTATTTAGCATGATTCTATCCTAGATGTACACAAGATTGTTTTTCTTAGGTATTTATTTCGACGAGTACAGCCCAGATAGCACAAAGTCGTCTTAAAGACGTCTTTAAGACGTCTAGCATAAGACATTCGAGACGTCTTTAAGACGTCTGGTATTTCCTGAAAGACGTCTTAGAAGACGTCTGATGTTACAAAAAGCGACGTCTTTAAGACGTCTTATTAATGGCTTATATTGGTCTGTAGAGCTTAAAATAAGCCATAAATAAGACGTCTTATTAATAGCTTATAATGGTCTTGTAAAGCCTTAAGCCATAAATAAGACGTCTTTAAGACGACTTATTAATAGCTTATAATGGTCTTGTAAAGCCTTAAATAAGCCATAAATAAGATGTCTTTAAGACATCTTATTAATGGCTTATAATGGTCTTGTGAAGCTTTAAATAAGCCATAAATAAGACGTCTTTAAGACGACTTATTAATAGCTTATAATGGTCTTGTGAAGCCTTAAATAAGACGTCTTTAAGACGTCTTATTAATGGCTTATAATGGTCTTGTGAAGCCATAAATAAGACGTCTTTAAGATGTCTTACGAACGTAGGACGTCGGATATCTTGGTTATTAAAAAGTAGAACAACCTTGCATAATATAAAATAATGCAAAAAATATAATTAAAATATTTATTGATAAAACATCTATTAATCACAGGTCACTAGGAGTTATTTTCTTTGTAGCGCATTCGATTACTCCTCTTTAGCCATAACTGGATTGATTTTTCTCTTTGATTTGTAGTTGCCTTTGTATAGCTCCTAAAAAGAAATTTAGTTAAGAGTCACTGAAAATTATACTTTGCAAAAGTTAGTAAAAACCGACAGAACAGTTATCTATAAAGCAAAACAAAAAATTAATTTCTTAGAATTTTAAATCAAAGAATTTTTATAATCATTTAATGCAATATGAGCTATTATGCTTAATCGCCTACTTTAACAATTTTACTTTAACTTCACTCAAAATGGCTATCTAATAGGGAGTTTTTGATATTATTAGTTCTTAAAATCTCCATAAAAACAAACAAAAATGATACTTGACGAATATCTGAATTAAATCTTATATTAAGATGTTTACTTTTAAATTAATTTAATTATTCTTAGAAGAAACAGGATATTAATGTTCTATGTATATAAACAAATATTCATTTATTACCTGTGTTCCAGGAACGTGCTACATCGGTAACACAAACTATTCTTCCCTCTCTGGTTTTTGTTTTATATTATTTAAGTAGAAAGAGACACAAATGCTCAAAATAGCCCAAAGTCCCTCTTGGTGGCTATAATCGTGTACGCAATAAAATAATCAATAATCCACAATGAGCTTGGGCCATACAAATTTTTGGCTTGGGCTTGAATGTATTTCTTCTTTTCTTCGTTTTATATGGGCTTAATCTCTTTTCCACTGCACTTGATATTTGATTTCAATTATCTTCTCCAAATATTACACTGAATATTTTGTTTAATTTTGTATACTTTTTAAATTCGGATGGTCACTTTTATACTAGATATTTTGTGATTTTTATAGGATTGCTTGGCTCCCGATTCGGAGAACGCCATTTCAATATTGCCACGATGGTGTCCGAATCGGAAGTCCTACTTGAATATAATGTTAAATCAAACGTCAAACTTCACTTTATTTGATTCTTCTTGTTAAATTTGAATTATGTAAACCGTGCAAGTTTCCGTCCGACTGAAAGACGTTTGTAAGACGTCTTTGAGCTTTCACATTATTATATGGATTTGGCAAGACGTCTTAAGAACGTCTTTGAGCTCTCACATTAATACGTCTGAATTATGGCTTTTGAAAGACGTCTTATAAGACGTCTTAATAACGTCCTAGGACATTGAGACCAAACCAAGACACAAAAAAGACGTCTTTCAGACGTCGTGTGCTATCTGGGGAGGTGATGACCAAAGAAGTTAACGAACAGGGCCATTTCGCCAGTTGGTTAACTTACTATTAAATTTTGCCATCTAAGTTTGCTTAGATTTGTGCTTTATTTACCCAAGATGATACGTCCCTGTATATTTATAAGATATTGATATTTATAATTTATACCTATGTTAACTGTCTTTCGGGGTGAATGTCCGAAGGCCATGTGGTTTAGTGGGTTACATTGTTAATATTTTAAAGCAAATGTCAGCCCTTATTTAAAACAAAACCCCGGTGCTATCTCAAAGAAAGTTATATTAACCTTTCCGGCTCACCATTGAAAATACAGACAATTGGTTCGTCTAAACTAGACACTTATTTTTATCTAGCGTTGTGATGGCGTCGACTTTGGGTACGTCGCAGCGTTGATTGTCGCCTTGCGTCGAGACGTCTAGCGTCGTGACGGTATTTATTACAGTACTGCGTCGGGACGGATATGACAGGAAATACTTAAGAGGTGCGACGAAGAGTGTCGTCATGGGTATTGTGAAGTAGGGTCCTTTCCTGGAGTGGGCTGCCCCCCCTGTAGTTACGTGCCTCTCCGAATATGTAATGAACGTTCTTAACCATCTTTCATGCATACGAGTGAAGGTAATCATCAGGCAGACTTCATTAGAGACCGAAGACTAGATCGTCTAATGCTTGCTGACGAGTCCTAATAAGGACGGAACTGATCCAAGTATGACTTTCTCCTTAGGAAGGAAAATCAAAGAGTTTATTTTCAATCTCTGCTATCCACCTTTTGATATAATGCGCCTGGCAAGGTATTTGCCAAGGAAGTAGTTATTTTCAAGAGAGAAATGGTCGCTTGTTTATCTGTGACACGGTCTTTAATAAGAATTTATTTTTCTTTCATGATTTATTTCTAATTTTAAATTGCTCTAATGTAGGGACGCCCGTCTGGTAAAGAACGGACAACTTTGTCGATTTTATTTTTTATCGTAATTTTTTATAATTGCTACATCATTGTGTAAAGTTACTTCGCTAGTGTAAAGTAACTCGCTTCTATAATTATAACAATATTTGGGACGTACAAAGATAATAAAAAGCATTTTTATTAACTGTATTATTTATACAAAATAACGGTTCATTAACAAACACTTTTTTACAATGAAATATAAAATTTCTTATGTAGATAAATATGAAATATTAAAATTACTTATGCCGTAGTTTTACTATTCTTGGTTCCTTTCTTGGGAGAAGTGTTGTTTCCCTTCTTTGGAGAAGCGTTGTTTCTTTTCCCCTTTTTAGTTCTGCCCATCGTCTTTAATTTATTTTTTTGCGCCCTCAAGTCCTTTTTCATTCTCGGATCAACGACCTTGTAATGTCCTTTTACTCCTTTCGGTCTGCTAACTCTTTTGCCAGTCATATGTTTCTTAGCTACAACATAAGTTACTTCCTTTTTAGGCTCTTGTCTAGCCTTTTTGTACAACCTAAAAATAATTTTAAATACAGATTAGTGGAAAATGTTGAAACCATTAGTAATAATTATTATTAACAGAATCATATGTAGTAACTAGTAACAAATAATAAATTAACATTACTGTTTTATCTGTTTAGCCTTTTCTCGTTCTGAAACATCAACATTATCCATTAAAGCTTCGACTTTTTTTTTTGCTCTCTCCAACTTTTTGAGAGTTCTCTTCTTCTTTCTTGCTTTTGCTTCAATCACTTTTTTAATTGGTCTTACATTTATATCTTCTAATTTTTTGTTGTATTCATCAACCAATTCCTAAGGAAAACATTTTAGTTACCCTGAAATTCTATATATTTCAATTTATGTATGATTTGATCTCAGTTGGGAATTTACAACATTTTCAAGTTTTCATGAAAATTTAGCTGGAAAATAATAACAAAGAGCACAAGATTCAATAGAAGAAATACCTTTGGAACTGGAACTTCTCTTGTCATGTGTTTATGTTCATCTTGCACAAACCAATCTGGCAATCCATCATCATTAAATGTATATCTATTCCATGCTGCATCTTTTAAATCTCTTTTTGCTTTTTTACTGTTGACCATAATTGAACCCAAGGCTAGGTCTTCTGATGATAGTTTTGTTTTCTTAACTAAAATGGTACCATTTTAAATATATAGCAAACGAAGAAATAATGTAATTTTACAAAGAAATATATTTACCAGATTTAACAACCTCGAATCCATCTTTTTTTAAATTATTTACAGGAACATTAACCTGCTGTTCAATATCATAATCAGAATCGCTTCCAGTGTCTGATGATTCAGAATCACTACCTTCAGAGATGTAATCATTATTCGATGTCTTTTTGGTTTCTTTTAGTATTGTTTTTTTAGCTTCTTTTTTGTTACTCTCTCCTAAAATTTTTGCACCCTTCTTCTTAACACTTTCTACCATCTTATCTAAATCGGCGTCTTCATCTTTTTCATCTATGAGGTTTTTAAAAACATCTCTCCCAAACCAAAGTTCTGCTTTATGTGCTTTCTTTTTTTCTTTATCTCTGTAATCCAGGTCAGTGATCAAAGGATGGTCTTCTTTTTTCTTAAAGGTAGATTGTTGTTTTTTAATCCTTGGTAACTTATCATCATCATCAAGTTCAAAACCTACAGAAAAAATGGAGAAATAAAAAATAGTGAATGAAAACAATAAAATCGGGACTCACCCAATCCTTCTTTTATTTCTGCTTCATTTTCACTTTCCATTTCAAGTTCAGAATCAGAGTCTTTATAATAAAAACCGGAACTGTCTAAACGACCCTCTCCTTTTTCATATTTAGTGTATTTAGGTATATGTTTTCTTTGTTGGAATTCATCATCTGAATCAACAGTAGTATCAGGAGTCTGCTCAATGATTTTTTTCATTTTATTAGCATCAGCGACTTGTTTCAAAGAAAACATTTCTTCGCCTACCATAGTGGGCCCATCATCATTTTTTAAAAGCATTTTTAGGTTTAATCGTTCATTAAGTTTTAGACGTTCCTTTTGAACTTTTTTCTTTTTACGTTTTTGCTCTCTTATCTCTTCTTCTTGCAAGGATGCAATTTGGTTATCAATATCTCCTAATTCATCTTCATTATTGGACTTTTTTTCTTCTTCTTTATTTTCTTCTGTTAGTTCAGTTGAGTCTTGTTCATTATTTTTTTTCTTGTATTCTTCATTCAATACTTTTCTCCATGCAAGAAGATTACGTAGATCCTTTCTGCCTAAGACTTTTATGTCTTTAACACATTGTATGATTTCGTTTGTTGTTAGTTTGTGGTTTTGAATTTCTGGATCATCAAACACTATCTATCGATGGAAATAAAATTTACAAAAACATTATTTTTAGTTAAAAGAAAAAAAATTTTGAACTCTGCCGTTTGGCAAACTATTTGTATACTTAGTTTGGCCAATAAAAGCATTTATTATTATTATATAAGTAAAAAAACTTCGTTTATCATTAAAATATTCATTTGAGATTTGGGAATTAACATTTTGTTTGAGAATTTGAAACTACTTTTTTAAAAACAAATAATTATTTTGTTCTGTCATGGCGTACTTCCGGTTTTTCCGGAAATAGTAAATCTTATTTTTATTTTTTAAATGGAAACACTTCCATATTTTATTGTCAATTTGAATATCTGGGACATATATTTCTGGCGGATTTCTTTAAAACACTGTTAAGGAACAATATCTTTGGATACTTTAGAATATAATATATTAAAATTACTACTCCAAAAATAAAAATATATTGGCCCTTTTCAAAATTGGCAGAAAATTGCCTATATATAATAGTCAAAAATATGAAGTAAGGTTGTCCTTCATCCATCTGTTTAATGGACAGAATATAGCTCACTGCAGGATGGATTAAAGCATAATTTTAAAATTTAGTGTTTTATATTTTTATCCATTTTTAAGTTATCTTTAAAATTCGAAATTTCCGTTTTTTTTTTTAATATCTGGAATATGTTCCATTATAGGGAAATTATGTATAGGACAAAAATTATAGAAAATGACATTACAAGCAAATTGTATCATGATTCCTATACTTTCCTTATATGTATACAGAAAGGAGTAAGTAAAAAATTGCCTTCACAGTGCTTTTTTAACAACCCATTTGCCGTATATTTATTAATATATTTTATTTAATAAAAAATACATTTGATCCATTGGGTCCGGTAAAGGATCCTGAGGTGCGAAATTCACAAAAAATTTTTAAACCCTCAAAAGTAACTAGTTTCTATAGTAAATTTTCGAAAAAAAAATTATGGATGAAGCAGTATTTTTCGAAAAAAATTGAATTAAAAATCCCAATTTTACAGGTTATAATCACAAAACAATTACCCTAAATGACAGTGTCTGACGTTTCTGTCTTAAAAATAACAAACGTTGCCAAGTTGTTAATACAATTATAAGTTTAAGGATTATTTAAAATTTATAAATTTATAATCGATAAATTTTTCGTTTGCTTCAAACAGATAAGTTCGGTAATAATCGTATATAAAATGAAAAAATTAATATATCAACAAAATTAATTTTAAAAATGCAGCTCAAAAAACTACTTACAAAATTAAAAAGTGAAATTAATTAAATCACCTAATATGTAATACCTAGACAATTTTTTTTAAATTTTCTTTCACTCATAACGAAACAACGACTTCCCGTAGGGTGGCGGCTTCGCCGCCACCAAAAAATTTTAACCCATACCTGGCTACGCCTACCGGCATAGACTCCAACGGCCTGGACACAGCTCAAATTGAAATAAAATGTCTCACAACACATTATAATTTATTATCATAAATTTTTCGTTTGCTTCAAAAAGATAAGTACGGTAATAATCGTATATAAAATGAAAAAATTAATATATCAAATAAATTAATTTTAAAAATGCAGCTCAAAAAAATTACATACAAAAATTAAAAAGTGAAATTAAATAAATCACTTAACATGTAATACCTAGACAACTTTTTTTAAATTTTCTGTCACTCAAAACGGAACGACTTCTCGCCGCCACCAAAAAATTTTAAGGTAGTAAACTCCAACGGCCTGAGCACAGCTCAAATTGAAATAAAAAGTCTCACATAACACATTATATTTTTACTTATAACTTATTTTCTTCTCATTCGAAAAGAAATCTTAAACTTGGAAATTATCAGTGATAAAAATCAACAATATAGTATGGCAACGTTGCAAACTCGAGGACCTTATGTGTCAAGAACTGACAATTTCATGAATTACTTTATTTTAGGTTTTATGGAAGGAAATGATGAAAAGTTAGGTTAAATCAGTCAAAATATTGCATTTTATTATAATATAAATAAAAATAGCAAATGAAACGTATTCTTCCATATTTAATTTCAGTTAAAATATTATAAAATGTAAGTTACTTCAATATATTAATGCTATAATTATGAAATTCGCACCTCAGGATCCTTTACTAGAACCGATCCATTAAACAGATGGGTAAAGGTCGATCTTACTTTGTATCCTGTACTACTAAGAAATAATATCCAATATGAGCCATTTTGACAGCTCATTTAATATAAGATTCTTCAGGTTTCAAGGTTTCTATTTAAAAATTATAAATTTAGGTTCCTGAAAACCTGGAGTTAAGCCATAACAAATTTAGAAATAGTCTGGATAATTCTCCAGGACAATGTGCATAATAATAAAAAGTTATTAATAATAACTGGTTCTAATAGTAGACAAGCCATTAATAAGAAGAATGTCCAATATGCACACCATTTTGACAGATCAATAAGTAAATGAGTGTTTTCACATAAGTAAAAATAAATTGTGATTTATATTTTTTTGGAAAAACCAGAAGTAAGCCATAACGTTATATAAAATAGAAATCAATTATAAGAAAATACCTACTTGTTCCAAACTTTCAAACAAAAAAAAAAACATTCCAAAATCACAATAAGGAAAATAAGAGCAGTTGGAAGTTAATACTCTTAATTTATGTTTAATTATGTAAAATGTTGCACTTTAAAAAACAATTTAATGTATATCAGTTTCAATAAAGCACTATTTTATTAATCTTTAAAAATAATCATGTGAAAATATGAATTTCAATCTCACCTCAGAAGCGTGCTCTAATAAATCAACTCCATTTTCATGTTTGATAAAATCTGAAGCTTTTAACCTGTGGTATAAAGTATAATCATTTTCTGGATAACCCTCAGCTTTACTTTTCTTTTGTTTTTCAGGATGAAAAACATTTAACTTATTTTTTGGATCGAGCTCCAATTCTTGAAATACATACTTTGGATCCATAAATCTAGAATCTATTTTATCTGGAGCTATGTAGTATTGACAAACAACGAAAATTTCAGCAGATTCAGTACGAGAAGCTTGGGGCTTTGTAGCATGAACTTTCTTGAACAATTGTTTTAACACCCAAATTAATGCATGATAATCTTTTGATCTAAATACTTTTGTAATAAACCAACCACCTTGTTTTAAGAATTGAGTTGCTAATTTTAAAGAACTTAATGTCAAACAGGATTGTTGATATGCATCATGTAGCCAATTTTTACCAACATTGGGAGCTCCATCATGAAGAACAACATCAGCTTTCCAAGTTTGTAATTCCTTTGTTAAGGCAGTTTTGCATTTCTCAGTAGTTATATCTTCAACTATACTTATACAACCTGGTATGGCTTTTATAGGGAAAAGATCTATACCTATTACTATACTTGAAATGGGCATATTTTGTTTGGCAACTTGCATCCAACCTCCTGGAGCAGCGCACAAATCGACACATACTTGAGATTTTTGTAAAAATCCAAACTTGCGATTAAGTTGAATTAACTTGAAGGCAGCCCGAGATCTAAAACCTAAATATCATAATAAATATTTACTATCTTTAACCACAACAATTCTAATTACCTGTTTCCTTAGCTAACTGGTAAAATTTGTCCTTGCGCTGCTTTCCAATTTTCTTTTTTTGTCCCATTTTTGTATAATTTTATGACCACTCGTTCTTACTGTTATTATTTTCTACTTTTACACCAAAATTCCTCCATTCAACATGTGCAACTTACAAACATGTGATGGAAATATTCGTATTTTTGTTTATTTTAGGTTAGAATGAAAAATTAGGTTATCTTTTTATTTCAATGGCCTCCGCCTCTTTACCGCATCCAGCCAAGTTATACTGGGACAATAAAAAATGATGCACCTGCGCCTTTTTTATCGGATGAAATATAAAATGTTTCGAAAAATATAACGCTCAATTAATTTTAACAGGTCTTTAATGGGACAAAGACTTATCTATAATAGTTGTGTCCTGAAATCAACTAAATCGTTTTGAAATATAGCCGTATTTTTTTTAATTATATTAAGCTTAATCGCAATTATTAAATTATGAAAACTTTGTCCTTTAAAAAGACCTATATCTTCGAATAATCGAACCTAAGTATATTCACTAAGACACTATTTATTTATTGACTTAATTTATTTTTATTCAACAGTACAATAATAATTTATATCAAAATACTTATATACCAATTTATATGAACAATATTAATCTGCTCACATCGATATCTCAACCTAAACTCTCCGTTCAAACAGCTCATGTATGTGGTATTTCTCGAATGTTCGGGCATACACCAAAACTTGCTACGGCACTGTGTAATTTCTAAATGTTTCGTCACGGGTCCAGTACATTCCAGAATAATGATTCATACGATTGCATAATGACGACCAACAGGAATGTTCCACAAATGGTTAGTGGGTGGATAGATAACATGCTCTCAAAGCGAGCCGTAAACATAAGTGTAGAAGATGTGAATATAAGAGGTTTCGTTTCAAGGGGATGTCCACAGGGAGGGGTACTATCACCTCTACTGTGAAATATGGTCCTCGACACCCTCATCAGCCGCCTCACTAATGACAGTCATTACACAATAGCACATGCAGATGACCTGGTCATTCTGCAAACAAGGAATTTTGAGAACATACTCTACAAAGAATGCAAGTAGCTCTAGACTACGAATTTACTCAGAGTTAGTACTAGAATGTCACGAAGCTTTGGCCGAAGTATCCATCAACAATGTGCTCACCTTAAGATAAATCAAAGGCCACGCCTCATCGAAAGGTAACCGTCTTGTTGATTCACTAGCCAAGAAAGCAGCCAACCAAACATTTCTATTGGGCTGACAAAATCGGTAGTGACATACCTAATCAAAGAACGTTCCCTTGTGGAATTCAAGGGAAGATGGGATGAAACAAGAAACTGCAGAGTTGCCAAGGAGCTCTTAAGTTATCCTGACAACACTGCAGCAAATACTTGACTATGACTAGACAGAATCTGTGCCTAGTCACAGGCATTCTGACTAGTCATTGCCAAGTACAAAAGCATTTCCGATATCATGAGGCTGTCAGAATCTGCACTCTGCAGAGGGTGCGAAAAAGAAGATGAGACTATCGAGCATATCCTTTACGATTGCTCGAAGCTCTCATTTATTAGAAGTTTTGTGTTCGGCGAGAATCGGCTAACAACGGCCGATATAAGAGAAGCACCTCTTGGGACGTTGTCAACTTCATTGAATCAATAGGCTGGCTTACGAGCTAGGAGGTGCCTATCATCTCAGGAGCATGCACAATGGACCTAAGTGCCGTGGGGGTAACCCACCCTCCACACGTTACAGATACGACCATAGTTGTCTCATAGGGGAGGGGATTCGGAGGTTTACTCAATTCATCAAATATTCTTGGTAACGGGAAAATGAAGGCCGTAAAAGGCTCAAATAAATTAAAATCACCTTTAAAACCCAGTTCCCTCGTTTATTGTAATTAAAATGTCAATATTACAGACATAACTAGATATAAAATATTTTAAAAACAAAATCATTCAAATACGAATAGTAAAAAATATGTTTTCTTTACAGTTTAAAAACACTGATAATAAGTATATATTTTAAACTTATAATAGATAATTATATTTGTACTTTACAATTACCGTAATTATAGTTTTTCCAATTCAGTCATTATAAAATGTCTTCTTTGGATGTCTGGACATTCTTGAAAACAATTTTTATATACTTAACATTAAATCGAAATTTAAATAACTCCAAAACACTTTCTATAAATCCCATCAAGGGATATTCTAAATAAGATTCTTAAAGACACAGATATACCAGGTTAGGTCATGTTATTTAAATCCGATAAGTGTTTTGATATTATAATTGGAATAGCATTATTAAAATATGAGTTTTAATAAAATTGTTTTCATCCATATTTCAGACATCAGTGTTGTATGTGGCGACGCTAAGATGTGGAAAATTCACTAGTAACTAATGAATTTTTGGTAATTTTAACTTTTAGGAGACCAGGATTTAGAACTACATATCTGCAAAAAAATCGTAAAAAATAATCACAGTGTCTAGGTACACGCTAACTTGTACGCAATTCAAAAATTTATATACACGCGAAACGTCTTGACAGATTAGGTGAGCTTTGTGCAGGCCGTTGGTGTTTACGCCGGTCGTAGCCAGGTATGGATTGAAATTTTTTTGTGGCGGCGAAGCCTTACGAGAAGTCGTTACTTCTTTTTCTTGTTGTCATGGCATTATTATTATTTGTTCATGTATGTGAAATTTGCTTCTAAGGTTTATAAAATACTACTGTGCTAGTCACGGCGTAAATGAAAACAAACAAGACGCATTCACACCAACACCTCCCACCACAGCAATATGACGTTTCGCTTGTATATAATTTTTTGATTTGTGTACACTTTAGCGTATACCTAGCAACAGCGAAAAATAATTAAAAGGACTTGAAATATATTGCAGTATTACTGAAAAGTATTTCCAAATCTGAGAGACCAAAAAATTACTTAAAATTAAACATTTTATTTAAGTTGAATTTGTAGTAGAATGTTTTCTTTTAGTAATCAGTAATAACCGCAATAGTTGTATGTTCTATTCAACAAAAAAAACCAAATCTTATTAAAACTATTTTTTAAATAAATACTTACTTAATATTTCTTTTATGCAACCGAGATATAACTGCAGGTTTAATTTTAGATATACCCTCTTTGCTTCTATTTCCTCTACCAGTAATGATCTGCAAATATTCGCTTTGCTTTATGCTACTATGTCTTAACAGGTTTATGTTTCTATCCAAAAATACGTCTAAAGACGGAAGCGCTTCTTTCACGTAAAGAAAGTGCAAGTCCAGAGTATTGAAGTCCTGCAACCGTTTGGAGTGTTCATCAAGAAACGCAGTAGCTGCCAAACTGTTTGATCTATCAAAATACGTTGTTTGCAAACTGGCAAGGCCGGAATAAAATTGTGCAACTTCTGCCATACCTTTCTGATGGTATTTTTGAGCTTTTTGATACAAGTCTTCGCGCCTTTTTAAATATCTATTGGCCTCCTCGCGATAATAGGTGGCCTCCTGCGGATCCGCGGTTTCCTAAAATAATGGAAAAAATAGGAAAAGGTATTTTGATCATATTATTAATATAACTTACATTACAAGAACTACTTTTTTGAGCTTCTTTCATTTCCTCTAAAACTTCGTCTCTGATAGGTGGTTCTTTCATCAGTTCCTCCGAGCCTTGAATAATTTTTGATTTTGTAGAAAGGAGCAATGTTTCTACTGTATCGACATACTTATCATCGTGAGCGTGTAAAATTTCAAGTAGAGTATCTTGATCGATAGTTGGAAATATAGAAAATAATTTTTGTTTCGTTAATTTAGCAGCCAATGTATCTGGATTTAAGTCTTTCCATTTATCAACTTCCCTTTGATGTAATCTTTTGGCAGCTTGTTGGTCCTCTTGGATTTCTTTCAAACTCAGTATTTGATTCGGCTCAGTTGAACTTATTTCTTCTTGTTCACTAGCTTGTAACTTTCTAGCAAACTCTTCATCTTCTTTTAACAAACTTTCCATTACGTGTTCTTGATTCTCCATTTGTTGGAAAATGCTTTCTATGTAAAAACTATAGAGCTGTTTAGCTAGAGCTACGGGCATTTGAACTACCGGTTGAAATCCTTTCGGATATTGAATGTTTGGATCGGCAAATTTTTTCTCTAACTCGGTTACGAAATGTTCTCCTAGATTCAATTCTACAGTTTCTTCTGCTTCTTTTTCAATTTCGATTTCATCAAAATCCATGTCAGAGTCTATAGAAATTACTTCGTCGGAATTATCTTGATATATACATTTAGAAGTAGATGGTCCATTAATAATTACTTGACTTTCAGTAGATGGTTCGTTAATGGTTATTTGACTTTCAGATGCATTACTATTAGTGTAATCGTTTTTCGACTTGTAATTTTTCACCTTTAACAAATGTTTCGAGTAATGCTCTCCTCCTATATCGATTTTAGATTCTATAAGTTTTTTTATTTCTTCTTTATCGTCCGGCGACGATGAGTTCCCGGATTTTTTAACTCTCTTTTTTGTAATTTTATGTACTTTATTGCTATCATTACTACCAACTGTTTGCGCATTTGAGTCGGAACTTTCTGCTTTATCATTATCTGAATCGTCCGTTACAATCAGAGTCATTATTTCATCTTTAGCCTCTAATAGGAATTCAATGGTCCACTCTAAATCGCCTTTGCATTTGTTATACCAATAAGTCAAGTGATTTTTTGGTACACTGGGAAACAGACTCTCTAGTTCGCTGATGTGATTCTCGAAATCCTCAAAAAAATCATCGGTCATACAGCCTTTGTCCAAGGTTAATTTGAATGAAATATTTGGTTCTCGTTTAGGAGTTGAATGATTGATGTCGCGATTCACGGTATCGAGAACTACCAAACCGCCGAAAAATCCGCTAGATAATTTGTCATTACTTAGAAGTCTAAAATATTCATTATCTGTCATAGTACTATTATCATTAGTTTCTACTATGTTTTTCGTTTCTTCAAAAGTTGTTTCTGGTAAATTTTGTTTGCCTTTAAAAGGTTCAGTTATCGGAGATACGATATCCCACGATTTTAATGAACTCTCCTTTATGCCCCAAGCGTGTTCTACTCGTGAATATAAATCGTTTTCCATAGGCACTTCATCTTCATCATCACTGATTATGAAGATATCTTTTTCGGTAGCAACAGAAGCAGCGGTAGCTGTTGGTTTTAAAACAGTGGTTGATTGGTTATTATCATTAAACATAAGTATTTTATCGACTGCGTTTTGTGAGCAATAATTATTTAAAACGACACTATTAAAATTTTTATCGACTGGTTGAGATTTTGTAGAAAGACAACCTTCAACATCGTCAAAATACATTAGATTGACATTTTCTATGTTCTGGATATTTTCTGTTTTATTGCTTAAAACTGACATGCTAGTAGATTTGACAAAAGTTCCACTTTTATTACCAATATTGTCTTTAGATACATTAAAGTCAGGCGGAGGATACAATCTTAATTGTGGTGTCTTTTGATGTTTATAAACGATATTATAAGCACTTAAAAGTTTTTCAGGAGTAATATTTTTCTCGTACCGATCTAGCATATCTTTTATTTTTCCTCTATATATACCGTGGGTATTCCGTTTGAATAATTCTTTATCATTGAAACACCAATGTGTATCTGGTTCAATTATATAGAGAAGGTATCCATAATCTATAGCCATCGTTGCATATGATTTCATTTCCCACATTTGAACGTTTGTATTATCAATAATAACTGGGCTAAATCCTCTACTCATCGCTTGGAAAGCCCGTTTCTGATTCCAGTTATGTGCTTCATCGAGTTTTCTTACATCATACTGATAAACGTTCTGACTATTTTGACAAAAATAGTCGTCAGTACTTAATATGTGTAAGTGGTAATTCATATCAAAGCCTATAGTATGTTCAAGTATCTTTTTAGCCAATGTACTTTTACCCGAACCCGGCAACCCCCTCATCAAAATCAAAACTTTATAACCTTTATTAATTTGATTCACTGCTACTTCAAAGTCCAAGGTTTTTCTTGATTTCTTTGGAAGTGTTGTGAAACTCACTGTCTTGCTTAAACGAATGGAAGATTCCCCACTTTTGGAATTTACCTTACTAATAAACATTTCCTCGTCCATGTCTGTATCTTCATATTTTCTTTTATCTGACACGCCTGTGAGTTCTAGAAGTTTATTTGACGACTCTACAACTAAAAAAGAATATCACAAATATTGTAATAGAGTCCGTTCCATTAGAGAAAAGTACAGAGGCGTCATGATGAATAATGTCGCAGAAACCAAATTTTGACTTGTTTGTCAATGACGTTTAGAAGAGGTGAGCAGCAATCTTTTAATTTGTGTTTGAAGCTTAAGATTGTGTTTAAGTTGTGGAATATTTGAGTTTTTTGAGTATGTTAGAAACGTTAGTTTGTATATTATGCACTGAATAAAATATAAGTGCAGTAAAAGTGGGGATATGACGTAACATTCCATAGGCTACTTTGCTAACTAAGTTTCTATAATATAAATAAGGTCACGGCATATAAAATGGTATATACTCACTTCGTAGATTAAATTTTGAATAAAAAAAAGTTATATTACTTACAAAATTTTTGCACTTTAACACTGAATGATTTAAATTTAACCAATAAATAACAAGGAGGATTATATGTTGTTAATGGGATGAAACATTTTTTAATTTCTTGGCATTAAATATAACACTTCAATACCTAAAATAAATAAATAAATAGTTTAAGAACTATCTTTAAAAGTCACTGTCTTCACTATAACTACTGGTATCATTATCATTGTCTCTTCTGAGGTTTATTATAGGGTCTATCAAGTTTTCCATTGATATTATCCACTTTCCAAAATGAATTTCCCACTTTTTAACATGATCAGTGCATTTTCTCCAATGTTCTGCATTTACATCTGAAACTGCATTCAAAAACAAATTTCAGGTAATTTAAATGTTGTACTTTTTCAAGGAACATTACCTGTTAATTGTGACTAGATCAGTTCAATAGAATTTAACTGTGTGGTAGGAGGCAATCTGAGAATTTCAATTCCTTTTTCTTAGGCCATCTCGTCTATAATATATTTTTTGAATTTGTTTTTATGTTGCTTTGCTATTACGAGTAATTCTGCCTTCAAGGATTTAGGACTGATAATATTTTTAGAATTAAGCCATTTTGAAATATCTTCCTTTTTTCATCTTGTTGTAGGTAGTGACGCCTTTAATCGACTGTGATAGGATGCATTATCCAAAACAACGGAGCTGGCCCTCAATCCCTGGCCGCTGCACTCCTTTTTTCATTTTCTTCCTCAGCTTTTTCAATTTTTCTTTGGTATCTTTTTACAGAGATGTGGGAATACAGAGAGAAAAATTGCTATCGTTACGCCACTACTTTATCACATTTACAATATGGCGCTGACTATGAAGACACTTTCACACTGTACTTTTCTCTAATGGAACATACTCTACTAGGGGTAAATTAAGAAAGAAAGCAACAATAAACGAGATCGCCGAACGCCATTGAGCAAACTACTCGGAAAAGTATCTATGCTAAATTAAAAATGTTCAGGATGAAACGAAATATCTGACATGTTATCAAATTTATGAAAAATTAGGCCAAAAATAGTTTATTCTTTTGATTCATTTGAATGATTTTTAGCTAAATATAATCATTTAGTATGTAAAACAATAATTAAAGTGAGAAGTTGGATGAAAATTTAGATTTTGTTCCATTATTTTCATGATTTAATTCATTTAAAAGCATACCACAGTAAATTACAATAAAAATAATTTAAATACATACTTTCAAGCTACTATTTTAAGAGCTGCCAACAATATGTTAAAAAGCCCAAACGTTTAAATCGAACTCAGTGACATGTTTTTATTTTTTTATCTGTAACATATAAATTTGGCATATAATTCAATTGTCATGATTGTGTTAGGCACAGAGGGCATCTATCTTAATTTACTTCTATTTACTTTAATAATTATTTAAAATAATAATAATAATAAATAATAATAATAATAAATAATAATAGGGGGTGGGTTGGCTCAGTGGTTAGAGTCATGACTTTGAGATCGGAAGGTCTCAGGATCGAATCCCACCGTTGGCCGGAATTTTTTCATTTAATTTAATTATTTAAAATTAATTCTGATGCCTTGGTAGGATTCCTCACTCGACCATTCACTGTTGGGTTCTAATTAACAGTGTTGTTCCTAAAGTGGCGCTGGGAAACAGTAACAAAGCCTGCACAGAACACGAGGCTAATGGCCGTAGTAGTCGACGCCGATGACACCAAATTAAAAAAAAAAAAAAAATAATAATAATAATACTTATAAAAAATAAACAACTCTTGTAAGATTTATATGCATTTAATTTTTTTTAATAACAATTCAGGCTTCTTCTCTGCCCATTTTCTTGAGACATGCATTCACTGTTCTCACAGAAATAGTAGGCAGGTTTCTATATTGAAATTATCAAAGATATTGGAAAAAATATATACACTTTGTTTACATCATGTTTGTCTGCATCATAAAAAAGTTTGTCCACAACATAATCCTGACGAGAAGATATTCACATATTGCCAGATCTTTTCTTTCAAAAACATTGTATTACATTTTGTTTAATAAAGAATATAAAGTCAAAAGTGTAAATATGAGTTTTTATTCATTCCAATCACTTGAGATTTTTCCACAACGATTTTTACATTCTTATCATATATGGCAATATTGGACATTTTAAATTTGGCCACCTAGATATTTTGTTGGCAGCATCAAGTTACATTGGGATTTTAGAATATTATTTGAATATTGAACTGTTTATTAAAGACAATTAGAAATACCCTGTGTATAAATTAATCTCTGATTATTCGAGGTATGGCATTATTACTTCAAATTAACCAAGATTAGAGAATATTCACTCAAAATCATTGGGGAATCCCAGGCCTGCTACACCTGTGTAATGGTAATTCCCAGTGTAGATATTAGATTAGATCTAGACTTCTCTGGCAAAATAAATTTGGATTATCTGAGTTTTCTGTTATGAGACAGGTCCTCCCCACATTACTTCAGATAATAAGGGGTTCCACCGTATTTGAACATAAAATATTATAAATGAACCTTCTCTAAACAGTACATCACCCATTTCTCCATCTGGTTTATGATGTGGATAAAACAATTGTATTCTTTAGACAGTAAGAAGGTGGGTCTATCTTAGATAATACTTATGGAAATTATACAGGATTTCAGTAGAGCCACTGTATTGTATAAGTAATAATAATAGAACATTCGAAAATAGGGATGTAGGATACTGTGTGAATTCATCAAAAATTATCGATTGTAGCAATCACAAGTAGAGAGAAAAAAACTTACGATCAAAATCACATGATGAAGCGACTGACTTAATAATATCTAAATGTAAGGCACTTCCAAATAATTCATTCAACTGGTCAATTACACCCATTCCCGAAACTTCGAGGTTACCAAAGGATGACATTGTGAGCCTAAAAAAATAAACAAATATTTCAGTATTGGAATAGTACAAGTGCCCAAAGTGACCTATTCCCATGAGAGAAGCAAATCCAGGTTTAGCTTAACAAAATTAAAACAACACCCTGCATAATAAAATTTTACATATATCTGATAAAGTATGGAAAAATTTGAATAATATTAAGTTCATTTTTTGTTTGTACCATTTCAGAGAAATATTTTACAGGGCCGTAGTTAGCTCAATTTAGCGGATTTTTTTTAAATGCCCTGTATAAGAAAAATAAGGAAATTAAGGATCAAAGTTATTAGTTTCATATAATAAAGAAATGGCATGGTTACTTATATTTTGACAAAATACCCCTTCAAAAGAAGTGTAGATACTTATCTTACTAAAATTATGGAAAATATTGACCTTTGAGACACATACTTTAGTTACCCAATATATTTAAATTTCTTTGGAATATTGAATTAATAACTTACCAAAGAGGAATAATCACAAAGCACCTATCCTTGTAACAATATATCTATATTAAGAAAAACAATAATTATTATAGTACATATCAGATAAGAAAGTATAGATTATAAACTATTAACATCGCATAAAATTAAAAATAAGTAATACTAACCAAGATAATTAATATGCTGGTATATAGTTAAATATCATTTACAAAAAAATATGTCAATTTAAAATATTTGTTTCTAATAAAAACAAATATAAATCCAAAACAACTTTCACTCAAAACCACTAATCAGTTGCGTCATACGTCATAATTTGGATGGAGGGATGCGTTCAAAAACCTGCTCTCGCTCGGTTATTGAAATCAAATATTAGTAAAACAGCTTTGATCCAACATATTAACATATGCTCGAAGGTTTCAACTTAAGAAGAATTGTTTTTATCACAGAATATAAATAAATCATTTGCCGATTATACTGAATTGTAACAACGAATTAATCATTATTATATTAATAGAAACAGAAGAGGACCCAGAACGGAGCCATGTGGTACTTATATTTATTTCAAGTTTAATGATTCTGACGTCATTGCCAATCTGATAGATCCTAGAGTGATTCTAGATCAACCTCTTGGTGTTTTGACTGACATATGACGTTCCATTACGACCCGTGATCCGTGCACGATCTTTTTTTGACTTTTTTGTTGTGGTTTTATGAATTTTGTGTTGTATGAGTAGAATTTGGTATGTTGACAAATGGAGTGACGGGTATACGGTGTGTTACAAACATAATTAATAAAAATCATTGTAAAAGTTTAAAATGGGCTGTGAATAATTTTATTTTAAATGTGTAGTATAAATGTTCATGTTGTTTTCTAAATTATTTAAATATGTGTAATGTACCGCCAAAGTTTTATCATTTGTGTCGATTGTGTTTATCTCATGATAAGGATAATGCTTTATTTATCTTTGATAAGATGGTCATGGAAAAAAATATCCTAAAGAAGATCATGACGTGTCTGTCAATTCTGGTAAGATATGATTAATCTTGGATTTTCGACAATACAAGTCATTAAAGTTAGTTTGCAAGCAACCCAATTGTGATTTTTTTTAATGCTAATTTTAAGTATGATTGATAGCAGATACCGTCGCTGCAAGAGAACATGGATTATTTTGGGACATATAACTTTGTAATATGCAGTGATATATTTCTTTTTGTTTGGAAAACATCTGGTTTACGTACGCGTGGGACGGTATGATGCATTGTATATTTGATTACAGCAGACCGAGTCACTAATCAACATCATTATCTCGACTTTAACATCATGTTAATCGTACCAGAGTTGAGTGATTGTAAATAGAAAGTTTAACATGGATGGAGAGATTTCAAATGAGATAGATATGATAAGGATGTTTCAGCTTTTCTTTGTCTTTGTGCACATCTATTAAATCATTTTTTTACCTTGTTTTAAATAAACAGAAGTTATTATTGCTTAAATACTTAATTAAGAAATGTTATAGTAGTAATTATCATTGAAATTATTTAGCAGTAATTGGATGGTTTTAAATTTTATTAAAAAATTAAGTTTTAAAAAATTATACAGGGTGTTTCAGAATAACTATTCATAATGAATTTAGTTTGAAATATTGTATATCTACTTGAAAATTGGCAACAATATCTACTAAAATAAAAAATCAATTTTATAAAGTAAAAATATAAAAAATAACTGATTGGGTTTCATTTCAAGTGGGTGACACTGTATACAGGGTGTTATTCAACTGCATGTGCATATTAATCTTTAGACTCTCCTAGAATGTACAAAAATATTTGAAAAATACCTATATTAAATAGGGTAGATGCAGAGCTGAAGTTGGCATAGGTCATGTACAAATCTAGGTCTTTGAATTAGTCATAATTGGGTAGCCTTCAATGCTGTCGTTCTCATGATTACCAAATATTTACAATTTTCGTGCATGTTGCTACATAGTTAACATATATGTAGGTATTGTTTATTATTATTATTATCAGAAGAAGAAAAATCCTTATTGGGTAGGTAATTCCCATAGACAATATTATTTAAGATAACTCACCTTTTCACTATCTAAACAAAACATCTTCATCATAAAATAGTCAGACAATGGGAAAGGGTATACACAATGACGTATTTTTTAGGAGGGTTTATTTATAATAATTATTTAATGTTCAATTCTTGATAACCTATCGACATTGACATTCAGTACGTCTTCTGAATCAAAGGTGAAGTTAAAGAAACGATTTCCAATATACACAGGGTATTCAAAAAACTGTTCTCTATATTTCCTTATAGATTATAATAGTAGTTCAAATTAGTGAAACATGTTTGTAAGTATTTTAGGCTGAATTGTGTTGTTCTAGTCTTAATTGTTAAAAAAAATACTGTAATGTGTGGAGAGTGGGTTAACCCACGGCACTTAGGCCTCACTAGGCCTATTGTGCATCCTCCTAAGTAGATAGGCACCTCCTAACTTGTGAGCCAGCCTACAGATGTGGGTAAGAGGTGCTATTCCAATACATGAAGAGCAAATAAAAATATAAAACTCCACTATATCTACCAAGCATTATTATTTTTACAATGTTCATAAAAAATAAAGTAATTTGAACATATTTATTTATTTATTTATTTATTTAATTTATTTAATTTATTTATTTATTTATTTATTTATTTATTTATTTATTTATTTATTTATTTATTTATTTATTTTCATTATAAAATCCACATTCACATTTTTTACATATTAAAATATAAGTAAGTCAACTGACTATTTTATGGAATGTACCTTTTTTTTATGAAACCACAAAAAAGACAAAACATTGTACAAACCTGATCTTAAGTAGATAGTAGATCTTTTTTATGGAAACAAACAATGATAGTGCTAAATTATTATTTTATTCCTTTTATTGACGTAAAATTATGTTAATTAATTATTTAATTGTTTTGCACATACAGATGCTTGCATCTAGATGCATCAAATCAAAATAATAATAATAATATCAAAAAATTGTAATAAATAAATTATAATTGCAATTTGTAAATTATTGTTTAACTATTAAAGTTACGATTTTACGTGGATAAATATTGTTCTATTAAAATAGAAAAAAAAACAATGCAATGCAAATACAATTTTTGTACAAATGCTTCAGTACATTAGAATCAATAAAAAAAAATCATAAATCATTGAATAGCAAGATCTTTATAGTAGGTATAGTATACACCAAGGGACTGAAGTGGTGCTTTTTATCCCTAGGCAAACATTTTGAAGCCCCACTGTCATAGTCCCCTCAGTTGATCATAAAGTAGTATAATTAAAAAACACAAATTAAATCTAATAAAAAATATATATGTAAGTATATGTATTGTTTTTTAATTTCAAAACCCATAACCCCACTTATAAATTTTCAGGCTACGCTACTGCCTCTCCCTGTATCCTGTATGTTTATTATTATCCAGTGTTTGAGGTCCGTGAAATTAGAACTGTCAAATGCGAATTTTAATAAAAAGAAATTGGCATTCGTTTATCCACGTTTGTTCAACAAAAATATTCGTTTGTCCACCCTTCACAAAAAAGTTATAACAAAATTAAAAATTTCACGTCAGCACTGTCATAAAAATTTTTAATTAATTTAACAGTGGCATTAGATTGTCCATATTTGCCAAAAAAAAAATTTGTACATGATCTTTAGGGACAACCATTCATTTCATATGACACATTATTTTCTTTGTTCATACCCTATTTTCGTTTATCTATCCAACAGAAATAAGTTATTACTTAACAAATAAATAAGCAAATTATTAATAATTGTTAATATAAGTACTTATAATGGTAATTTATTAAAAGTAACTATTGCAATCGTGTGTCTACACATTATTTTCGTATGTCCACACTCAATTTTCGGTGGTCCACACCCATTTTCGTTTGTCCACCCAATAAAAATTAGTTAACAATCAAAGATCCCAAAATATGAACAATTATATGAGGCTGAAGCTAGCAGACAAACCGCGCGGCGGTCCTTTAATGTTTTGATATTGTTATTCGGCAAAATCTTTGGCTTAGGTGGACGTTAGTATCATGAAAGTTTAAAAATAAATAAAACTTAGTGTATTTATTGAAAAACTGGATTAATTCAATTTGAATTATTAGACGGAGATGAAACAAACACAGTTGCAATGCGACTATAAATATAACTTTTTATAACAAATATTCACTAGGTTTTTGTTAATTGATGAAACAAAAAATTATGGCCGAGCAATGATTTAAAACATATTTTTTTGGTCTTTTTAAAGTCAGGTGTTTTGTTGTCAAACGAGAATGAGAACAAAGAGACAAAAAAAATTTATCACTAGATTACAAATACAATCTTTATACCAATAATTTAGTACACCACTAGCTATAAAATAAATAAAAAATCATTAAATAGCAAGACATCTAAATATAGTTTTTAGATCATTAAAGTCGAGCGTTTCCGCGGATAAATATTACTCAATAAAACCAACAAAAACAATCATTTAACACGAGATTCCAAATACAATTTTTATACCAAAGATTCAATAAACAAGTATAATGTTAAAAAAAATAATAAATTATCAAATAGTAAGATCTCTAATTACATTTTTTAGGTATTTAAAAATGTGAGATTCCGCGGATAAACCTTACTTTATCAGAATGACAAAAACCAATATTTAGCACGAAAATCCAGGTATAATTTTTAGTATGAATGATTCAATACATTAGTATAATTCAAAAAAATAATAAATCATTACATAGCAAGACCTCCAAATACGTTTTTTAGGTCTTTAAAATAGCGCGATTCCGCGGACAAAACATAACTTTATCAAAATGATAACCAATATTTAGCACGAAAATCCAGGTAAAATTTTTAGTATGAATGATTCAATACATTAGTATAATTCAAAAAAATAATAAATCATTACATAGCAAGACCTCCAAATACGTTTTTTAGGTCTTTAAAATGGCGCGATTCCGCGGATAAACCTTACTTTATCAGAATGATAAAAACCAATATTTAGCACGAAAATCCAGCTATAATTTTTAGTATGAATGATTTAATGCATTGGTATAATTCAAAAAAATAATAAATCATTACATAGCAAGACCTGTAAATACGTTTTTAAAGTCTTTTGAAAAGCGCGGTTCCGCGGAAAACCTTACTTTATCAAAATGACAAAAAACAATATTTAGCACGAAAATCCAGGTATAATTTTTAGTATGAATGATTCAATACATTAGTATAATTCAAAAAAATAATAAATCATTACATAGCAAGACCTCCAAATACGTTTTTTAGGTCTTTAAAATGGCGCAATTTCGCGGATAAACATAACTTTATCAAAATGATAAAAACCAATATTTAGCACGAAAATCCAGATATAATTTTTAGTATGAATGATTGAATACATTGGTATAATTCAAAAAAATAATATATCATTACATAGCAAGACCTGTAAATACGTTTTTTAGGTCGTTTGAAAAGCGCGGTTCCGCGGAAAAAACTTTATCAAAATGACAAAAACCAATATTTAGCACGAAAATCCAGGTATAAATTTTAGTATGAATGATTCAAATACATTATTATAATTCAAAAAAATAAATCATTACATAGCAAGACCTCCAAATACGTTTTTTAGATCTTTAAAATGGCGCGATAATATTGTTTTTTGTCAAAATAAGGCATGGACAAACGAAAATAATGTGTGGACAAACGATTCCCATATTTACTTCCAATGAAATATTAAGGTGATTACAGCACCCCCTTATAATTTTCGGACAAGGATATCTCAAAAAGTTATTTTTTTAGAAAATTTAAATTTGGGCAACATAAATTAGGCAATAATATCTAGAATATGCATATTTTTTAAAGTTTTAATTCCTTCCAGTTTCCGAGAAAAAAAAATTAAAGTGCTTTAAATTTTGAAATATCATAATGAAAATAAATGCATTCCTCAACAGCAGTATTCTTAATATAATCCCCAAATTTAAGCTCTTATTCTCTTGTTAATGATTTTTTAAAATTCGCCGAAATTAGTGGCTAAAACGCCTCGTTTAAGTACTTCTTTCTAGTGTAACGCATCTGTAACTATCGTATCGTACACTCTGAGTCATCATTCGTTTCTTGCAATGCTTTATACCAGTTTACACCAGTTTAAACCAGAAAATAGCACTTAACAAGGCGTTTTAGCCACTAATTTCGGCGAATTTTAAAAAATCATTAACAAAAGATTAAGAGCTTAAATTTAGGGATTATATTAAAAATAGTGCTGTTGAGGAATGCATTTATTTTCATTATGATATTTCAAAATTTAAAGCCCTTTGATTTTTTTTCTCGGAAACTGGAAGGAATTAAAACTTTAAAATATATGCATATTCTAGATATTATTGCCTAATATATTTTGCCAAAATTTTAATTTTTTAAAAAAATTACTTTTTGCGATATCCTTGTCCGAAAATTATAAGGGGGTGCTGTAATCACCTTAAGGTTGTCTCTAAAGACCATGTGTATTATTTTTTCTTTTTTTATTATCTGTTTTGGGGGATGGGCAAATTAACATTTTTGTTGGATAAACGTGGGCAATCAAATGCCACTTTTAAATTATCAAAAAGTTTTTATGTAGGTGCTAATGTAAAATTTAGTTCAAACTTTTAATTTTGTCATAACTTTTTTTTGTTTGGTGGTAAAACAAAAAAAGGGCTTGGACAAAGAAAAATAATGTGTGGACAAACGATTACTATATTTATTTCGTATAAAAAAATCTATTAAGGTTGTCCCTAAAGACCATGTGCATTATTTTTTTATTATTATTTTTTAAATATCTTGGTTTTGCGGCGTGACAAACGAAAAATTTTGTTGGACAAACGTGGAGAAATGGTGAACTATCGAATACCACTTTTAAATTATCAAAAAGTTTTTATGGCAGTGCTGATGTGAAATTTGGCTCGAATTTTTAATTTTGAAAAGCAGAAAAACGAAAATGTTTGTTGGTTAATCATGGACAAATGAATACCAACTTCATTTTATAAAAATTGGCATTTGGCGGTGTCATATTGATTAAATTACATTTTTATAACGTCAACAAAATTTATATTTATTTCTCCTAAAACCACGATGCTATACACACAATTCAACAGGAGGGTTGTCGGAGAAGAATTTTTGGGTACATAGTATGCTCCAGTATGACTAGTACCCGTCGGAACTCGGTTTATGGCGATTACGCCTCGTTTATTGTAGGCAAAGATCATCGTTTCTTTCATTTTCGATGCACATTGCTCTATTGCTAAAATCCGAATTTTTGGCATTTTCCCTTTAAACGAATTCCACTACCGTATGATATAGCAGGGATAGGAGTTGAAAATGCTTTTCGCAGTTCTCCCTCTTCACACACAGAAATTGACAGTTTTGCGGCGGAGGTAACCGAAGTAGACGCGATACATTGGCGTACAAAATTATTTTATAGTTTTAATAACGATTTCAGGTAAATAGTTTCATAAATTGTAAATAGCTGTTGAAATTTTGTAGAAATATAATTTGGTATATTATAATACTTGTTTAATAATTATTTCTAGTCCATAAATACATGCGATTGTGCGGTCCCGTCGTTAACAATTTAAAATACTTATTCAATAAATATGTGCTAAAAAAAAACTAATAATTTTTTTATAGTCATATTCCTTAGTTGTTTTTCCGGGTAGGTACCTTCCTTTGGAATGATGTTGGGTTTTCTGCGAATAATTATCTGGTTTACCAGTTCAGTATTTTTGTTTGTATTTTATAGGTGATAGATCATTGATCCTTTGTCAAATATATGTAATTCCGATTGTTTCATGTAAAGTAGATGGACTATGTAAAGTTCCCAGACATCTTTCTGCAACTTACATATTGTAATAATTGTATATAGTATGTTTTGAATAAAATGTCGCAATATTCAATGAAAGGTCTACTACATATAATTATTTTTTACTATTTTGATGTCCATTCTTCCTTTTTTATAAATTAAAGTGCCTATTAATCGAATTATATAGAACAATTCTTAAAAGCATTAATCTTGATTCTAATAATTACATTTTTTAATCTTTATCTTTTTTAGGTGACTGAAGAGGATGAACTGCCTCATGTAATATGTTTAAATTGTTCAGAACAGATAGAATATCTCTACAAATTCAGCGAATTGGCCAAAAAAAACTGAAGATATTTTACATCAGTTTTTAGTTTACACCAAGCAATTAAAAGGGACTGATGAGGTAAAATTGCATGTTTCCATTGATTAAAAATAAAAAATAAACTCATGTTTTGTCGAAATTTTACACACCCTGTGGAGTGATTGGCTTTAGATCTACTATTAAACGTTCAGCTTGGTTTTTTAGGTGTCTACATTAATACAATATTTCATATAATTTGCAAAAAGAAAATAAAAAAACAAAACGGTCTGAAAAGGCACGAAATAATAAAGAAAAAGAAAAATATTACTTTATTTTTGGCAAGAAATACTGTACAACTAGGTATATTTTTAACAACTTAAAAGTATTCTTTTCACAAGAAAGAAAACAATTCAAACCGCTATAAATAATATTCATTTATTCGTTAAAATTGAAAATAACAAGTATTTTTTACTTGTGCACCTCCGGCTCTGACTTTATACATCCGTTTTTCCAGTCATTATAATAATGAGTATATAAAATAAAATGTAGCTTAGCTTCAAGATTCAGTGTGCTGTCAGGTTTTTCAGATGTGTTGAGTTTGAATTGGTAAATAACTTACTTGTGCAGCAAAGGGATAGTTCCTAAATGCAAGTCTCTTTCTGTATCTTAGTATGGCTACAGCTGCAGCAGCACCCGTTATTGTAATCAATACTGAACAAAGTATAATCATAACAATCCTTATAATGTTAAACTTCTTTGTTATTTTTGTAATACGTGATGAATGTTTCTAAAAAAAGTTCCACAAGTTTTTATTTCTATATTTTGTTGATCTTTTACTTGTTTTATTCCTTATAACTCACCTTCGAACATATTTCAGCATCTAAAGAGTATACACGCTGATTTATTTGTTCATATTCATAGGTACACATTGGACTTTCCGATGTTCTTGTAATTGATTTAGGTAATGCCTTCGTAATAGTATATAATTCACAAGTACATTCCAACAAGTTGGAATTAATCTTCAGTATCTTTAACTTCGACCAATTTAACATATAGTTAATGTCAGTAAGAGCGTTGTTACTTAAATCCAACTAAAAAAAGGATTATTTAAAGTATTGATATATTTGCTTGGAAAAGTACAAATTCTACATTAAATTTTTTTTTTTTTTTTAATTTTAATTGCTTTCATTAGCAGTTAAAAATAATAAATTTTATTATTCTTTATTGTTTTGTGAAAAGAGTATGAAGAAACCTAACCCAATATTCCGCCAACAAACGACAAAATTTAAAAATGCCAACTTAATTTTAAATTTTAAAATTTGGTAAACATATATACATTTTTCATCAGTTTTTATTAAATTAATTGTATACTAACCTCATCTAGTGTTTGATTGTTTGCAAAGGCTTCTTTGTCAATGACCCGAAGGCTCGGATTTCCGCTAATATATAATTTCTTTAAATTTTTTTGAGTAGCAAAGGTGTTAGCTTCAACAACTTTTAATCTACTTAAATCATTTAGATACAGTTCCATCAAATCTAAACCTAAAAAAAAAATATTTTAACTTTTAAAATATTTCAAATTTTTCTTTACATTACTGCCTGTACCATAATGAAGTATACTTAGAGTAATAGTAGAATGCTTACAAAATAAGTATGATATAATATATGACTGAATAATTTGAAAATTCTGAAACAAATCTCAATATATGACCTTAGTAAAATGTTAATATGTAGTTAAAATAAAATATTTCAAACCATTTTTTGTTCCTATTATATTTAAAAATGTTGGCAATATAGTATTGATCATTTGCAATTTTCCTAGTCTGACTTATTATTATTATTATTATTATAGTTAATTTATAAAGTTATTTAATATAAATAAAGACAATTCCTTTTATAAATTTTCTACTTACCGATAAAACTTTGATCTGTTAGTTGAAAAATATAGTTGTTACTTAATTTAAGTATCTTCAAATTTTTACTTATATAATTTAATGTTATTGGAACGAAATCCAAATGGTTTGATGACAAATCTAATTCAGTTAATGTATTCAAATTTCTAATGAAATTTGCTTCGAGCTCTGTCAATTCATTGTTTGCTAAATTCAAAACCTAGAAAACAAAAATACAATTTTTAATACTTTGATATTTTATTTTTATCTACTCGTCCTATTGATAGACAATAAAATTCGATTTCATGGGATGCATAAATGCTAAAAAGTGTGTAAACATATTTTGTATTTTGATAAAAAAATTAATTCAAATATACTTATTTCTGCCCCACCCTGTATATCTTACCTTGATTTTCCCAAGAGATCCCAATGCTACCTGAGTGCTAGGATCAAGAACTACAAAATCGTTTCCCTCCAAGTTAAGTTCTTCCAAATCTGGCATAATATCAAAAAACTTTTGCGGAATGCTGTGAATATTATTGTAAGCCAAATTTAAATGTTTGATTGCAATAGGTCTGTATCGTTTATTGTCATATGGACCTTTAAAATTGTCTCTAGATATTTCTTCGGCTGAAAAAAAAAATGCATTAACTAGACAAACAAACTAAGATTAGTGTACATCGACGTTCTCGTAACAGTTAAGCAGTGTTATCTTCGGTCACGTCGTGGATGCGTGACGGCAGGGACTTTCCATCGACGACAGAGAATGAGTGAATGGGAAAGTAGTAGGACCTTCAACTGGTTTGCACAATAAGCTGCATGTCACAGTGTCGCCACGCTACAAACCGATTAGGGTGATATCACGGGGATCGGAAGTTTGGAAAATAATACAAACAATGTCAAAACTAACAGTTACGGCTATAGTCGGTTACCGAGCTATTTTTTACAGAATTGATTGGTAAATGATTATTTAACTAAAATGTTATCTACTTTAATAATAAACTTTAAGATCTCAAAATCACTTAAGAGGAAAATGTACATTACAAACTGAAAGACCTGCGGGGCAACGGTAGTTTAGTAGGTATAAAAATTACAACTTAAGGGTGGAGCCTAAATACTACAAAATTACTTCCGAGACTAAACAAAATCCGCATTCATTCATAATTTTAACAATTGCATGTAGATACGAGGGATACGTATTCCAAACTGTAACGCGCGAAGTTAAGACAAAGGAACCGAAAAATCCTACTACCATATATTTATACAATGAGTGAGTCAGAGTTACCTAAATTAGGGGAACCCAGAATCGTATTTGTTTTTCTCGGTGCATTGCGAGATATTGTTATAACGCAGTTCGATTTTTTAGAGAGTTTTACATTTTTTTTATATTTTAATTTAGTGAATAGGTTTAGTTAGATTAAATTAGATTTAGGAGTATAGAGTTGTGAAATATAAATACAAATAACGAAAAAATAGACGATTGGTTCGAATAAGGTAATATCAATTAATACAGGGTATTTATTAATTGAGTGCCGATACTTAAGGGTGTGAATCCTTAGGTGTTAAAGTTTTAAGAAAAAAATAACTATTTTATCATAAGTTTCTTATCACTCTAGATATTTTTATGAAATTTTGCCCAAAAAAGGTGTTTCCACTCATGGTGGGTTCCTACCAAATTTCAACAAAATATCAAAAGCAGTTTCAATAAACTGGTTTTTATTTTCTTACACGAAAAGGGTGCGTCGTACGAAAGTATGTCTAAAAATCAAATTTGCTCCAAAATAAATAAGGGTTTTAAAAATAATTTTGGTTTTTAGAAAAAGCAGTGGCGTACCATATTTTTGTTCAAAAATATTCAGTTCAACAAAATATTATTTTAATGATTTAAAATAAACTGCCAGTAATAATTATCTGTACTTAAACATATACAAAGTGAAATCATAAAACGACGCATCAAGAAAGCACCAAATTATTAAACTTTTAATTTATGTAACAAGTATTAAAAGTAATTTTAAAAAACTGACTTTAAAATCGTGCAGATGCCATCACCACATCTTATCCAAATTTTTATGGGACCACCCCTGAGGTACCCCCTTACTAACGAAAATAATTATAGAAATCGAACAAGGTGGTAAAGAATTATCGCTAAACATACATAAAAAATGAAAAGTTTAAGGATTTTCTCATCGACCCAATTATTAGATTTTGACCAAATTTATATGGGACCATCCCGGAAGTACCCCCTATCCAGCAAAAAATCATTTAAATCGGACATTGTGTTAAAGAATTATCGCTGAACATACATAAAAAAATTATATACAGACGAATTGAGAACCTCCTCCTTTTTGAAAAATAATTTTTGGGCTAAAATATGCGCAAATATATTTAGTTGAAATTCTGAAATTTTAGGTTTTGTATGTTGAACCGTTTAAGCACTATAGGTTTGGTTCCATCTTTAACCCTGTATGTAAAAATGTGGGTTCGGTTTCTAGAAGAGTACCTAGTTCACTGTGCAGCCAAATTTATATGTATTTTTTGAATAAATACAGTTTTAGGTTTAATTAAATACCAAGTTTTATCAGGAATAACATTTTCTGAAAAAAGTAACACACAAAAAGCAGACTTTTTGCGAGCCACTATATACATTTTAGAGGATAATCCATATTATTTTAGAAAAATAAATAAAATTTTTGTATAATCACATAAATGTGATTTATCTTTTAGAATATTATATATGTTTGTTAAAGTTTGTATAAAGAAACTGTAATGCAAGTTCTGGAACAAATTAAAAATATCACAAATTATTTTATTTTATTTGACTAATATGAGTTTTTTGTGTTTTTAAATATTTTGTTCAATTTATTTCGATATTCTATATATTCTTGTTTTTCCAATCAGTTAAATTTCTCAAGAGAGATTTTTTGAGATCCACTACCACTACCGGTAAACGTAAAAGTTACACAGGCAGGGTTAACAATTTATAGTTTTAGTTTTTTTCACGATGAAAGACGTCATTTCCCGGTCTTTTTTTATTTTTCTAAGTATAGTATGGGTTAACTTTTTCTTCTTTTTCTTTATTTATTATTAATATATCAAAATTTCGATACAATTTACTGGTTTTCGATTAAGAACAAGACCACTTACCGATGAGAACAATAACTAAACTTCCTTTGGTAAGGCGGCCTAAAATGTAAATGGTGCAAATTACATAATTTTAGGGATTCCTTTAATATTTAAGGAACCTTAAGTAAGAAATCTTAAATAAAAAGTCGGTGCTTAAAATGAAAATCAATTTATATTTAAAATTAAATAAGTTAACTAAAATTTTTGACCGTTATGAAGTTAATAAAGTTATAAAAAATAACGTCGTTACAAAGATTCATGTGTGAATTTTCAATTTCTCTCATCTACGTATTATAATATTAATACATGACTTGGCTTTGACACAAAACTTCTAATCCGAATCAAAATCTTGAAACTATTATTTGGGGACTTAAAAGCGTGGTCCACTAGTTGGTGTAGCCTTTTAAAACATTTGGAATAATAATAATTATATATCATCATCAGTGCCACTGGTAAAATCCTAAATTTAAAATAGTGTATTATAATAATAAGACATTAATCATATCTTAAATGAATCGCCTACTACCATGTTTTAGAAATAAATAAAATGTAATTCTTAAATTAATAAAAATATTCAAAATAATTTAAGATTCCTTGCGTTATGTTAATAAACAAACAAAATTTCTCACGAATTATTTAGTATTCTGTCCCGTACTTCCATGTCTCTATTAGCTTCGCTGTCAAAAAGTTCCGGCAAGGCATATTGCATATAAAAATTTTAAATTTTATTTTTTATCTTTTCTTCTCAAAAACTGTCATTATGAGATATTTTCTCCACTTTTATTCCTCCAGAAGTCCAAAAGCACAAAATCACAAAATGCAAAAATCCATTTGTGTAATGTGCAGCTAGCCCTGAATTTGAAAATACCAATAGTGGTTCTCCTTAATGGTATTGTCCTTTTTCCAAAAAGTTATATCTTTACTGCATATTTCTTCTTCTACAGTCAGCACTTCAGCTCCATATGGACATTTTAACTCTTATCATAGAGTTTTGTTTTTTTTTAATTCCATCCGGACTGGCAGCAACATAATCAAATTCGAATTCAATAAAATGTCCACATTTAAAAACTTTTAATTGAAAATAAATTTCCAAATCCTATTTTGCTCTGAATTTATGGTCCATGCCATATCGGGTGGCTTTAGAAATAAATAAAAGATTTTAGAAGATTTTTTGTGCCACAATGCGCAATCGATACTTCTTATTTATTGGCTAATTTTCTCTTGCAACGCGCCTCAAAGGGTGCGACAGATCAAAGCCATGCGCGAAAGCAAGAAAAAATATTTACATTACTTTAACGGATTGAAGAGATATTAACATGCTGGAATTAATAATTATTGTTGACTCGAAGAGGTATTCATTAAACAAAAACATATTTATAATTCACATCTCAGTGTATACCTTCCAATTTCGGATATATATTTTTTTAATTAATAAATGATAAAATTAATTGAGCAAAATTACTGTATATAAAAAATAACAACATGAGTTCAAATCACTTACGTACTGTTTATCACTAAATAGTAGAAAAAGATATATATTTTGTTAGTGTCACCCTCTAGACGAAAAAGCTTTTAACGTATTTCTATTTTTTCGTTTTTTTTTTAAGAAACTGATAAATATTTTTAAAGTGACTCCAGAGAGGTATGGGTTAAGCCTTTATCTGTACTTATATAAAATTTCTTTTAGTAAAATTAAAAAAAAATCCGTAAAATTAGTGTACTATGAAACACTTGCATATATATACCAATCTTAGTATTACAGAAATAAATTACGTAAAAAATAAGGTATACATATACGTAAAATTTATTCATCCCTCGTAAAACATCAGTAAAATATATTATAAATTGTTTTCATTCACAAATATTAATTTCTTAAAAATCTAACAGAGGCGCCACTTTCTAGACGAAAAATCTTGCAATGTAAGGGTTTCGTAGTACCCCACTTTTAAAGTTTATTTTTGACTATTTTTAAAAGGAAAAAATATATACGTCTAGGTAAAGGTTAAATCTATGCTCCTCTGGAACCACTTTTTTAAAATTCAATTTAGTTTTTTCTAAAAAAAATTGAGAAAATGGGTAAAAAAGTCGAGTTTTGTAATTTTTTTTAGAAAAAACAGTTTTAAATTTTAAAAAATTGTCTCCAGAGGAGCATAGATTTATCCTTTATCTACACGTACATATTTTTTTCTTTCAGAATAAGTCAAAAATAAACTTTAAAAGTGGGGTACTACGAAACCCTTGCATGCTCCTCTCTACAGCCAAGTAAATACTCCTCTTAAATGAAATAACAGAAACTAGATATTTAGTCTATAAACAATATTGTTGGGCCCATTTTTTATATAATCACTGATGATGTACCTCATGAACGAGTTCCTTCTCTACTTATTCTACAAATAAGTGGTCAGATAACGTACCAGCGTTATAGCTGCCACTGGGTTTATGAGAACGTGTAGTTACGTGGCATAAGTGGCTATGAATACTTACTGGTTAGTAAATTATGGCTCAGATCTAAGTATTCTATCCTTTTTATATTAGAAAACATTCCACTCTCCAAATACTGTATGTTACAGTGATCAAATACAAGTTTGGCTGCATGCTGTGTTATTGGAAATTTTTTCAAAGTTGTTATATTGTTGTAGCTGAACGTAGCTATCAATGATTTATTGTGTGTGGGCCAATTGGCTAGAACATTTTCTAAATGTTTATTGTTGCAATCCAATATAAATGAATCCACATCTTCACAAATACATGTACTGCATATATGCGATGAGTTTTGATACACTTCTTCAGATAGTATCCGATTTATTAAATAAAAAAGTACCTAGAAATAGAGGTATAAGAATTTGAAAATATGGAAAATATCCGTTAAAAATAAATTTGATGAAAATAAATATATTCAAAATGCTATAGTCAGTTTTGGTTTCTCCAGTGTATTATTTATAATAAGAAAAAGCTTGTTGTGTTCATTATTTATAGATTTGACATAATTAAATTTGATGTTCTTTTTTGTACTGATTCTATATCTGTATATAATCTATAAATAATTTGGTAAGTGGACATTTAATACAGCGTTCGAATAGGTACTACACAGCTCTAGTAAATAAACACTGGGTGTGGCAAAATATATTTTTATATTCAGCAAATTCCAAATATTGTATGAGCCTTTATTTATGAATTCCCTCAAGGTAATGGTTGAGTAAGGTTACATTGTTATTATGATTAGGTACATACCCAAATATATTTTACCATTTTTTGCACCTGTTGTGTTGAAATTTTTTGAAACTAGTAAATGACTGTGTTTCATTATCTTATCATTTTAACTTATCTAATTTAATCTCACTTCAAATGAAATTTATCGTAGGCAAATAATGTTAGAAAATATAGCAAAAGATAATAATATTGATATTCTTTATTACAAAAGAGAATAAAAAATCTATTGAATATATCAATTTGGGGGTGTTTATGCTATTCTGAAATTTGAGCAAAAATAAACATTATTTAATATAGGTACTTGTTTTATTTAACCCATTCGCTGAGATTTTATTTTTTATCAAATTGCTTTTATTCCTAAAAATAAAAAAAATATTTGAGAATGAATCGGCGTCGGCGAAGTTAAAAACAAAGTACACCTAGTCGGACAACCTTATGTAGGTACCAAAAGTTTTTATATTGTTGCCATTGTTGGACCGATTGTCGAATGGAGATTTGTGTTTTTAAACCAAAAGTTCAGAGGGCGCTGGAACTCACTGAATCAGTTGTGTATAGGGTTCCGAAATTAAGATCGCAGCGGCCATCTACATATTTATACATTGTGACAAATGACTGGCATTTGTTTACATGTGTGAAGAAAGTGTTCATCTTATTTTTGGATTCTTACCGGACATTGCTGACTCAAAGGTCATCTCAGTAAACTGAGAGTAATAGAACATAGTGAATACGGGAAACTGGGGAGGGTTTTACATGTTTTTTTAATGGCCATGATTTAAGTATTACTATTTTTTTTAAATTTAAACCAGATGCGCATAGTTGATCTTTTATACATTAACTATAGTTTAGTACCTTCAATTTTTTTATTTCTCTAAATATTTACCAATTTTTTCAGCATTTTTTAAAAGTTGTCATTTGGGACATGCCTCTCTTTATATGGGAGATTTGACCATAGGTAGGGGAGGTTTGGCCATAATGACAGCTAACTACTACTTTATCAAATAAACCTTTATTAAACCACATCTTTTAAACTTCACGACTAATTGCATCGATGAGTAGGCATTAAATTGTTTGAAACATAATGAAAACAAATACAAAAATAGGCAAAAAATCAACATTTATGTCATAAATGTTTGAAACATACCAAAAACATATTAAATAAAACAAAAATCGGCATTTTACAAACAATAAACAAGCTGTAATACTAGAAACAAGAAAATGATACAGAAAAAACTATCGCACATTTTTAAAAGTAGAAAAGTCAAAGTGAAATGAAATTTTTAATATGGCGCGTTCTGTTCCACCTTTAGTCAATGGACATGGTAGTTTAGTCATATTGGCCAATGATACAGTGGAGATATCTTCTTTAGTATGATAGATGAATGCATATTCAGGTCCTGGCCTTTTTAAGAATGTTACTTCGTATTCATCTAAAGAAAGCTTTGACAAAATTCTTTATACAAAGTGGTACTCGTTGGACCTTGTACAAAACTTTACCAAAGCAAAATCTCCAACGCTAAAGTCATTATCCAAATCGCTGAAGTCTTCTAGATCAAGATCCTCCTCACTAACTAGAGAAACAGAATCCTCACCATTATCAGAGTTGGAGGAAGAAGATTGTAAGACTTGCCTCCTAACTTTTTCCTTCTGTTTTTTTTTACAACCGTTTGTTCTGTCTTTATTGTCTTAGTCTATATTCTTGTTCAATTTCGTCTTTATTTGGTGTTTTTGTTAAAATAAGTGATATTCTTGGCTTTCTTCCTCCTCTAGTCCTTTTTCTAGGACTTGATTTCGGAAAAGGGCGAACTGCTTCGGGTAGAATCAGTTTGGACTCAATCTTGCAAGACGTAGAGGTGGAAGGAATATTTTCTTTTGTTGGTTTGTTCTGGCGTTAACGTGTGTGCGGAAATTACATTGATTTTTTTGTTTTGTAAAGGGCAAGAAGACGAAGAGGCAGTGGTTGCAGTTTTGGAACAAGATAGTAAGGACGATGACTTGCAGGTTATAGCACCCGTAGAAATTGGTCTGCCTGTTACGTATGCTCCTAAAAAGTCAGACCCGTCAAAAAGAGTTGAGTTAAACGGGTAAATTCCGGTAGAATACCTTTTTGCATATTACGAGTAAATGCTTTAGGAAATGTTTTTTCAACAATTTTAGGAATGTCTTGAAATCTAATCAGCTGTCCAGGATTATTAACCATAAAATCGTCTGCTGCCTGATTGTAATATGTCTTAAACGGATCAAATACAGACCGATCCAAAGGCTGGAGACGATGACATAGTGTGTGGGGGAAGAGTTAGTAGTGTTATACCGTTTTCTCTACAAATATTAATACCGCTAGGAGTAATATGGCTATCGTGATTTTCTAGGATCACTAAAACTGGGTTTTCTTTAGATGCTTTGCTATGCTTGATGAGATGTTTCAGAAACAGGTCAAAATTATCTCTAGTCATCCATCTGCTGGGGTGTGTTACAACTTGAGAAACAATAGGAGTGCCTTTGTACATAACTTCAGTTACTCGCTTTCGTGGAAACACAAAAAACGGGTGTATAAAGGAACCTATTGCTGAGATAGCACAATAGTCCTGACGTTACTTTTGCCACTTGTTTTTCGCCCTTAACAGATATAACTCTGCCTGATCTGTGTACAGTTGTGATACCGGTTTCGTTTATATTGTAAATCGATTCCAGTCCAAATGTGTTATTTTTAAGAGCTTCCCTTAGATTTCCATAAAACTGATCCATATTTGTTTTATTGAAAGGTGTAGAACGACCCAAGCTTGTGGATTCAGAATGACGAAGGGATAGCTTAGGATGCCTTGCCATAGAACCTCTAAGCCAGTCATATCCAACAGCCTTTTTTTCGTTCCAGCTTTTTGGAACTGACACATTAATGAGAAGTGAAAATTCATATACAAATGTTTTTGGAGTAAGGCAATGCAGTTTTGAAGTTTTAAAATAATTTTCCAAAAGAGACTCTATTTCATCGGTTAATACCTAACTTGTGTTAAAATTAGGTTTGACAGGCATATTTCTCTTTAATATATCTTTCCAGGGTTTTTGCTTTTAATGTAAAATCTAATTGAAGCACCCCGGACGCTACTGCCTTCTTCTACAACACACCTGATGACAGATGGCATGGTCTCTTCACTGTACGTTTGCCTATTGCTTGATTCTTTTCGTTTGTACTTGAACAGCATGCTGAAAATAAACATTTTTGGTTAATAAAAAAATTTAGGGAGCCTTGGTCATATGGCAAACCCTCCCGTGTTGTTTTTGGCCAACCTTCCCTATAGGCGCCATATTATTTTAAATTAATAAATAACATACTTTTAATACTATGATATTATTAAAATTATGTAAAAATTGCTTATTTAGCAGATATATTTTTGTCAGTGTAAACTCGCGAAAAACTACAGAAACAGCACACAATGGAGTCGTTCGTGTCTAATGGTAAAATTAAGACGCTGTGAGGCGCGCGCTAATTATAAAGCTCCCTTATGGCCAACACTCCCAAGTTTCCCCTACAGATTCTGTGAGGTGGAGGACAAAACCTCCATTCAAATTCTGACTTAAAGTGTAGCACTCCAGAATCCAAATAGAAGAGGCGATCTATTTAACTTGGGGGCCATTCCAAATTCTACACTTCCTTGAGAAGATAGGATCGGAAGGGTCTGTATAGGCATCAAAACATTTACTTGCTGCATTAGCGACAAAAGGGGGCCCAATCGATCTTTTAGATCGTAGTGTATTAATACGCCGTACCCAACATAACATCTTATTTTTCGTTTTTTTTTTCTTTCTATAATTTCAAAAAATATGTTAGGATACATATTAGTATAAACCAAACAGTGTGGGTAGCAAGTATTAATTCCACATAAAAAGAAATGGACTAAAAATAATTATATGACAAAACCGGTTTCGGCCTTAGGCCATCATCAGGTCTACAAGTGAGAGAAGAAGCAGGTGGTAAACATGTATACAAATAAACAGTATATTATTACATATCTAAAGAGTAAATGGTTGGTGTAACAATTATTAATTGCTGAAACACCTCTATAAAATGATTAATAATATAAACGCAAATGGTTAAAACCAAGAACAGTCGTAGGAGAAGGAGATGATAGCATTTCCACTAACAGTTGGAGTAGATTGGAGAATATTATATTTGATTCTTCTGTAAATAGATTTAATCACAACATTCAAAATACTTTTGTTGACCAAGTAGTGTTACTCTAAGTTAATATCTTGCGATCGCCTGAAGCCGACTCTGTTCTTTATTTACCTTCCCCGCGCCGTGGAGCCTAGCGCTGGCCATATCGAGACTCAAGAAATTGACTCGAATGTTTTCTTTTGCAGTTTGGCGCGTGGATGAAGAATTTCGAGGAGCTTTAGACTAGCACCGAATCTTCTCGAGCAGAACTGGCTTTATATAAACAGCGCGACATTGTTTTTGAAGTTTATATACACAAGTTTCAATAAAAATGTTGTGAATAAAGATAAATTGTTAAATAAATTAGAAGTTTGAATTATAATAGTGTTTTAAGTCTAAATAAATTAATTAGTAATTGGTATAAATAAATTAAGCCTTGTTCAGAGTAGGTGCGGCGAGCGTGGCGATGCTATATCGTAGTGTCTTCGGTAAAACAACCTAGTGTTACCACACGCAAAAGTTTAGCGTGATGCGATAATCTGAAATATCTGAACAACACTATAAATAAACAAACTATTTTTTAATGAAATAATCGTTACAATAATTTTGATCAAGAGCGCATGTTCATTCGGGTGTCAGACACCGCCATTTGTTCTATTGCTTTTCAAATCCCTATAATAAATACACTTGTTCTATCTATCTAATATTACAATTTCTCGATCCCAGATGCCGCAAATTTAAAAAAAAATAAACGGTTCTTTATGATTTTCGTATTTAAATATTTTTTGTTGCTTTTACAATGACGATTATGGAACATTTAGTCAAAAATTGGTTTTATTTCTAGGAGAAAATCCGTCAATCAGAAAAACTTTTAGAAAACCTAACTTCTTCCATTCACTCATTGCCGCAAGATTTTAAAATAGAAATTAAAAACGAACCAGAAGATATGTCGCCAGTACAAGAACCATTCAATCCAACTCAATGCGACGTGGAAAAGTCTGTTCCCAAATCGGAAAATGTATTCCCATTACAAGTTACGTCTATGGATTTGACTAAAGATCGTCCTGATATACCAAAACCGGAACCCATAATAAAAGTAAAAATAAATGAATATCGTCGCATCACTTAGTAAACATATTTGTATATTTTTTAGGTATTACCAACGAGCAAATTACATTATAATACATATGATGGTAGTAGCACTTCCGAAGATCAACTGAGAATTTTAAATCAAGAACCATCGTCGATTTTAAATCAAGATTTTACGCATTATGTTAAAAGCGATTCTTTAAGCGTTGAACATTTTACCCCAACTGAACCAACAGATCTTTCAAATAAGAAAATGGAAACGTTAACGTGTGTGCCTGAAATTAATTATATTAAAGAAGAAGCGGACGCCGTTTCTCTTTCAAGTATTAGTTCTGATCCTGATCGTTTAGAGGTTGATATTTCTCAGGTATAAAGAAACTTATTGATTGGATGACTGCAAAAAGTGACACATCGCTTTGGGGTGGAAGGTGTACAATTGGTACTAGATCCCGGCAGTGGAAGCGGTCATTTAAACGAAATTCTGGATATAGTTTAAACGCGGTTTTTATGAACCTAAGATATTTTATGACGGGCAAAAGTCCATCAATACATGAATCGCATGACTGTTTCCACCACCAAGACATATTGCAACTTGTTTACCCTCTCCCCTGCACCTAACTATAAAGAACGGAAATAAGATGAATCATACAACGATCAAATATATTTTTTAGGTAACTGAAGAACATAGTGATTCCACTACACACAGCGCGGCATCTCCGACATCAGAATCCAGTCCAAACCAAACTGAAACTAATCCATCACTTTGGCAAACTCTATCTCAAAACGGTTATAATCCATCATTAAGTGGAGAGGCCAGTCAGTTACTAAGAAAATTGATAACCTGTCGAAAATTGGGCATGACAATAACACCTACGCCGCCTCACGTTTTAAACTACAGTTTATTTGACGAAACGCAGAAATCTGTAGAAAGTTTAAATGCTGAGAAAAATTCAGGTAGACGAAAGCAAAATTTTCCATCTAAAGCAACTGTTCAAACGGAGCCTAGTCCAATGGAACAAGATGGCGGCGAAGAAGACGAATACATACCAGATTTCACTGGAAATAATCCCTGGTGTAATTTGGTTAAATCAAGGGTAAATATAAAAATTTAAGAATAGGTATATGGTGATCAAGTTATATATTCCCAATTTTTAGTAATTTTTTTCTCATCTTCGTTTATGTAAATTGGAAAGAATAAATAAATTCTCTTTGAGTATTACACAATGCTATTAATTATTTCTTGCAAGTAAAATTTGTATACGTTACGTTAGTGTCAAACAAAAATAAACCATTCTGCCATTTATTTTGACATACATTTTGAGTTTTTTAGTTTTTCTTTTAAACATTGTTTGCAGGTCTTAAAAAGTTACGAATGTTGATCATAATGTTCTATCTCTGCTGTTTCCTTGGATATAAATCAATACATGTTGTGGCATTAGTCAAAGTAGTGAGGAAAACCGTCAATCGTATTATTTTGAGATTTTTTTATCTTTATATTTCTTCTTGGTAACATTTGAGTTTCAAATTATTTCCCTTCTTAAAAATTGCCTACCTAGCTTTTTTAACAGTTTTTGAACTGGGTACCTACAACAAGCGAAATTTGATTTTGCTTACTAAGTGCAGATGGCGTTACTTTCGTATTAATTTCACTTAACCATCATCAAGGTTTACATGTGAATTTTACTCATCTACTGCTTTCATTAGAGATTAGAGAATGTCTGTTTCTCGCTGACGATTATAAAAGGGAATAGAAAATAATTTTTTCTCTGCTGTTTTTATTTCTGTAAACTGGCTCTTATATTTATATATCTTGTTCATTTGACCAATTCAACAATAATGCAAATCTTATATGTTTATAAAAAATATTCTAGAGCGGAGCAGCAGCAAAACGGGTTGACTTACATTGTACAAACTGCGGTACACAAACAACAACGATTTGGAGGAGAAACTTGAGAGGGGAAATGGTGTGTAACGCATGTGGCCTTTATTTTAAACTGCACGGAATTGACAGACCAGTCACAATGAGAAGGGATACAATTCACACAAGACGTCGAAGGCCGAAAGCTATGGAAAAAGATGTTCATAAAAGTACAGGTAGCAATATTAAATTAATTATTAATTTCTTAACAAAAAAATATTAGTAGTTTAGTATTGTTGGTTTATTCAGAGATAACAGGAGATGTAACTATTCATTGATAAAATATAATATTCATGATGGCAAGATTAATCCGACACTCAATACGCTCCAGTTGTAGGTCCGCAATGAAGAGACGTGAGGTGAGAGCTAAGAGAGGGGTAAAGAGAAGGATTTTACGGCGATACAATTTTTTTTTAATTGAATAAATGTGTAAGCCAGTTGTAAACGCTTGTGCGCTTATAATAAACAACTGTAATGTGAGCCATTTCATTATTCAGTCATGCTCTAATCCTCCAAGTCCCTCTCTGTCTTATTTGGCCTTTGAGGCTCAACTTGTCCGATTATCATACATAATTAAAACCCTTAAAACCAAACACATGTGACGACTATGGCGGAGGAGCTTTCGATGACTATTCGAGGAAGAACGGGATAATTGGTGAACATTCTAGGACCTTCGCCATACTTTTAAATTTGTATATAAATATTGGTGGAGGATCAAGCGGAAGTCATTAATAGATAGACAGTGGTGAATATAAATAGATAACGATTCAAAGACATTCGAACTATATATAAATTAGAATAGTAGTGTTATAAAATAAATGTGTTTAAATAAATTATTAATAAATAAACTGTTGTTTTAAAATAAACAAACATCACACAACGTAGAAATCCATGCCGGTGTAAGCCTTGTTGCCACATCTAACTTAACATTAACTAGGTTTTCGAATTTATTGAAAATTTTTAGATATAATTTAGTTAAATTTGATATAACTAATGATTCAAAAATTTTTGGGTTCAGTTGCAATAAAATAGGTTGCATTATTTTAGCTTTTTAACGATAAGTAAATCATTTTGTAAACAAAAAGAGAATAATGAAATAGGTATATGACAACAGCGGATATTATACCATCCTGTGTCTCTTAGAATATGTCTTATTTACTATAGAACGATATTTGTTAGTAGTTACATCTCTTGTTATCTCTGGTTTTATTTAAGATGACCTTTTAAACGAAACAATTTTTTTAGATCCTATTCCAGGTTCCAAAGAAAGGAACGCTCATAACAACAACAACAATAATAATAATACAGAGACTTCAGACACCGATGACATGTTGAGTGCTTTAAGGCGTCAGTTACAACCCCACCTAATAATGGCACTTCAGGGACATCGAAATTCTATACCAAGATTGCCTACACGTACATACACTAAGGTGAGAAGAATACACTTACAAATCTATTATAATCATCGGCGTAGCTAGCCCCAGTTTTCATGGGGGGCGTGGCCCCAGGTGTACGTTGGATTAAAATATATATATTTTTTAAATTGCGGTGCAATGAATGGTAAAAAATACGCTATAATAGTGAATAGTGGTTGTAATATTTCAATATATCTAATACATTTATTAACTTATAAACATAACGATTAATATTAAAAGTACTGATTACTGCCGCGTTTGAGAATCCACATCGGATGCATCTGAGATGTAGTAAATCTTTGATCACGTGATTCAGTATACGTAAATGTAATGGGACAGATGTGTCCGATGTGGATAAAAAAACGCTCGAGATGTAAAAAAATGCATCCGATGTGGAGTCTCAAACGCGGCATATCTACAGCAGAAGTTTTCTATGCTGTTGACTAAAAGAATACAACACTGTCTAAGTCTATATCAACATCTTTTTCTATGAACAACAAAGACAAATCTGAATGTCTGTCTTAAGTCATAGTCGTTCTCAACCAATTAAAAATCCTCATGGCAGAAAACGACCTTTCACACGTCGCACTTGAAATAGGTAGAATAATCGCAACTTTAAAAAGTTAATAGACGTTTGGGTATGTTCTTTCTGATTCTGTTATGTGTTTATTGATAGAATCATTACCAACAGTTTCTTTAAATTGAAGACTACAATTTTTTAAACTTCGCCCCTTAAGACAGAAGTGTTAATATTCAAAATTTCACGGTATTGCTCAATGAATTCCGCTGAACCCTCAAAATCTAACTGAAAAAATTTTTCCACAGAATTGGCAAGCACCATACTTTCTGATGAGAACCTTTTGTTTAGAAACCATTTTACAGTATCAATAATTCGGTAGAAAATCCCTCCAATACTCAATTAATCCGATATTAATTAGCTCTAGAGCTTGTGGCGTCTATCTAACCTAGTCCTATAGTTGTTTCGGTGACGAAATCAGCGAGCTTGCTACTGACTGGCTTTTTTTTCGTTTTGATGAGGAAATTTCCAATGACACTTGATATTTTCCAGAAAATTACGAAATTTTTAAATGAAGGTCAAATATAGTATTTTTCATTTCTCATTTCTTCTAGTGAATTGATGACGCTTTTAATAACGTTAACTGCTTTCCCCAGAGTCGCACCTTTCTCCTGAAGGCTTTTTGATAACAAATTTAAAATATTTAGTATCTCGTCTAATACAAAAAGATGTGTTATGAATGAAGGTTGTTTAATACTGGATAATATGCCGATTGTCCCCCTGGCTCCTCCCTAGCTATGCCAATGATAATAATTATGATAAAGTACCTATCCCCAAAAGGTTTTTAAATTAGAAACTCTGTTTGCATTGTTACTATTTATTGGTTATACTCCAATAATCAATTATAATCACTACAATAACTCAACAAACGTATTTTTTAAATCTGAAGTTGCAAAAATTATAATTTAAAATGCCCATTGAACCCCACATTTCAGTCCCTTGTGATAATAGAAAAATCAAATTTACATTGACCGATTGGTCACTAGAAGTAAATGTGCAAAGTTTAAAGACCGAAAGCGCGGAACAAAGAACACGTTATAGAATATCAAAAGTTTGCTATTAGAATTATGTAATATTGACCGTCCGTCTTTCAAGTAAAGTTAAAAAAACTTCGCAATGTCCTGTTACTATTAGGATCATATTCTCGTCAAAATAAACACAACTAAATAAATTATAGTCCACCGGAATTTACAAACAATTACCCTGAAACGAAAATGTTTAGTAGCGACGAAAACGCTGGTTTTCTGGAAAATCTGTTTCAGAGGAAAATTTTCTGCTCTACAACTTTCCTCTGATGAATTTTTCCACCAAAGTGCGTGGTTTTCATGTAAAATGCGAAAAACCGCAAAATATATACATTTTAGAGAAATCATATATATTACAGTAATTATAGAGAATTACATAACAAAGAACTTTTATTCAAAGAATTTACTTCTTTAATCTTTGACGAAATCACTAAATTTTCCATTAATTTCATTTAAAAAATATTTAATTCAAGTTAATTTCCGCATGTTAGTGTTCTCAAGAACCCGCGTATCTTCGACCCGTGTTTCCATCATTTGTGTTGCCAAAATTTGAAATGAAAATGAAACATTTTCAGACTAAGGGAGTTTAAATTAAATTCTTGTAATTCTTGGAATGACTCACATATTGCTACGTAAATATCTTATCAGTTTCTATAGTAATATAAAAAAGAGAATTCACCATTCCCTGTCAACCTATTCAATCCGCTTTTAAAAACATAAAATAAATTTGTTTTAGGTTCCACCTCCACAAAAATGTTTACCAACAGAAGAGTTTATTGGTGGATCAGCACGAGGGCCCGAATCTGATGAAGAAAGTATAGCAGATCTACCATTAAATCTTGTTTCCACACATATGACTGAGGGGGAATTTATTTAAAAACAAAGTAATTAGGCTTGTAACCGTATCCAGTGATACCAACTCTACTTAATAGCATTAGGTATATTTACTATATAGTATAAAGTTGATTTTTTACCAAAATATGCTCTCTTTCGCTTGAATTATTTATTAACACGTACTTACACGATAATAATACTCATTTTGTATTTATTTTTTAGTTGTCATTTACTCTTTTTTTTTACGAAATCGCATTGTGATATTTTCATACTGTTCAGAATTTAAGTAGAGACAATAACCAAACATTTGCTTATGCCAGTAAAACCATATTATTTACATTAGTTTATTTTACAAATTATGAAATATTTTTTATTTTACGTAAGTACTTCTTAGTTTTTAACATTATTTTAATTTTGATGCCCATCTTTTTGTTACTAATATTGTATAGTAATTAGAAGTGTAACAACCGTCCATACAAAAATACTCAAATCTGTCAATGATATAAATGAACAAAAAATTATTCGTGTCCAACCAAATATTTTGAAGCAAATCCATTAATATGTCACGAAATTTAACAAAATTAAAAAACAATGTATTAATTCTTAAAAATGCATTTTAGCATGCCTGGATACTTATTTTTATATTGTATTAAAAACAAGATTTCACAATGTGATAATAGCAATGACATTGTTTCAAAATTTTAATAATGAGCAATAAACAAAATGAATAATTTTTCTTTAAAAAATGATGGATTTCCTGACCGGTAATAATATTTAAAAATATTTTCAAAAAACACTTCTTTGGTAAGTGAAGTTACTTCCACTATTTGAAATATCTAAAAAAAGATGAGTTTCATGTTGAATATTATTTATCTATATTTATTTGTAACGACCCAAAAACATTGAGTTGTGTTTGTGCACCAGAAAAGATGGATTATACAGGGTGAGTTACTAACGTTTTACGAGATTGCAATACATTTCCTTTAAAAAAAAGATCAAGCCATATACGGTTGAAGTATGACTAACCCTGTATAACCGAAACAAATCCAGTGCCTTTTAATTAAAAAAACAATGCATTATTTATTAAATTATTGACCGATAAATACCGAGGAGGTCGTTTTGAAAATATTTTGAAAGGTTTTTAATTTTTTCAAGTTTTTTTTTTTTTTACTAAGTATTGAAAGTAGAAATAGATCAGTTACTATCACTCACAAAATAATGTATTTAAAATCGTACTTTCTAAAAAATCAAATAAATTTCTAGTACGCAATAAGTATCCCAGTTATATTTTACTTATTACATCTAGGAACAATCGTTTATCACAGAGCAACTATAAATTACAGAATAACGTTTACATCGGGTTCTTTGGTCTCGGTTTACTGAATGGTAGCTAATTTGAATGAAGAGAAAGTCAGGACCGTATTTAAAAACTAGTATTTTGCAATATCCGTACTTAAAGTGATAAAGTAGTATTTTTATATCATTTAGTGTACTCTTATAATATAATAAGTTAGGTAAATAAAACACTGATTCCAGTTTTATAGTTGGGCTATCATATATTGACTGACTCACATTTCTTTACTTACAAAACATTAGTTAATACACAAGAACATGAATCATTGGCACACTACATTAGTAGAATAATTATACCAGTAGATGTAGCGATTTCATCAAATAAATAAATAAAGTAGACTGCAAAAATAACGTATATATCACAAAAAAATGATTATCATAAACAACAAACAGGTTAGCCCTTTACAAAATTAAATCTGTTACTTTAATGTAAAACTGTACAAACAAACCCAATGGTTCGGTGGCCCCTGAAGCTACCTGTTAACATCTGGGGTTTGCATAATATCAGACCACACAGTGAATTATTTATAATCAAATACATCTCCCAGCTGAATAATGAACAAAATGGAACTATAATCAAGTATTAATAGATTATCACTCATATTTTTTCTCATCTTAGAATCCAAGTTGTACCTAAAATGTTATATTATATGAACTAAACTACGAATTGTACTTAAAATAACTTTAAACTAAAATATGTACGTACTAATAACATAAAATGTTTTTAACTCAAACAAAAAGGAAAAAGTTGTCACTTCCCTCTCCACTAGGAGATTTTACTCTGAATTTATAGTTGCTGTGTGCATTAATGTTTAAAATTTATTAAGGGCCAGTAGAGTTCTCAGAACGCTATATTCAATATTCTAAAAATTGTTTAATCTTATCCAACATGATCCTACAGCGACTTTACAATAGCTCATTAGGTGCAACGTGTTGGTAAAACATCTAAAAATTATTGGAAATTTCAGTTAACAGTTAATCAAGTACATTTTGTGAATGTTCAGTAACTAAAAGTATTAACCATGAGTGATATTTCTTTTTTTATTATAAATTTATTATATTTATAATTAGAGTAGGTATTAAGTTTTTATAAATAATTCTTAATTCGGTATTTTACATTTTATTTATATACTATTAAGTGGCAGCTATGAGAGTATTTTAAAAATAATAAGTAGAGTATTAATTTGAGCAGTTGAATCAAAAATAATCCGTAACTTGCCATAGCCCATTCATGTCAACTTAAACCAAATACTTTTCGCTATTAATTTAACCGTTTTACCAGACACTACGAGGTGTGGCTATAAAATAACCAGATTAATGCTATAAAATTATTTACTACTTTTCTTTCACAATTTTAATTTTATTGTTTTAAATATAATTCCATCCACGATCTCTAGACTTTGACCATAACAGTGTTGGTTCCTTTTAGTGCTGATTGGACCTTTGGTAATAAAAAAGCTACATAACACTGTGATTAGGGTGGATTTTCTAATGTAGGAATCTAAATACTTGTCAAAAAACAGTGCAGTGCGAGCTGCAGCGTTGTTCTGATGCAGAAACTATGACTTAGCTGCATTTCACTTTCTTTTTCGATTCCTACAGATTCAGCAACAGCCCAATACTTAGTCGATGGTTTTGTGGAATCAACACACCGATTTTTTCAATGTTCGTGTCTGCTTTTGTGGTGCAATATCAAATCATTCAAAAACCTCCATAAAACGTACGTTTATTTAAGGGATTTCGAATTTACAATGGATTTTACATTGATTCTTTCCTCGAACACATTAACATATTTCCGGTAGAACACGGAGCGCAACCATACGATGATAGCAATAGAGAAAGTAGATGTCATGTGACACGATCGTGTTATTTTATATTGATGCCATCTCCGTTTATCTACAAAACGATAAGTGTGGTTATTTTCTAACTACACTTCGTATACAGTGAAACGTTTTGATTATATTTATTAACAATAATAAATGCCTATGTAGTATTTTTCAATTGACCAACCACTTTTGAGTTCTAATTAACAGTGTTGTTCATAAAGTGGCGCCGGGAAACAGTTATTATAAATACAGTATTAATAACAATATAAAGAGTGTTCACAAATTCTCTTTGCAAAAGACAACTGTAAATTATAGAGCTCGTTTTGTGTTGATTGACGTCAGCTTATTAAAATTAAACCGATATTAGGGAGCCATCTTTAAAAAGCTCTAGCTTAGCAAGGTTTTTTTTTTTAAATGATTTATCTCATCTAATTTGCAATTTTCTTTTATGAAGAGTTTAGTTGTATAGACGTCAATATTGGAAAAGAGACAAAATTGATAGAAATATTACCAGTATAAATTATTTTTAAATATTAATTATTTATATTTAGAACCTTAAATAAAATACTCGAGAGGAGGTTTTCAAATTTTACAGCGAAAACTTGCCAAATAATGATTTTTTTAGTTTGCACTAACATTTTTATATTTTATTTACCTGCGAGTATTACGCCCATGGAAAAGTTCGCTACTGATGTCTTTAAAATGTTTTTATGCCTTAATAGTTTTAATGACCCGACCTGTATTAATGTAAATAAAATAGTTACACTAATTTAGAAACAAAATGAAAACTCGCCCCAGTAATATGTTCATATTATTTTTATTCATTTGTCCATTTTTGAAAGCTTCCATACACATTGTTTACAACAATCATTAACAATAAATAAAACTGAAATTCACGGGAAAAGAAACTTTATGGCACTTACTGAGATGCCAGCTGCGTGTCTGTTGGCTTTTGACTAATTCATTTTTATTTCTTGAATTATACAATAGTACTGATTCACCACCCATGCCGCTTTCCTAACAAAAAATACGAATTTGGTGTTGGCCACTGAACGTCTTACAATACTCGATGCACAAGTGCGTATGAAAGCTACAGGGAGTTGGCATCGCTAGTATTGTTCCCTTCCTGCTCGTCCTAGTGCTGGCCTCTATAGTTTTCACACGCACTTGTGCCAACTTTGGCTCTCTAGCGCACCCCATTGTGAAGCACAAATTTAAAGATACTCATCTGAATTATTGATACGAACTCCGGGGACACCGTTGAAACTTATTTTATTTTTAAGTAATGAGTGCAAATTGTAAAATTGAGTTTTTATTGAATGTTGAATTTTATGAAAATGTTGATCTTCAATAAAAAAAAATGAGAGAAAGTTATTTGGTTTGTTTTTAATTATTGTAATAGATATATACCTATTTCATGTTTTGATTATTTTTGTTTTGAGTACACTTGATTTCAAAAAAGTGGATCAATTTATTTCTAGAATGTAAAATGTCAATTTCGAAATGTTGGTGTAAAAAAGATCGACTCACATTACTAAAAATTCGAGGATTTCGTTAACAAGCCTTTTTTTAAATCAAATGTACCTACTGATTTTTTCTATTATAATTGGCTTACTCTACATTTATAAAAATGTATTTTTTACAAATAAACATGGCTGCTATTTTTGTTTGGTTTTTGGTATTCTGTACCCAAATTGGCAAAAAGAAACACTTATGAATCACATCAGTGTTTGTATGTCCGTCTGTCGCTGCCGTTTTATTCGGTGACTATTTGACGTACACAATACAGGCGTTAACTAAAAAGTATATTTTTTATTAGAAAATCGATGTGGAGTATCAAATAAAAGGTGTCTTACTCTAATAC